TAGTTTTTTAAGGCTACGCGAAGTATGACGGGTTCCTGCAGTTGCTGTTTCTTAAAGATTTATGTACACGTATGTATATATATATATATATATATATATATATATATATTATATATGTGTGTGTGTGTGTGTGTGTGTGTGGTGTGGTGTGTGTGTGTGTGTGTGTGTGTGTGTGTGTTGTGTGTGTGTGTGTGGTGTGTGGTGTGTGTGTGTGTGTGTGTGTGTGTGTGTGTGTGTGTGTGTGTGTGTGTGTACACTATTTACCTCAAAATTTAATGGCTGGAATGCGATGATTGCTTGGAGGTCCCCAAACTCTAGGGGCCCCACAATGCTGCGTGGCTTCCCCCTTGACGAAATCCTGGATCCGCCCCTGATTGTTGGGTCCGCCGTATGATAGCCATCACGCTACTTGGCAATGCACCTTGTCCGAACGATTCGAAAAATAAAGTGATGTAGGCTGATCGACGAATTGCATTGCTGTGCGCTCGCCAACATTGACATGCGTAAATTGTCGCATCCGCCGCGCACGACTCAATGTATCTTAAATTGCGACTTACGTTTAAAAATCGATGCTGCTACCGTCTCGCCAAAACTGGGGGGGGGGGGCTGGTAAGTTTCACGGAATGAAAAAGATGACACCGAAAATGGCTGATATACTGGCAGCTGATACAAACGCCATAACAGTGGTAAAGCATGCACACAGTAGCTCTTTTTCCATCCGCTTATATTTTTACTGGGCGATGCATGTTGGCCATCATGCTACTTTGCAATGCACCGCCTTGGACCAATTTGAACAAAAAAGATTATGTCGGCCGATCAGCAAATACAGTACCGTCCAAAAGCCCTCTCACGACACCGCGCGCGAATTGTCGCACGCGCCGCGCACGAGTAAAGGTATTTATATTGCAAGCCGCATGCTTAAAAATCCCCCCCCCCCCTACTGTCTTCCAGAAATAGGATCGAACATAGACGAAAAATAGATGACTTCATCGACAAAGGATTATGCGCTGGCAGCTGATAACACAATAGAACCGCCTGCGAATGCACACGGTGGCTCTCTTTCCATGCGCTTATGAATATTTTTGTCGGGGCGGCGTATGCTGGCCATCACGATACTTGCCAATCAACCGTCTCGGAACTACTTGAACAAAGGAGGGAATGTTGGATTATCAGCGAATTGCATTGTTGTCCGAACGCTATCTCACCTTGACATTGTGCATGGCAGCATCCGCCGCTTACACTTGCGCATAGTGTAGGGGTTTACTATATCCACCTTACACTATCACTGTGGTAGCAATAGTGGAAGCTGTTACAAATCAATTAGGCGTGCATTCGTGTAATCAGACATAGTGGCAAAATACTTTTTTCAAGTTGGGTTGCTCAACCAAGCACAAAAGGCACAGACAAGTCTGAAGTTAGGTGTGAAATATACTACCCACAAACGCCGCATGAAATATAACCCTGTTTTGTATAACCATGCATGCAATAACTGTATATTCTGATGAGGCTAAACTGTTCCTGGATTCATCGTCCTTTCCAGAGATGTGTGCAAATATCGATGTGACAGATAATTTCTTCTCAGTCCCGCCGGGAACAGCCAACATACGCATCGCTCAAACTAATGGGTTGTGTAGCAGTCAGCTGGCTAATTGAGAGGTTCTCTTTCCTCTGACGTCATAAAATATCGTGTACTTGACGTCATACGGCTTTGCTTCCAACGACGTTTATTCTCACGCAAACACGATGTTGCCACACTTTTCAGACTGGGACGGTTCGTACCTCATTAGATAGCCTTGCCCGGTTCCCACTAAGTTTTCCGGCCCGGAAAACCGGATGGATCGACTGGGAAAGAACAAGTTAAAATTGTCTTCGGATGTGCCAAAAGAATCTAGATCCGTAAACCGTAATCGTAATCGCGTAATCCGTAATCAGAGAGAGAAGAGAAAGGCCGAGAGAGAGAGAGAGAGAGAGAGAGAGAGAGAGAGAGAGAGAGAGATAGAGAGAGATCGAGATAGAGCGAGTCGATAGAGAGATAGAGCGAGACTAGAGAATGCTCCTCGAAGAGAGAGAGAGATGAGCTTAGAGAGAGAAGAAGAGGAGAGGAGAGAAGAGAGAAGAGATCTGAGAGAGTACGCGCGAGAGAGAGAGAGAGAGAGGAGAAGAGAGAGAGAGAGCGGGAGGGCGCGCGGGAGAAAGCACGGGAGAGAGCGGGAGGAGAGCGGGAGGGATCACAGCGGGATCACAGTGGGGGAGAGATGGAGAGAGGGAAAGTGACAAAGACAGAGGCACACAAAGAGAGATAGACACATAAAGACAAACGGAGAGACAGAGGGACAAACAGAGAGACACAATCAGACACAGAGAGACACACAGAGAGACAAAGAGACAAACAGAGATAGAGAGACAAACGGAGAGACAGAGAGACAAACCGAGAGACATCATGAGCAAGTCTGGGCACTTCAACATATGCCCGCCTCATGTTGTCGCGAGCCCCCTGGGTCACACTTTCACGCGAAACGCGCGCATCCCAATGAATGGCCTTTCCTTTTCCGGGTCTTTTGCCAGCGCTGGCCAGGTCAAAAGTCAACTTCCCCTGTGTGCTAGGCGGGATCCTTGCCGGTTTGTGGAAGAGGACGGCCAGCTGGCCGGCGGCGATCAAGGTCTCCCCGGTTCAAGCCCGATTCCGGCCAGGTTTTCCGGCCCGGAAAATATATTGGTATCAGCGGGCACCTTAAACACATGTGGAGACATATGATAACTTCCTTTAGCTCTAGATGATGTGCAATGACAACAAATGGCGGGTTACCTCGTACCCGCCACCCGCCAAATTCGCATCAACCAACCTACAACTGAGGGGAGATGTCAGCTGATTGTAGAGATTGTGGAGAGTGAAGGTTGCGACTATTTCCAGCTGATTCTCCCAAAACATCACGAAAAATCACTGCTTTTCTACAGACAACTGCATGCAGCTGTCGGAACGGCACTGACGGGCTCAAGTCTGTCGTCGGACGTAACCTGGCACCGGGTGAGTCTTGACGGGGCCAGACGGGACCAAATAGGGCCTAACGTGATGGAACGGGATCGTACGACAAGGGACATGACCAACAGTCCGACAGGTCCGTCCGTCCCGGTGGCTCAGTTGGTTAGAGCGCCTGCCTTCCGATGCACCCGCCCGTGGCGGGGTGGGTTCGAGTCGCTTTAGGGCGCTCGCTATTTGCCCTTGACAGGTATGGCCTGCGGCCGGTGGCAGCGGTCGCGCTAAAGGTCAGTTGATGTCAGAGGGCAGGACGGACCGTGCCGAGCATTGCGGCACGTTAAGCTTTCGCCACCAAATTCTGCCGTTGCCTGGAATTGCGCGATCGGATGGTAGGGGTCAGGGCTCACACAACAATCACTGCTTAGCGTGAGCTCTGATCCCGGAAATCCATCTATTCAAAGGGTTCGGATCAAATCTTTAAAAAAAAAAACAGGAACAAGGCAGGAAGGAGCGGGACCGGACGGGATCAGCACAGGACAGGCGGGACCGGACGGGATCCGTCTGGCTTGGTCTTGTCCCATTCTATGCCGTGCAGTATTGTTCAGTGCTTTCTTGTCCCGTCCAGTCCCATTCAGGCCCATCGGACCCAATCCGGCCATGTCCGGTCCCGTCCGGCGCCGCCCAGTGTCGTGCTGGATCGTCCGGTCCGGACCGGTCTCTATTGATCTTGCCCGGTCCCGTCTGAGCTCAACTAGCTCTGCCTGGTGCCGCCTGGTCTCGTTCCGTTCCGTATGGTTTCTACCGGTCACCTTCGTCGATGTCAGATAGTGTCTGATCTTAACCGGCTTGGTACAGCCACTCCCGGGTCTGTTTTGTCCCATCCGGTCCATCCTGTCCAGTCCGTTCGGTGTCATGCGGTCCCGGCTGACCTCCTTACATTCCATCCGGTTTCATCCGGTCCCGTCTGGCCTCATTGGGTTCCATCCGGTTCCATCCAGCCTCGTTTGATCACGTCCGGTCTCGTTCACCTCTGATTTGACTGATGAGTTTTGACTGATACCGTCCGGCTTCGTCCCGTCCCGTCCGATCTGCTGTGGAGTGGTTAAAAGGTTGATGGTGATGCTATGGGCTTGTGGCGTCACGGGAAGATCAGCTGAAAATGTCCATGCTCTTTATCTTCCCATAATAAACAGTTCAGCATCAGACACCCTACCAAAAAACTGCCTACGGCATCCGCCGTTATGCATTGGTCGATGCCATCTCGGCTGGCAGCGAGTATGAGGTGGAACGATGTGCATTTACATTATATGGCACATAGAGCTAAATGAAGGTGTTGAGGTATTCATTTTTTGTGCAACTGCCGGTACAAATATTGTGTGAGTTTCGGATTACTTTAATTAAGTACATTTGCAAGGAATATCATTCACATAGATAAGACAGTAGTAATAGCTTTATTCCTCGGAAAAAGCCCCGGAGTATGGATGGTATATGGTACCTAATGTTAAAAAGCCATTGTGCATCGATCATCGTTTTAAGGGCAGAACATATCGTAAATAATCATAAAACAGGTACATGTATACTCTTACCATCAAACTTAAATTATTAGAATAGCGAACATCCGAACGCTGTAAACACAGCAACCGCGACCCCGGGGCCATTTCTATGTTCCAGATGACCTAACCTAACCTAACCTAGCCTAGCCTAGCCTAGCCTAGCCTAGCCTAGCCTAACCTAACCTAATCTAACCTAACCTATCCTTTCTTAACTTAATTTAACCTAACCTAACCTAACCTAACCTAACTTAACCTAACCTAACCCAACGTACACCTAACCTAATAAATCCAGTAATGTTAAGTCCTTAAACGATCCCACTTCATGCAACTCCAATGATACAACATCGCTCGTTTGCTTGGATACGTAAGAAACACAATTCATTGCATTCTTGTTACCCTGGCCCTTTATATTTTTATGGATCTTGATGCGCAGTAATGTTGTGACCACGCACCAATAACGTACCGGTGGCACCGGGCCGTGGTTGCTGTGTGCTTGCAGCGCCCGGATGCTCGCTATCGATATTAGTTAAGTTAGAAGGTAAGAGCATAGATGTACCTGTTTTATGATTATTCACGGTATGTGCTGCCTTTAAAACGACGATCGATGTACAATGCTCTTTGTTAACATTAGGTATCAATGCATACCATGGCCTTAGCCCTACCCCTATACCTTCTCCTAATCCCTACCCCTATGCCTGTTCGCACCTGGACCTCTATTTCTACCCTTACTCCTTCTCCCATTCCTACCCTTTCCCCTACCCCTGTCCCTCCCTCTTGCTCTGTAACAGGGGGGGGGGGGGGGCTTTACCGCATCCTCAGCTGACTTATGTTTTAATAATCGATCAGCATCGCTGTCTTCTTTTGCCACTGTGGTCTGGTGCTAGTATGAGATTGCAATTAGTTGGTTTTCAGTTGAAGAAGATACAATGCTACTGTTTTATACTGGTTGGCATGTTGTGGTCTAAGAAGTCTTATATAGTTGTCCTGTAAAGATTGCTATATTCTGAAAGGCTGTGGGCGCCCCAATTGACACCTGATGTTGTATGCTGTGATCAGGAACATAACAGCTATCTGATATTTGCTATTTCCTTCAAATATTTTGTCTAATGTGTGTTCCATATTCTGCCGCAGATGATGAGAGCGGCCTTGATGATGAGACTTAGTGACCTGGTGTCTGACAGCTCCCAGCTGTAATTTTCAACATGCTGGGCTAGTAGTAGTAGAGACATCATGAAGTACAGCATATGGTAAGAAGTACAGCATAAGTAAGATAGAACCAGCCCTTATTGCTGTGTAACACATGCAGTAACTGGATAATACTTTTCAGATTCTTGCTAAGACAGATACAGCTGCACACATGTTGTCGCCATGTTGTCATGTTGTCAACAAAATATGGAGCAAGTTAGCCATTGCATGATCAGCAACAAACTTTAGATGAGTGTTGCATATTTTGGGTTTACATTTATCAACCAGAGGCCATTTTGTCAGGAACTCTCATTGTGTTCTGGTCTTTCAGCATGGTTTCAGACTTCTTCTACCCCAGCAGCGGCGGGGTCGAAGCCCACGTGTTTCAGCTTTCACAGTGCCTCCTGGCTATGGGTCATAAGGTGATCCTGGTAACACACAGCTATGGGAACCGGGTTGGCATTCGGTATATGACAAATGGTCTCAAGGTAAGTCCATAATGAGCAATCTAAAAATAAAAATAACTAGCACTTGCCGCAGGCTTGTGGAGGTCGAGTTGTGCTGTTACAAGTGCTGGTGTGTGTGCTGGTTGGAATTATTTATACATTAGCTGACAGCACATAGTTGCTAGAACTTTGTTTATATGATGCGTCATTGCCACTTTTGCAATTGATTCACACTTTTGTTACCCCGCTGTTGTTTTTAGTGGAGTATCTGCACTTAGCACACACACAAGCACACACAAGTGCTGGTGTGTGCATTTTCAGAATTATTTGTACATTAGCTCAAAGCACATAGTTGCTGGAGCTTTTGTTTATATGATCTGTCATTGCCATTTTGGCAATTGATTCATACTTTTTGTAACCCTGCCATTGTTTTCACGGGGGTATCTGTGCTTGTCTTTACTTTTCTGAATGTGTTTGTGGCTGCAGGTATACTACTGCCCATACAAGGCCTTCTACAAGGGCAGTGTCCTGCCCACCATGTTCACAACGCTACCACTGTTGAGGCACATACTGATTCGAGAGCAAGTTGAAATCGTCCACGGCCACTCTGCGTTCTCCACGCTGGCCCATGAGGCCATGTTACATGCTCGCGGCATGGGCATAAAGGTATGGCCACCTTGCGTTCTCCATGCTGGCCCATGAGGCCATGTCACATTCTCGCGGCATGGCCGTAAAGATGGGGCCACACCAAGTGTCTACGTGGGGCAGGAATGCGAAGGATGTGCCAGATGCACTCCTGCGCATGAGCTGGTCCGTGCGTGATCAACATCTAGCAGTTCAGCACACATTTGCATTCACATGATTTGATTTGAGTATGCCACTTGATCTGTACCTCATGCACAAAATGTCTTATTATAGCCATAATCTCACTGTCCACGACTTGATCGGTGTGTGCGGCTGTGTACGCCGTCCAAATTAAGAGGCTCCGCGAACGTGGTCTCAAATCCGAGCTGGTGAGATATTCGTCACGACTGATGGGCTGCCTGTTGGGCTTTACCAACATCGGCTCGTTACAGACGGTATTCACCGACCACTCATTGTTCGGCTTCGCGGACGCGTCGGCGATTATCACCAACAACTTCCTGCAGGTGTCGCTGGCCGACGTAGACCACTGCATCTGCGTCTCCTACACAGGGTACGGCCTGCTCGCGGGCCGCGTCCGCACGCGGGCCCCCGCGTCGGTTTTCATGCAGCAGCTCACATCTCTGCCATCCTCTGACATAGCGGGTTACTTCTCCCCATGTGAGAAGTTTTCTTGTGTGTTTGTTAATGTGGGTGCGAAAGCAGTTGAAGACGTGCTACAGGTGCATTAAATGCAGCAAAAAGTGATAAAGTAAAAGCCTTACAAAGGACGTAGGGTATTTTGCAAAGGTATGGGTGCAAACTGTTCGGGCTGCTGGCCTCAGCGCACCAAGCTTGTGTTAGGCGTGTCCTGAACCGGCCTGTCAGCGCGCTGGCTGGCGCCGGCCGCTGTCAGCGCGCTGGCCGGCGCCGGCCTCTGTCAGCGTGCTGGCTGGCGCCGGCCGCTGTCAGCGCGCTGGCCGGCGCCGGCCGCTGTCAGCGCGCTGGCTGGCGCCGGCCGCTGTCAGCGCGCTGGCTGGCGCCGGCCGCTGTCGGCGCGCTGGCCGCGCTGGCCGCTGTCAGCGCGCTTGCCGGCGCCGGCCGTTGTCGGCGCGCTGGCTGGCGCCAGCCGCTGTCGGCGCGCTTGCCGGCGCCGGCCGCTGTCGGCGCTCTTGCCGGCGCCGGCCGCTGTCGGCGCGCTGGCTGGCGCCGGGGTCAGCGCGCTGGGCTGGCGCCGGCCGCTGTCAGCGCGGCTGGCTGGCGCCGGACGCTGTTCGGCGCGCGCCAGCATGCTCAAGCCCTGCCCTGACCCGCCGCCCTGTACCGCCCGCCCGTCGCAGTAAGGAGAACACCGTGCTCCGCGCCAGCGTGCCGTCACACCGCGTGTCGGTGATCCCGAATGCGGTGGACAGCGCGGCCTTCACCCCTGACCCGGCGCGCAAACGTCAAGACCGGGTGAGCGCCAACCGACGGTGGCCGCGTGAAAGACGATTTTCATCGCGGCTGGAGTTGTCTGCGTATGCTCCGGCGTTTGTGTGCTGTTGGCGCACTGGAGAACGGTGGTCCGTGCTGATGTGGCTATATGAATATCGTCGCTTCCCGGCTGGTTTGCCGCGTATTTCGCGCGGGTGCCGCTGTTGCAGCGTTCGCCTTCGACCGGCAGATAACCGTGGTGATGATATCCCGGCTGGTGTACCGCAAGGGGGCAGACCTGTTAGCGGCCCTCATACCTCTCGCTTGTCGCCGCTACAGCCAGGTGAGTGGACTGGCGTGGCGGCCCTCATGCCGCTCACCAACCGCCGCTACAGCCAGGTGAGTGGGCTGGCGTGGCGGCCCTCATGCCGTTCACCAACCGCCGCTACAGCCAGGTGGGTGGGCTGGCGTGGCGGGTCTCATACCGCGCGTCTGCCGCCGCTACAGCCAGGTGAGTGGGCTGGCGTAGCGGCTCGACGTGGGAATCCTGTCAGTGGCTCGCCATTAACCTGGCCAGATCCGGACGGCCGTCCAGCTCTACCGGTTCAGAGTCCAGAGTTTTTGATGTCGGTTACATTGATGCAACCGCAGACAGAGCCAGCCGAACAACGCGGCGTTAGCTGAATGTTCAGCGTTTATTGTTGGCCATGCGCAGCTGAAATCCGCGCTATGCTGAGATGGCGGTCGGCACGAGTTTGTAGCCTTGACATGCTACGTCAAGTAAAAACACGTTTCACCTGGCCGTCCCGTCAGATGCACTTCCTGATCGGAGGGGACGGTCCGAAGCGCTCTATGCTGGAGGAGACCACTGAAAAGCACCACCTGGCCGACCGGGTCACGTTCCTGGGCGAGCTGAAGCACTCGGATGTGAGTTCGCCTCCGGCGCTGTGCGGCGTGTGCGTGTGCGCGTGCGGCGTCGCGCGTGGCGCGTGCCGTGCGTGTGGTGTGTGTGGGTGTGGGTGTGATGTGGGTGTGGTGTGGGTGTGGGCTGTGGGTGTGGGTGTGGGTGTGTGAGTGTGAGTGTGTGTGTGCGTGTGCTGTGTGCGTGTGCGTGTGCGTGTGGCTCCGTACCTAAGAGACGGCCGGCGGTTGCCTCGAGCTCTCCGCGTCACCTCCCGCTCTCAGTTAGCCGTTTGTAGTCTCAATGCCTGACCTGCTCATCCAAGTGCGGCCGTGTGTGTATGTGTGCAGTAACCTCTGCTTGACAGCATGTTCTGCCGAATCTGGTCTTGTCGTGCTAATGACTTGTTCACGGCTGCGTGATCGCTGAGCCAGCCGTCACCGCTGTGTACGCTTCCCAGGTGCGAGACGTGCTGGTGCAGGGTGATATCTACATCAACTGCTCGCTGACCGAGGCCTTCTGCATCGCCATAGTCGAGGCGGCCTCTTGCGGGTCAGAGCTTCGACAGGACGACCTGAGCGGTTGTTGCTGCTAGTTTTCTGGTGGAAAGGTCTCATGAGACTTCTTTGTCAGCTTTTGGGATAGCAATGACCTAAGCCGCTGCGTGCGTGGTGAAAAAATCCAAAGAGCATAAGTCGAGATCTGATGACTGTTGACCCTCGAAACTGTGATCTGTATCACAACTTTGAGTAGCCTCACCAGAACGCCCCGTCTGGGCTCGCAGCGGTGTCTGTAGTCTTGCGGTCTACACCCCTGCCCGTGTATAGCAGCACCCCCGGTGGGGTGTTACGGGGAGCACGGGCGTCACTGAACGACCGCTTCTGTGCGCCGCCCAGCCTGCAGGTGGTCAGCACCAGCGTGGGAGGCGTGCCGGAGGTGCTGCCGCCCGACCTCATCTGGCTCACAGAGCCCACTGCCCAGTGTGAGTGTGACTGTCGCGCACCGTCACCCGCCGCCCAGTGTGAGCGTGACTGCCCGTGCCGGTACCCACCGCCCAATGTGAGACTCACTGTCGGCACCCACCGCGCAGTGTGAGTGTGAGTGCCCGCGCCGGTACCCACCGCCCAGTGTGTGTCTTTCATTGTCGGCACCCACCGCCCAGCGTGAGTGTGACTGCCCGTGCCGGTGCCCACCGCCCAGTGTGAGTGTGACTCGCTGCCGAGTTTTCTGTTTTCTGGCCCCAAGTGAAAAGGAATAATGGTAATGTGCGAAGTGTGCATTGTCTAATGGGACAGGTCACAGCTGTTTTTAACTCACTGACCTGACAAAAGGTCACATTTGCTAAACGCTCTGATATCTAACCCGAAGTCTACCCACTGCTCACCGGTCTCCTTGCCCATCTAAATGTAAACCAAAAAATGTTGCTTTGTGTGGGACGCTAAATCACGCTCGTTACACGACTGTGACTTATTTGAATGAACGGTAAGTCGCAGGCAAGTACTGATTTTTTGTGTGATGGAGGTTGACTCCAAGGATCTCCTGGCCTCGTAGTCAGCACTGTTGACATGTGAGAGGACCGCAGTGACTGTGGGCATCTCTCGCGCAGTGGTGGCGGTCGGTCTGCCTGTTGCCCATATGTAACTGGAGTTCCCTCCGTCGATAGCGATTCTCTTCGGTCTGGACGCGGCGGTGGCGGCGTCGGCCTGCCCGTTGCCCATATGTAACCGGAGTTTCCTCCGTCGATAGCGCTTCTCTCCGGTCTGGACGCGGCGGTGGCGGCGTCGGCGCGGCCCGGCCTCTGCTCGCCCTGGGAAAGACACCGCCGCGTCGCTGCCATGTACCAGTGGCAGGAGGTGGCGACCCGCACCGAGCGCGTGTACGGACGCCAGTCTGGGCAGCGCCGCGGCGCACCACCCGCCAGCAGGTCCAGAGGTGTGCATCACACTCGGATGCGCCGGCGGTGGCACGGCCTCGGTCGTTGCTAAAAGCGGGAAATTTCGAGGTTTTCGCTGGAGAATAGATGTGTGTACGTGTGTTTTGGTAGTCTATCGCCCCGCTCCTTGCTGTCCATTTTCCGTGCCCTATACGTTAGCTGAGCTGGAAGTTGGAAGGTTTTAACTGCCTTCCGCTACGTTTGGAAGACTGACGGAAAGTGGCACAGTTGCTGAGTTAGGTAATGTACGAAATGGAGCACTAGTATTTCGGCTGAATCTGAGATGAGCGTTTTTTTTCCTGGTTGCCAGATAAGTCGTAATTGGTCTAATGGTGCTTTGCATATGATTGCGTTCTGACCTTTGAAGTTTTTTCAAAGAATGCTTTTCCAGCAAGTCGCGAAATACAAATCCGCGTAGGCCTCTGTTTTCTCCCGTGATTTTGGGGAATGTGTGTTCACTCTTCACTGTGTCTTGGTCGTGTATATGCGGATACAAGGAAGCAGGATATGTTAGAGCTAGACTTAAGATGCTGTGGCCCTTCTACGACACTAAGTCACTTCAGAAACCCCTACTTCACTTCGTGCATCTCAGAATGGTAAGACTAGTGCCATGGTGGCGGCGTCAGGTGGGGTTTATGAGATAGGGTAGGCGACATGTTCGAAATGGATCCGTGCATTTTCGTAGCTACTCTGCAGTCAGTACGAAACGGCTCGCGTGCGCCAAGGCTAGCTATGACAAGTTCAGTTGTTTGTAGGTGGTGCATTCAGTAATGCTTGACGGACACACGAACGGTATCAGGAGGACTGAGCGGATCGCAGCTGTAGCTCTGACACTTCCTCGGATGTCTGCCGCAGGTACCTGTCCATGGCGCCTCTGTCGGGCAAGTTCATGGTCGTGATTTTGTTCCTGCTGAAGTTGTATTCGGCTCTGCTAGAACGACTGCAACCTAGGGAGGTCAGTATGGCGTTTGCGGGCTTTCGTTAGAGCGGGAGAACGGTCAGCAACTTTACAGGATCCAAAATATCGAGTCCTGATAAAATACAGAGTCCTGAACTCCACAATTCCTATTGTTATTGCAGCCACTCTGGGTAAATCCACAGAAGGGTCGTATTATCCGTCCCTGTGGCTGATCACAACCTGGAATAGCGTTGCTTTCATGTGATTTACACCATCGACGTCATTCCCGTTACTCATCACGATATGTATGCCAGAGGGCTGGTTTGAGAGTCCAGTACACGGTCACGCATAACAGGGTACTGAGAAACCACGATCTCACGATACCAAACTCTGCCTTAGGATAGCAAAGACAGCTTTCGGTCGCGTGGCTTCCTCGAGCCCCGTCTAGTCGAGGGTGCCATCGTGATATCGGACGCGGTCCCGCCTCCTTGTCACGCTATATTATCGGGCGGCCCGGCGCTCGGAGCCCCGGCTGCACGCTCCTTGAGAGATCGCCAATGAATGGCAGCGACAGATATGTGTCACACTGTCTGTGTCTTGGATCCGATGAGCACGACGTTCAAGGTGGTATGAGTCCTTTGCTGTGAATCTTGCTCGTTTTATGTGTAGAGAATAGCTGTTTGACCGAAGGAGGGCCTCAACTTGTGTCATTTCTCGTAGAACGACCTGGTAGGACGACTGCAATCTGATACAACGGACTGTGTCTTCTCTGTATGCATGTCCTGTGGCATGATGACGAATCCCTGGCATCTATCAGACAGCTTGAGTAGTTTGTTGCAGCCTTATCTTGCTGCCTGTGGCGCTCGCTCTTCGTCTTTACTGTGGTTGGCAGCTCGTGTGTGATCATGTATGCATTGCTTACTTTTTACTTAGCTTTCTGATCTCATGTTCAGCCAAATGGGGATCATGTGGTGTCGTCTTAGTGTCTGTTCAAAGAACCGTAGAGTGGAAAAACTGAGTGGATCTTTTCGTTTATGGTTTGGATTTGACGGGTGTGGATGGACCAGGGGACTACCAGGGCCAGCTCACATGTGTGGTGGTGGTGGTGGACATCTTGACGGTCCGTGTGAGGCGCTGTGCGCCAGGCTGGAAGCACGCTCATTCTCCAATTGAAGTCTTCAACGGAGTACAAGCATGCTTCTTGTGCTTATTCTACGCTACTTTCAAGCCCCAACTCAGCCTGCCCCATGACCTGACGGATCAGGGGAGAGCAAACTCTGTGCCATGTTTGCCTTTGTATCATTGTTTCAAAATCTCCGTCGGTGACCTACCCATATTGATGCGCGTTTTTCTAAGCGCGCGAATTTAATGTTCGCCAGTGGTCTTGTCAAAACTCATGCCTGAGGAAGGCCCAGGGCCGAAAGCTTGTCCCCGACATTATTACATAAAGTTTGTTATCATGAGACTGGTTTCTTATAACTCTGCTGTGCGTTTTCGTAATACGGTATGTCGTAAAACGCGATTGCTAAGCGCCAGCCAATTAAAGCCTTGTTTCACGAAGCGGTTGTTGCACGTTGGTGTTTACAATGTATACGTCTGCCAATTTCCAGGAGATCGAAATAGCTCAGGACTGGGGCCACGAAATCGAGTCGGCCCAGGACTGGGACCAGGGCATCTCTGGGTAGCCCAGGCCTGAGAGTCGGACTGCTGGTGCACCCCGTGCTCACAGCCGGGCGAGCTCCGAACTAGCGTATGAACCAAGCCACAGCGCTGAGTGTGGACAGCTGGTTACGCCCGGCTTTGGCTCCAGTACGCGAAGCCCAAGTTTTGCTCCCGCAGACGGCGCTGAAAGTTAGTCACTCAGAGCTTCCAGTGACCGAACGTGTGATACTCAATCACCTGACAGAGCATGCGCTTGTTGCGCAGCCGTTGGTCAGCCATTGTTGTCGCATTGCGATTTCCAAATCGTACGCCAATAGTGGTATTGTGGACGCATTTTGAACAATACACCGTGCCTTTTTTGGACGCGTTTGGACCTTGGTCTTGTGGGCCGCATCTGAAAATGTTGTGGCAGTGCAATATTGATCCGGTTGTAATAAAGAAGTAATGCATTTAGTCTGAAGTAATGAAAGCATGTTGTAATGGAGATACACGTGAATGCGGTGTTTGACTTCTGTGTCGTAACGACGCGCTGCTGCGTAGTTTGTCCCAATGGTGGCAGCCGCGGTCGCGGCGCAGGTAAGCGGCCAGCCCTGGTCGTTGCAAGGCCGAGGAACTACGCGGCAAGACTTGCAAAGTGGTAATTTCGATCCTTGCATGCGAACCATGCTTCATGATAGGCCAAGGCGTAGCCTGTGACCCATGTGCGGTGTGAGCGCGCCCCGCGAGCGACCGGGCTTGTTCTGCCTTCTCTGACCACGTCACCGAAGCGCTGGATTTGTTGGCAGCAGCTCGGCAAGCCAGCACAGGACGAGTAACTTGCATGGCCATCATGCCTGTTGGAATCCCCCGCGCCTGCCGCACGCTGACCGTGACATGACCCGGGCCTCCCGAAGCGGGCAGGGGCCGCAGCGATTCCCGTAGTGGCGCTGTAATAGTGCAGGTTTTAGTAGCGGCGTTGTGTAACGGCGCGGCATAACCGCGCCGTAAACCGCCGTTGAGTAGCCGCGCTCTGGGATTTCGTTCCATGCGGTAAATAAAAAACGGATGTTTTAATGGTGCTTTATTTGCTGAAGGGGCGCGGGATACAAGCAGTAGCAGTTTATCCAAGCCTGGAGCGTAAAAATGCAACGGAAAACCTCTCCCTATATTCTGCTTGAAATCTCCGTACAGATGCATCGCGCCAAAACCAATTACTTTCAACACCCACAAAATTGTTAGGATCAACATGCCAGGACTGGTGACTCAGTTTGGGGAAAGCCTACACCGCAGCGGTACATACTAGAAGCCAATATACATGAGAGTTCACCGACGCCGAAACGAGCATGGCCAGTTCCCGACCCGCGACGCTGGGGCAGGCCTCGAACATCCCTTAGCGGCGGGCTTTCGTCCAGCCATCCTCCTCCGGCTCGCTCTGGGCCGGCTTGGGCGGCGGCGGCGCCTCTTTCCTGGGCTGCTCCCGCTGCTCCTCGCGCCGGCGCCAAGCGTTGGCAGGCGGCGGCGCGGCAGGCAGCGTCTTCTCGACGCGCGGCGGCGGCGGCGGATCCTCGCGGCGCGGCGGACCGTCCCGGCGCCAGGCGCTGCCCTCATCCCTGCGCGGAGGTCCGTCGTCCCTGCGCGCCGGGCGGTCATCCCGTCTCCACGCTCCGTCGTCCCGGCGCGGAGGTCCGTCGTCCCTGCGGGGTTCGTCGTCGCGCCTCCACCCGCCGTCGTCTCTGCGCGGTCCATCATCTCTGCGCGGTCCGTCGTCCCTGCGTGGGCCGAAGTCCCTGCGCGGCCCGTCGTCGCGTCTCCATCCCCCATCGTCTCTGCGCGGTGGTCCGTCGTCCCTGCGTGGTCCATCATCGCGTCTCCATCCTCCATCGTCTCTGCGCGGTCCGTCGTCCCTGCGCGGTCCATCATCGCGTCTCCATCCGCCGTCATCCCGGCGCGGTCCGTCGTCCCTGCGTGGGCCGAAGTCCCTGCGCGGCCCGTCGTCGCGTCTCCATCCTCCGTCGTCCCTGCGCGGTGGTCCATCGTCGCGGCGCGGCCCGTCGTCACGTCTCCATCCACCGTCATCTCGGCGCGGCGGCCCGTCGTCTCTGCGTGGTCCGTCATCGCGTCTCCATCCTCCATCGTCTCTGCGCGGTGGCCCGTCGTCCCTGCGCGGTGCGTCGCCACGTCTCCATCCGCCATCGTCCCTGCGCGGCCCGTCGTCCCTGCGTGGCCCGTCGTCCCTGCGCGGTCCGTCGTCGCGGCGTGGCCCGTCGTCCCTGCGCGGTCCGTCGTCCCTGCGCGGCTCGTCGTCCCTGCGCGGTCCGTCGTCGCGGCGCGGTCCGTCGCGGCGCCAAGCGCCTTCGCCGCCGTCGCCGTCGTCGCGGCGCGGCGGCCGCCAGCTCTCCTCGCGCGCATGCTCGCGCTCGCGCCAACCGCCGCCGCGCTGATCCGACTCGACCGGCCGCTGCAGGCGTTTCTCCTCTACCTCGCGCTCCTTGGCCTGCTGTCGGGCGAAGATGGCGTCCAGCTGCTCCTTCCGCTTCCTGCACGGCCGACCGGTGCGAATGTTAATCGCGGCCAGGATCGGTCTACGGGCCTATGGTGTGTGCAGGGATTACCAGGATGCATGGAGGTTGGAGGGACGGAACGACCAAACACCACGCAGTCTCACACGAATGAACTGACACTCATGAGATCACCAGCAAATGAATGGCTGGTGGCCTGCGATGGCGCTGTCAATATCCGATAAAATCATGCAAATCGCCGCCGTGAATCGGCCTGAGCCTTTCTCAGTATGACTTAGCACACAGTACACAACTGTCCGCCGCCCATATCAGAGCTTGTCTCGCATCCCAGGATACAAGACACCCCGATCGCGTCAGGAGGCGTCCTGCCAGCGTGTGGGCGTACCTGCACTCCTCGGCCTCTGCCGCCTCCTTCTCCTCCTGCAGCCGCTCGGCCTCCTCACGCTGTCGCTTGGCCTCTTCGTCGCGGCGCCGCTGCTCCTCCTCCTGGCGCTCCGTCAGCCACTGCTGGCGCCGCTCCTGCTTGCGCTGCTCCTTGCGCTGCTCGAGGCGCTCGCGCCGCACGTGCGCCAACATTTTCTTGAATTCCTCCTGCTTCGCCTGGAGCGGCCGGCACGCGCGGCGTCAGATGCTGGGCACTGAAGACCCACGGCGCCGCCCCCGCAATGCGCCCCACCATTTCATTTTGCTGTGAGCACCACTCCAGCTTAAAGCACTGGCACTACCTGATCAACTGGCATACATGGCGACCAGGACAGAACTTAGTGCTAACATGCTGAGATGGCTTACATTCCACAACCACGTGGCGAGCTTTACCTGGAAGTCGCTCTTTCTGGCCGAATTCAGCTTGCTCACGAACTTGTCCTTGTCTTCCTTCATGCGTGCCATGCGGCCCTTGTGCTTGATAGCTTGGTTGTGCTCTTCGATGGCCTTGGCGACCACGTCCTTCTGCTGCTCGTCCCAGAGCGCCCTGCTCTCCACCTGAGCGCAGACGGGCCACACAGCAGTTAGTACCAAGTTGCCCACATAAAAGAGAATGACAGAGGGACGGTATCACGATGCCAATTGTGGCATGACCAATATTCCTTTCCAACTACTGCAATAACCTTTTTACAGACTAGACTGACTACATACATGAGCCTGGACTTTACATATGCTTCATAATTTAACAAGAGCGGAACAAAGTATTGTTGTGCATTCCACAATTGTGATGCAACTATGAACACACAGTGTCAACAGCAAATTTAAGTTACACATCAATTTTAAAATTTGAACATATGGGCCCCATTTGAGCACTGGGCCCCGCACAGCCTGGAGCCACCCCGCCCTCCCCCTCCCCGCTGTGCCCACCTTCTGCTGCTGGTATTTCTCCTTGACGAGCGGTATCTCCTCCAGCCGTTTGGCGCGCTCGAGATGGTCCAGCCGACGCCACTGATTGGTCAGCTTCTGCGCCTGCTCGCGCCGCTCCTTCTCCAGCTCCTCTACCTGGCGCGCCATGATCTCGTCCGCGTCCATGCTCATCAGCTCCTGAGGGCGTGTACCGTGCAGGTTTTTGAGCCTGGCCCTCCAAGCCATCGCCACCTCCACACGAAGATTTTAAACAAGTAAAAGCTCGCCGCCGCGCACATTTTGCCTCTTTCGCTGATTTCGAATGGAAACCCAACTACTGGGCATGAGTTGAGCTAATGCCCCACATATTATGCTACCCGATCAGTTGTCAGTTTGATTGCTGCAAATCATAGATGGCTGCACCAATTGCTAGTAAACCTGCCTGTTTTCATCAGCGCGTTCACGTGAGCAATACAAGCCGTCGCCGTCGCAACTAGAGCGAATATTCCGTAACGCCCGACTGGAGTGGAGCTGTGGTGCTGTGGAGCTGATGGGGCTGTGGCACAACACCATTGGAGCTGGTAAGTGTTTGGATGATAGGTTCTCCCCACAAAATGGTATGGTGGAAGAAGTTAGCTCGCTAATAGCTCCTAATGCTACAACATCTCTGCCAAGTTTTCCCGTAACATGTGTCCGTTGGGAAGAATGAAACCACGACACTCACACGATTTCGTGTTGCCGTTACGGCCGAAGGCCGAAGGAAAATAGCCGTATGTGGTGTCCCATTACTTATCATCTGTTGCCATTACAAGGATGAGCTTGCGGTCATAATGGTTTGCTTGTTCCTGGCAAAATAGCCTTGAGCCCTTCTTTGGTGACCGTCATGCCTTTAATCGTCGGGCCCTCGTGCCACTCGTTGGCTCGGCGTGTCTTAAAATGCAATATGCACCCACTAACATATGGACCGACCCACTGGTGATTTCAACGCTACCAAAGATCACGATAAAATCACCGCACTCCACCTTAGGTGTCACTGGATTCAGACGCCTAACTTCCGTAATTACAGGGTTCCTCGACCCCTTCCGCGGCACTTCACCCAGAGAGCTTTTTACGGCTCCAACCGGCGTGCGGCGGCGCCATCTCACCTGCTCGTTGAACTTGCTGATGACCTTCTGACCGACGCTGGTGAGGCTTATCTGGGCGATCTTGGTCTTGAGCTGGCGGGCGTTGATGAGCTTGATCTCGTCCTCGCGCCGCTTGCGCTCGCGCTCGGTAGCCTCGCGCTCCAGGCGGCGCTGCTCCTCGGCCATCTGCTGGCGTTCCAGCTCCTCCTGGCGCGCCTTCTCCTCCACCTCCTGTCCAGCCGGGACACGTCACACCGCCGTCGCGCGTGTGCGCTGCGGCTGGGAGCCTCCCACCCAGTAACTGACACGCCAACGATTCACACGCAACTGTCTCCGCCGCTCCAGTACACACACAAAATAGCCAGCAAGGCATGTATCAGCCACAGTGTCCGGGCGCAGCGACCACGCCACACGGCGGGTACATCGTCCCGGAATCCATTCGCTTGGCTGGACACGTCGCTCTATATTTCGGTACTGAATAGGCCTACTAGGGGACATGCACATTGATGATCCCCAAACAACCTAGCCTCTGTTAAAGCATCTGGGTCATTAGCATATAATCGGCCACAGCATGAACACCGACATGGGTATCCAAGCTTGTAGTCCATAGCAACCTCCAAACAAGCCATCCCCTCCTCATCACGCCCGTCTCGACCACACCGCACGATACCCAACACCTGTAGCCGACAGATCGCACCAGCGCCGCGCCGCCCCGGTCCGAAGCGGGCGGGCCAGCGCACTGACCTTCTCGATGCTGATGGTCTCCATGCGCTCCTTGTGCTCCTCGATAAAGGCCTGGCGCGCCAGGATGCGGTCATGCTCCTTCTTCTTGGACATGTGGTAGCTGCGGTGGATGAGCGCGCGCAGGTCGGCGCGCTCCGTCTTCTTGTAGTCCGGGTCGACCGTCTGCCGGGCGCGGTGCAGCACCGAGCACATGGCCATCAGCTGGCAGCGGATCTGCTCGCTCGGCATCTGCTGCAGGGTCGGCCCCTCCAGCTCGTCCTCGCGCTGGAACTCGCTCAGCTCGGCGCCGAAGTGCAGCGCGCGCAGGCGGTGGTCGACGCGGATCTGCATCTCGTTGCGGCGCACGGCGTCGACCACGACGCGCTCCAGCTTGAACTCGGTGGTGAACGGGCACAGCTCCACCAGTCGGCGGAACTCGATCGTCTGATACACCTGCGCCACCTGCCGACAGCGAGACGGGACGCGTGGAGTGGCCGTCGCCCGGCAGGAGGCTGGACGGCGCTGGGCGGCCTTACGCGGGCACGCGCCGTCGGTCAGTCCACCCTCAGCATCAATAATCCATGGCAAGCAACTATAAAATAGTATTACACTGCCAAGTGGATGCATAGCCATATGTTTGTATACACATACTGTGTCTGATGCGTGAAATACATCAACTACCAAATGTGAGCATAAGCATGTTTGCATATGCATATGTATCTGATACATTTAATGTATCACGTATTGCACTGCAACTGTGGCCGGTCGTGTGCAGTTCGGACGATCGGCGGCCGTCCTCCGGCGGCGGCGCCGCACCTGTTTGATGAGTCGCAGCTGGGCCACCTGGTGCAGCGGCTCGATGTACCAGGCCAGCGTCTCCTGGGCCGGGTCGGCCGCCAGCGCGTCCGTGCACGCCTTGATCTTGTGGCATGCGTTCAGCGGATCGAACGTCACCTCCATCGCCTGGTAGAGCTCCATCAGCTCGGGGCCCACGTGCTGCAGCACGCTGTGGCGGCTCTGTCCGACAGGGCAGGTGGTCAGTGGGACGGGCCCGGCGTCCGCACCGCCCCGGGTCAGGCGCGGCCACTCCCTCTGCCCCAGCCGCCGGCCGGTACCACGGCCGCAGGACCACCACCACAGGGGGGACAATACGGAATAGCAATAGATAAAAGGCATACACAAATAACGACAAGAATATAAATATCAGAATATTCACCGCAGGCTAACAAGACGACGGAAACGCAGGAACAAGACGGCAAAAATAAGAACAAGAACATCAGTCTAGGGATAACAAGCATCAACCGATATCAGCACAGGAATACCAGAAACAGACGTAAGGCATATGATTATAGGAACAGGGACAAGTTGAACATCAATCCAAGAATACTAAATGCCACCATATGAGACTGAGATACAAGACCAAGCCACAAGACCGGCCACGTGTCTCCCCCTCTGAAAGCCTGTCGTATTCCGAGGCTCCAAGGCTCACGTCCAGTGCCGCGCGTACACAGCCGGCGCGGGCTGCGCCGAGTCTCCCTCTCACCAGATCCTTGATGAGCGACTCGCGAGTGGGCGCCTTGGGCATCCGGAGCAGGCTGGCCAGCCGCTCCGTTTTCTCCACCACGTTCTTCTCGATCTCCACGAATCGGTCGTACTCGAGGTGGGCGGGCGTCAGCGGCACGGCGAGCACGGCGAGCAGCACGCGGGACGCCATCCTATGCGGAACAGGCGGCGGCGGCCGTCAGCGAGGCAGCGCAGCTACACAGAATCACATCGCGTGGTAACTCGGTCGTGATCTGCTTCTTGCTTCGTTACATTAATCAAAAAGTTTTCTTGCTTGGTCACACTAATTAAAAAGCTTAAGACGCAATGCTCTTACAAATACGTGCTTACAGTGCTGACAAATGCCCTGACAAATGTATATTTTGTCAGTCCAGGTTTGCCTCATGTCTATGCAGCTACCTGCCTGAAACATATAAAATCTTACTTTTTCAGCTCATCACTGGACAGGTTCTTCTTGAGGTCCTTGGAGAGCTGGAAGAGCTTGAGGAGCGATGCAGCGTGGAAGAGCAGGTTGCCGGCCTTGGCGAACACAAGCGACAGCTTGCTGTGGTAGTTGGCCATCACCTGTCCCTTGGGTTTGGTCTTGGAGCGTGCCATCAGGCTGTGCAGCTCGTAGATGGCGCGGTAGCCCTCCTGAGGGCGGGTGACGTCGGTCTAACTCACGCTCACTCGCGGCAGACCGCGCCACTTCCCGAACACGGGCGCCCCAGGTTCAAACATCAGTCAATCAGACTAGCAAGCATGTAGGCAAACGTGGATGATGAGATCATAATTGGTCAATTGCTAGGTGTATGAGTACTTGGTATGTTGCCAAAAGTATCAAGAAATATCCACAGTTCAACAAATTCGGACGAATGAAGCCGTGAAGTCATTGGTCAGAATAGCTCATCGCACACAAGCACAAGAGGTGGTATCTTGGAACATCTCCTGCAATATATTTTCTATATATTTTAAGTCTCCATCATGTAACATGGTAAGGCCTCTGGACCGCACCTGCCACAGCTCCATAGTGATGGCATTATCAAGTTGAGCCAGCCAGGTCTCCATGTTCTTGGCGTGCGTTTCTCCATTGTTGAGGCTGATGGTGTTGGACGACGAGTGCAGCTTCAGCTGGTCCAGATGCTTCCGCAGGATCTCGCACAGCTTGCGGAACTCGGTCTTACGCTGGTACTTGACACAGAACCGGAACGCCTGCAGTCGATCCAGAAGCCGGTCAGACGGCGAACACTTGGGTACCGTAGCATAACGCCACGCCGCAGTCATCCGGGAGCGACGACCAATGAGTGTATCTACATACAGAACGCCATCAAATACACAACAGCTTACAGATTCCGGGTATATGCTCGTTTTATTACTTGCTATCACTGCGGCTTAACAGCACACACAGCTTGTGGGGCCACATGACTTTTTTCCCCACACACAGCTAGCCACTGTACTACCCACACCCACATATTTCACTGACCAGCTTTCAGGATCATTTAAGCAAAATCATTGAAAATTGCCAATGATTTACAGCTGCTGTTATGTTAATCACGTGCAACACCCCCTGCCAGCTCGTCGCAAAGACGCGACGGATGGACTAACGGCGTCCAGAGCGGAAGCGCTGCACGAGCAGAGGGCGCGTGGTGCCGCCGGGCAGCGGACAGGCGCACCTGGCGGGCCGTGTCATGGTACAGCGACTCGACGCGCGAGTTGGTCTTGAGCAGTTCCAGACACTGGCGGTACGACTCCCACAGAAACTTGACCCAGGGCGTCAGAATGGTGCGGTCCGAGCGGTCCTGCTTGTCCTCTCCGCTGACCGCACTGCGACGACGGAGCAGATGTGTCACCACCTCCAGCCGTGCCGAGTGCGGCACAACACACGCCTTGTGCACACTTAAAAAATGTCTCACAAGAGCAGACTCACACTGATGGGTGCATAGGCAGATGCTCAAAACATCAAACCCAGCCATCGCCACTACATGATCACAACTGATGGCACCTGCATCTCCTATGAATTGGACCTGGTCCCTTCGCAACGCCAGCCTCCGTGCAATGACCGCCGTCCGCCGGGGGCCGACCTCACGGGTGTCAGAAATGGCCGCCGTTACCTCAGCAGCAGCTGCTCGGGGCTGACGAGGTTCTCCAGGTCGTCCACCTCCTCCACAGCGTCCTGCGACTCCTTGCGCGCCGCCTCGGTCTTCTGCTCGGCGTTGCGCAGGTAGCCACGCACCACCGTCTCCAGAGAGGCCACGTTCACCTACGCAGATATACGGTCAGATATGTCCCACTGTACACATGTCACAGCCCACAGCCCACAGTACACAGTGGACACACACAATTTGCTCACCAGCCTGCCCAGATAACAGGCACGGTCCAATGCATGAAGCTCATGCACACTGAGACAGTAAAAAAACATCTCAATATCATATTACATCAAAACAGGCAATGCATGATGGCAGACCCATGTAATGATATTTGGAGAACTAGCACTGGATATATCCCATAGAGCAACATTGACCTGCATCTTTATGGACATTGGCCTATAAGTCTACTCCATGCAATGCTTCCCAGGAAATTTGCACCACTGGGATTCACCATATTTGTATCACATTCCCTAATCTAGATACTGAGCATGATTGTTGTCTATCACAACAGAATGATCATCTGTGATTACTATTCAAAGTGGCTACTTCTTCACAATTTGTAGCCATGGCTTTGTAAAAATAATCATAAAATTGTCATGCTCACATTCTGGCAGAAGTTCCTGTACTGGAAAAGACCCTCCTTGGCATTGTGGGACTTCTTCAACTCCACACAGAGGTCCAGGTACATGAACATGATGGGCTCCAACTCCTTCTCGGAGAAATTGTGCTGCCTATGGCGGCCGCGCCGGATAAACTCGTAGAGGACATCGAGAGCTCGGTCTTTCTTGCCCACCTCCAGAAGTTCTGCACAAAGGAACAAATCGGATGCCTATTAGAACAGGTCAAATGTTATCATATAGTAGTGGACAGCTTAGACCACAAGCTCATACCCTAGTCTGGAAACTGGGGCACATTTGAATACCATCCTGCATATTTGTCCTAGCAGCAGAAAGGAACAACACATCATCTCAGAATGAACCAACCACACAGAGAATGAACCAATAACACCAGCAAGCCAGCCCAATCTGATAGGGACCCACTCCAAACTTCAGCATTCTCCACATGTGCACAGGTGATCCCTACATCAAAATCACTCTCATATGCTCCTTGTACAACTTTGAGATTAGTCACCAACATGAAATCAATATCTAGAACATCACACTGCAATGAGCAGCAATGAGCACATCCATATTGTTACATATTACACAAAACATACACTACTGGGTAATCTATTGCACAGAACATATGGGCAAACTGTTATGTGGACATCACCATCACCATCTTGCATATTTGGAAAGGTATGGGGAAACTGCCACATAGACATCACAATCACCATCTTGCATATTTGCAAACATGTGGGGAAAACTGCCATGTGGATGCAGTAATATTGTTTCCTGCAAGAAGTCCAATAATCTGTTACAATATAGCTGAACATGCAACCATTTTCAATCTACTTTACATTGCTTCATCTTATTTGGTGGGGACTATACTCATCAATTTATGACAAATAAATCAATTCTGTCCAAAGTGACCTTTGATATTAACTTTAATCTCAAAAACCTGCTTGACTTATGTTTTAGCAACAACAGGACCAACAACTTGTGAACCCCTAGCTCCATCTGGTAAAATATTGACTAGACCTAAAGCTTTGCAGACCACAGTTTGTTTACTAGGGCTTTCGGGCACCACTGACTGCAGTGGTCATTTGGCAACCACAGACCACAGTTGAGTGACATGGTTTGACTATGTCCAGAGGTTTGCAGACAACAGCTTGAATGCCATGGTCTAAGTACAATGCTCATATGGTGGCTGCTCCCATCAGACACTTAAGCAGCCATTCCATGACTTGTATGGTGACGCACACAACTCATGCCGCATTGATGCTGCACCTGACCCTGTTAAACTCAGTCTAGGATCAGGCTCTGTTTCAGGACCAGGATCAAGCTCCAGGGCATGGTTCATGCATTGATAATCAAAACTGCCATCAAAAGTAAACAAAAAAATGCATAACTAGCAAGTTCCTACTTGTTCAGAAGAGCAACTGATCATGAACAAAACAGTTCTCTACCTAGCAATACAACAAATGAAAATACCTGGAAATACCTAGTCTTGACTGTTGAGGATGTCTTTTGACACAGGTTGGCAGCATTGAAACCTAACATGTGGTAAAAGTAAAGAGGGTGTATGTGGTGGAAAATGTGTAGCTGGTAATGCACACATCTCTATCAATTGTAAAAAGGAGCTCAGCAATGTCTTGTATTTGGCAAAAGCAAGTATTTGCAGTTCCATGTTTTTAAACAGTTGCTAAGCATCATATGGGTGATTGAACAGCTCCATGGAGCCAGGGAATGATGCCATCATGTCTCATTCATAACCAATTCAGGGCTGGGGGACATCTCCAAACATGAAGCATCTGCTGGGATGTAGAGCATCAGACATTTGACAGGTGTAAACATTGTGCATGGCAGAAAGATGGTAGGCTCTTGGTGGCAAATAGCCATGGTTAAGACCTATGGTATAAACACCAAGACTGTTACCTCGCTAGTGTGTGAAAAAATGTGTCTACCAATGACACCCTGAGCGCTCAGATGTTGGGCTCAGGCCTGCACTCCAAACACCTGCCTCTCCTGACAGGCCAGGGAGAAGCCAGAAAACATCTTGTATATGTCACAAGTGAACATTTCTGGATTGCAGGTGGAAATCATTGAAACACCATAAAAACTAACATAAAGGTACATGATGCCACACTAACAGTATACCACTAAATATAGTGTGAAGTGATCAAATCTTAGTTGGATAATTATCTTCAATTCTTTTACAATGTTGCCCTAATCAAATTTACATTTCAAGCTTTTTAAAATATTGTATCGAAGGCAAACAGTGACATCACACACCATTCCAAACATTCAATTTGGCACACAGAAACCCACAACTCGGCAAGTCCCCAGCTCTTGGGGAGAATATAGCATTGGAGAGAAGGTGTATTCTACACCAAGAAACTTGAGTTGAAAAAGTATGGAAACCCACAAAAGGGACATTAAAGAAAACAGAATTTTGGAATCAATCTACAGTACATCACCACAAAATTGTGATCTGAGTGTAGTGCCAAAGCAGTTTGTTATTTTCTGTTGAGCAGAACTTTTGATTTTGTTTATATAATTATTTCCTTTTAGCTCTTCCTTTCATTTGAGCAGAATTTTGCCAATTCAAATTTTCAAATCCTTCAAGTCCTAAAAATAAATATCAAAACTGATATACTGCTTACAGAGGCTCTGCTGTTGAAGACTGCAACTCAGTGTGTGCCATTTATGCAGCCTTCCAAATATTCTTGGCGGGGCCATGTGCAGGTGCAGTGTCAGGTGACAATAGCAGGATTGGTTGATAGTATGCATAAAATTAATGTATAAATTCAGCCCAGTGTCATCCACTCAGAAGTTCTGTATCAGACTCAATATTGGTGAGTAGATGTAGAGGTGCTAACCACATCTGGCTGGCTTGTTCCATGGGGAGGAAATAATTCCTCCACCCCCTGCTGCACTGACCTCTGAGCCCTAATCATGCAGCAGCCTGACATTTCAGATGGTGTGGTATTGTATATAACTTTGTGGAGTGGGTGAGCAGAGAAACATTCAAGCCTAAATAAGGCAAAACCTGTTCTTCCTGACTTTGATAAAATTTCTTCTGAGGATTGGGGGAGTGGCTAACATCCCATCCAACTGAATAGGAAACTACATCTCTGATCCAAATTAAGTATATCTAGGTTGGCAAAAGCCTAGGTGGGTATCATAACACCCAAGCATCTGTGCCCCATCTGAGAAAGGTTGTACCTTAGCTAGAAGGTAGCTGCATTAACTACCATGGCCCAGATGTTCCTAGTGATATTATTGTGACTTGCATGACATCTTTACTATAAATTTATCATCAAGAATTATTCAAGAGCTCTGGGGAATTATTCGAAAGGTGCACCACATTTCAAGCATTAGCTTCCATCAGCCTTGATGGAGACTCACACCTTTACCATCAAATTATCAATATCAATTTTCTATTAGCTCCATAGCCTCAAAAAAATATGATATGTGTGAGCATATACTTAGGGTAGCAACACTTACTTAGCTTAGGAAGCTTGAAAATTGAAGAACTGCAAGCAGCCAATCTTAAATGGACTTTGGCAATCACTGAGACCAGCTAGAGCATGGTGTTCACAATGATTTGCTGCTAAAGAATATTATTTGGCACCAGCTGTGAATACAGTGAAACTTCACCTGGGATTTTTTATTCTCACTTCACAGGCCATGATTTTAGAATTTTTGTTCTCGCCCCCAAGAGCCAAAATGGGTGCTAGTAGTGTAGTGGTTAATGCGTCTGCATTACCCACTGCAAGTCTGGGAAACCAGAGGCACAGGGTTTGATTTCCTGCAGTGCCTGTCCTTCCTGCCAGGATGAGAGGCAGGCGACGCCATATAGCCTCAGCAGCTGAGTGTGTCATAAAGCCCCAATGACACACACACACCCCAAGGGCCAAAACAAAATTTCAGATATTGGACTCTGCATCTTCTCCTTCCTTTAACTCTCAAAAATGATGATGTAGACAGAAATGCAGCCTCTTTGTGGTAAAACCACCCTGAAATATCAGATGCTGCAAATAAAATGTTCTGTTTCCATAACATAAGACCAGATGGTAAGTTTTAAGTACACATTTCAGCAGCTGTTAACACCTGGGTGTACAACTCTGCTCCAGCGACAAATCACAGCACATTCCATCCATCTCTCTTTAAGCTTCGATACCCAGTCTCTTAAAAACAGCTGCAAAATATGGCAGGCTTAACTGTGAACAAATATGCATGCATCTCATGCGGCGAAATGGCGACGCCTCCACGGCCAAGCCAGCAGCAGTCGCTTCCAATACATACCCAGAGCTCGCTTCCTGACATTTTCCGGTCTCTGAAAGTATCGAGAGACCATGGTGGCGACAGCTGTCGCAACCCTCTCCCAATATAATCGCAGAAATCCCCTCCGCGGTGACCTACAGCCCCACTCTCATGTGACACAATGGCTGACCGGAAACTGAGAGAGAAGAGGAATGACGTCACGACCCCAAATTCACCTCTAAAACGCTGCTATAAAATTCGTACCGGTGCCGGAGCCGCATGCTGTACAGCAACGTAAGCCAAGACGGCAGTATGTGCGTTGGAAACGTTCGCGAAAGTGGGGACAGATATAGCAAGCAGTGATGCAGTGCCTACGGTTGCAATGGAAAGAGCCCCGCACGATAGATGTTTTCTTGGTGCATTATTCGTGGTTTAGCGGGTTCATCGCTCATTGAGTATCTGCGGGAAATTAGTTTCAAGTTGCGCACTGATGTACTTACCTGGTACCTCGAGTATTCTTTTCATGGACTCTGACCATTCATCTGCGAACCTTTCGTCAAACAACGCTCTAATATTGGAAGAACTAACTTAATAGAATATCATCGTGGACACTTTGTGGCCGGATGCGTTGATTTGCCCACCCTGGATGCCACCTATCATGCATCAGATCCATGAAGCTACTCGCCATGCGTTGCAATGATGACGAGACGGTGACAAAGCACGGCTGCCGTCTTTTTTTTGCATGCAGTTACACACCGCCTAGACCTATGTGCAATATTCAGAATTGCCCTCGTCCTAATATTCTAGGTGGACACCCTATTGGGGCGGATGCACACACCGCATGCTGTGGAATAAACTGACGGGTTCGCATGGCGGTATTGCTGATGTATTTTAGCTCAATTGGATTCGTTGCTGATAAAACAACGCACGGTGGTACGGCGTAGAGAATATGGCGACACACAAGCAGAAGGGTGCGCCCGCTCCGCTGCCCCGGCGCCCACGGTCGGCAGCGGGCACCGGCCAGTGCAGCAGGCAGGCTCGTCGATCGAGCCGCTGCACCTGGCGGACACATTGCGACTGCCACGCAGGATGGAACAGAAACCACAGATTGCCACGCAACCACATCACACGTCCGTCAAACATGCGTCAATAATAGATTCGCTTTATACGCCGCCCAGATGCATATGGTATCTCACGTCTACACTGCACAGGCAAGAAGTCCTCGGAAAATTCCGTCTTCTAGGCGGACGCATTAAAAAGCAAAAAATGGCATACAGACTCTGAGAATAGATAAATCATATCAATCAGCAGTTTGTCATCTTAAATCAATACGCTTTGGGTTTTGGTAGTGCACGCCAAGTACCAGTAGCAATAACGCAAATGTGGCGAAACAGAGGCGCAGCGAATGGCTGTAGTGGTTGCGTCGTAGCATCAGTCCAGCAGGCTATAACCCAAGTTTCAGAAATCCGAAAAGAAACGACCCATACTGATCATTTCACCGTGAAAAATGGGCCGAATGATAGGATGTTTTGAACGCTGGCATCTCATACCAGAGGGCGAAGGAAGCTTCGACGCTTGGGCGTCGAGAAAGCGGTACAATGCATAATCGGGCAGTGACCTTGATACTCCCATATCACGAACAGCGCGCTGAAGCAGCGAATACACATCGATACCAAGAGAGTCGGTAATTGCTATCCATATACACATTCCCAAATCACAGGGAGCCCCAGTCGCACGGACAACAGCCGTGGCAGCTCGAACCCTGCCGCGTAACGCCTCCGCCGATCGACCCCACAGTCCCGCCTCGCGCTCGGGGGCGCACGAACGCCGCGCCCGATCAGCCCGAGGTCGTCCGCCCCGGCGCGCGTCCGGGGTCCGGCGGCTCCACAGACCAGCTGTCCGTCACTAGCCGGCGGGTCGAGCAGGAGTCCGTTCTCGTCTTGTGCCACGGTGATCCCTGCCCGTGTCGCGGCCCAGCGGGTGCTTCCGGCGGCGTCGGCGGCCATCGCGCACCGGCTCCTCGCGCGCCGCTGCCAACGTGGGCAGAGCGGCCGGCACAGTGGCTGAGTACTGGCGACGCCGCGCCCGCAGACCGGCCTCGCCTGCGCCCCACAGAGTTCGTCCCGCCCGCGCGCTGCACGGCTCGTGGGTTAGCAGCATTTCTTCTTGGACTTTGTGTGCTGCCTTCTCACGTGGATTGTGTCGCTATTGGCATTCGACTGCTGCTCCTTCTGTCGCTTCTTCGACTCGAGCACCTGTCGGGTGATGGCTTCAAACATCTGAAACAAACAGCACTCCGTCAAACTCTGAAAAGGACGACGCAATGGATATATGCATGCGCTTGAGTTTTTGGCACGTACCTTTCTATGAGGTCAATATCGAACTGAAGTCTTCCGTAATGCAGAATGTTATCGCAGAACAAACACATAGTGCAAGCCAGGGTATATCACGCAAACAGCCATGACTAAATTTTGGGAAACCTGTCATAGTTGGAGCTTTTTCTTTCTAGCAACTTGTCGTTCCATTAAAATGCAACACAGAAACATAATCATATGGACGTGTACCGAAGAAACAAGTTATGCCACCGAAATGCGACAACGTATACCAATATGATGCAATGAACCGACCTTCCTCGTTTAGGACAACATAACACAAAAAACTGAAATTCACAACACGTTCAGTTCCGGTCACATTCAACCTTACCGTACGTTAGCCTTGGGTGACGTGTGTCATCTTATGTTGTGCATTATAAGCACCAATATTGTTGTCATTGGCGCCTTCATAATGGGAAAAAATAGTAACATACTTCAATCAAGACAAGGTCACATATTTTAGGGTGTGGCAAGTAACTTATATTCTTCGCACGACTTACTAAATAGCATTCTGCTTCAACGCCAACGCCGTATGAAGGCTAAGAGCAAGCACGGATGCGTGAACCGTTGCAGCGCGCGTCCTAACGCACACGAACATAAATGCAGCAGTTATGCAGTGGATAGTGATGATGAAGCAGGAATCTGACCTTTTTTGCAACTAAAGTAACACGCACCTGTCAAAAGGATCAGATGATCAAGTGAAAATACCTGGTCTTTCCAGCAAAGGTCGGCAGCCATGCACCGAACTCTGTGAGGCATGTATCTCGCAGCCATGGATAGAGAAAGCGACATGGCAGGCCTGTGCGACGCAATGTCGACGTTTCCTTTTTAAATAACACCCTGTTCTGGTGGTCTTGCTACCCATGCATTCCAAGCATTCTTCACTCCTGCTCAAGCCCCAGCATGCACCACCGGAACACCACAAACTAACGCTGTCCCAAAGTTCGGCCATGCACCACTGGAACTCAACCCACTAACATTGTCCCAAAGTTCGGCCATTAGATAATACATAAAACAGTGTGCATATGTAAGAGTGCAGATTGGGGCATGTGTTAAGTGCAGAGTGGAGCAAATGTAAAAAAGGCATATGAACAGCTTTGCAGCATCATTTGGACCGACCACGTGGTCTGCACGCCACTACATTGCAGGCACAGACGAATATTTTGCAGTGCATGGGGCGGGAGGCGGGAGACGCCACAAGCACGCACGCACCTCGTCTACGTTGATGTTGTCCTTGGCGCTGGTCTCGAACAGCCGGATGCCCATCTGGTCGGAGAAGCGCTGGGCGTCCTCGGTCAGCACCACCTTGCGGTCCGGACTGTCGTTCTTGTTGCCCACTGGCGGCAGAGCGAGCGGCGCAGCGCCGGTGACACACACCGCAGGAGGGGCGACACCGTCATCTCGTCCTATACGGCGACACACGAACGACTGCAATGCACGCCACAGTTCGATGACCTCTTCAGCCTCCGTGCTGCAGGCCTCCCCACAAAACACTTGAGCTCTGGTGAACGCGACTGTGGCTAACACAGTTCGGTGCATCTCGACGCAGCGCCGCTCCTGGCCTCGTCGCGTCGCATCACAAACATGCACCCTTGTGACGCACGTTTGTGCTCACATGGGCGCACAGGCACGGCGCACGTACATGACGCACCGACAATGACGATGATGATGATTGGGGTTTTAGGGCGCGTCGACTTCTAGTCATTTTGCGCCCATAACAGCTAAGTGTTTACCGTGGCGTATAAATGGCTGTGAATCCTACGCTTCTCAAAAATGAAAACAGCTGTCCGGTGCCAAGCATGCGAGAATCGTCACCAATAAGGTCTGAAAAGGTAAGACCTGACGCATCTCGTCCGAAGTAAAGTGCCCGCTCTTCTCTGAACTGTGGGCAAGAGTGAATAACGTGGCGAACCGTAAGTGGCGCATCACAGCGAAGACATTTAGGGCGTTCTTCACCGCACAAAAGGTAGCTATGTGTTGCGTGCGTGTGGCCAATTCGTAATCTGCTGAGGGTTACTTCTTCGCGTCTCAACTTACGTGAGCTTGAAGACCATAGACCCAGTTGTGGCTTGATCATCTTTAACTTATTGTTTACAATGGCGTCCCAGCAGTGTTGCCATTTTCCCTTCACAAAGGTCGCGATTGCAGAACAAAAGTCCCTTGCCGGCAAGGGTAAAGAACGGGTGCAAGGTGCACGCGTTGCCCGTTTTGCGGCCGCGTCAGCACGCTCGTTACCTGCGATACCCACATGACTCGGTATCCAACATAAGACGACAGTTTTACCAGCAAGATCCAGCGCTGTCAGGCGAACTAAAATATCCTGTATAATGGGACAAGGTGGGTTATAGGTTGTCAGAGCCAACAGGCTGCTCAAAGAATCGGATAAGATCACATGTGAGTTGCTCTCACCAACTTCGATGAAGCATAGGGCTTCACTGATTGCAACGAGCTCGGACGTGTAAACTGAGGCGTGTTTCGGTAAAGAAAAGGACCGGGTGGCTTGGTCATTCACAAATGCAGCACCAACGCCGACCTCCGTCTTGGACCCTTCAGTATACGTGGCTTGAAAACCTATGTACGACCCGATGTGCTCCAGAGCCTTCGATCTCAGGTTGCATGGGATCGCTCCCTGTTTGCTTGTGCATGAAAGGGATACATCCACTTTTGGTGAGATTAGCTCCCATGGAGGCACTAATACCGGACGCGACCTTAGCACACCACGCAAATTTATGTTGCTTTCCCGGAACAGCTTCTTCATATGGACACCAAATAGAATAGCGGACAGACTTCCGCTACTTTGGGACTTGCTTTCCACATCACGTGAGTGAGTGGAGTGAGTCGGTGTTGCTCGGTGAGTCGGATGGTTGGGAAATTGAGCCAGCTTGCAAAAGTACCGCATGCCAAGCATTTCCCTTCTCAGTGCCAACGCCGGTTCATTAACTTCCACGTTAAGGCTAGCAAATGGCGACGTCCTGAATGCCCCCGTCACAATGCGTAATGCGGTATGGTGCACGGTGTCTAATAAACGTTTGGAGGAACTCGGCGCGCGGTCATAAATAAAACAGCCATAGTCAAGTTTCGAACGTATAAGTGAGCGGTATAGCAGTAACAGTGTTCTTCTGTCCGCTCCATAAGATGTTCGAGACACATACTTCAATATGTTCAATGCTTTAAAGCAGTTGTCACGTAGGGTTTTCAAATGTGACCCACACGATAACGGTTATCAAACTGCAGACCCAAGAAGCGGGTACTGGGTTCGTTTGGGATGGTCTGGCCGTATAGCCTTAAAGCCATAGCGGGGCATTGACGTCGTCTGCAAAAGTGCATAGCGACTGTTTTCGAGGTCGAGAAACGTAGTCCGTTTATAACGCTCCATCTTTCCAGGCTGATCACAGCCAACTGCAAGCGACGTTCCAAAGAGGCAAAGTTTGACGAGGCATACCAGATGGCGACGTCATCCACGAAGAGAGAGCGGCTGACCGACTTTGGAAGGGAGTCACCAATATCGTTAATCATAACCGCGAACAAAGTGACGCTCAAAACGCTACCCTGGGGCACGCCATTGTCTTGTTGGTGCCTATCCGGGAAGTGTGAGCCAACACGAACTCTGAAAGAACGATCGGTCATAAAGTTCCCTAAGACCGTGTCCATGGCTCCTCGAATGCCATAATGAAAGAACTTTTTCAGGATGCCGTAACGCCACGTCGTATCATAGGCTTTTTCAACATAAAAAAACAGCGCCAACATGTCGCTTTTCCCTAAAACTGGTGCGAATGTTTGTGTCGAGAACTATAAGATGGTCAATGGTACTGCGATTTTTCCTGAATCCACACTGAGCAGCCGTAAAAACGTTGTACCGCTCCAAAAACCACGACAAGCGCACATTTACCATACGTTCCATCAACTTACAAATGCATGATGTCAGTGAGATAGGGCGATAGTCAGCAGGGTCAGCCCCACTCTTACCAGGCTTGATCATAGGGACAATATGTGCCTCACGCCACGACTCCGGAAAACCTCCATTCTCCCAGAGATTGTTGTACGTCGCTAAGAGGGCCTCAACTACTGAAGTGGGAAGTTGCTTAAGCATGGCGTTGTGAACTAGATCCGGACCCTCTGCCACATTGCGCAGCGATCCGATCGCGGAAATAAGTTCGGCCATTGTAAAAGTCGGTTATACGACATCTGCTCCGTCGCGCTGAAGTCGACAGGGGATGCCTCGCAGCGGATCCGGTGACGCATAAACTGCGGGACGGCATTGCCGTTACCACACCGTTCGGAGAATGCGCGGGCGATGTCATTTGCTACGTCAGCTGGGTGTATAATGTCACGTCCATTGATACGGAGCACAGGGTGTGGCGCAGACGAGTGCTGTCCCGCAATGCGTTTGATCCGTGACCATATATTGGATACAGGTGTTTGGCAGTTTAGTTGGCCGACGTACGATCGCCACGATGCCCGCTTAGCCTCTAGAATGGTACGTCTAGCAGCCGCTCGTGCTCGTCGAAATGCAATAAGATTCTCAGTAGTACTCCGACGGTCAAACTTTCTAAGGGCCCTCCTACGTGCACAGATTGCGTCCCGGCACTGCTGTCCACCATGGGACAGGAGGACGACGAGGGCAGCCCGACGTCCGCGGTAAGCACCCTTCTGCAGACCGCAAAATCAGCGGTGTCAAATCCTCTACCGACGGGGGTTCACTCGCTGGCTGCATAGTAAGGGAATGCTCGATCCTCGCTTGAAACTCAGTCCAGTCGGCTTTTCTAAAATTCCAGCCCTGTGGCCGAGAACCAAGAAAAACGTCAGCCCGGTACTTGATCAGATGGAAAAGTGGTCACTTCCCACTGGATCGTCTGACACCGACCAGTCAAAATGGTTGATCAGTTGTGGGCTCAAAATACTGCCGATTGCCGATGCCTGTCCTGATGGGAGTGTAAAATGGGTACGCGTGCCCGTGTTTAAGAGGCACAGCGGTTCTTCATGTATGAGGATTTCGCAGCGTTTCCCGCGAGTGTTGGTCTTGACACAACCCCACGCTGAATGGTGAGCGTTAAAATCACCTAAAATGAGGACAGGCGGCGGAAGCTGAGCCACCAGGTGTCTCAGATGAGCAGACGGAAACCCGGTCCCCGGAGGCAAGACGATTGAGCATATGGTGATCGTATGGCAGTTTAACAACACTTTGACTGCGATAGCTTGAAGCTCAGTATTCAAAGCCAGCCTTTGTGCACACACGCTGTGGTGCACGGTTAGGAGAACGCCACCATGAGCAACAGGGTCAGGTGGTAAATCTCGCCGCCAAACAGCATAACCCGAAAGACTAAAAACGCTGTCGGGTGCCAGTTTTGTCTCCTGGAGACATATCACCGCCGGGCGCCGCTCGTTAATGCATAGTTGGAGATCCTGGTAGCTTGTTCGGACGCCCCTACATTTCCACTGTAAAACATTCGTCATGGAGCTAAGAGGTCAGGACGGTCGTTAGCTTCGTATCACTCCATGGTATCGACGCCTACCGGAGGACGGGGGGCATGTGTTTGGGTCGTGAGTGTAAAACAGACCTACTTTTAAAAATACTCGGCTGCGCCGGCCACAGCAGACCCAGACGGTCCAGCTACGGGGTGCAGGGACCCACCAAGGTCTGATCCCACCGACGCCGGCCGGGTCCTGGGCCGAATACGTGGGCTGCCGTCTGTGGGCGAGATTGGCCAGGGGGGGGGGGGGGGGGCACGCTTTTCCGGGCGCCCCACTCTAGACGGGGACGGCGCCGGCGAAGCCGTGACCCTAGATGGCGACGCAGGAGGAGGGCCCATCGGTGGCTTCCGAACCTCGGATCCACCAGGGGCCTCTACGCGTCGCCTGGGCGGTGGAACGACTTCCCCCGCGGGAGCACGTCCCTGATCCGCCCCCGGCAGCCGGCTAATCGCCTTCGTCCTCTCCTGCTCAACTAGACGCGCTCGCTTGGCTTCGCGGGCGCGCCTATAAGCTTCTTGACGCTCCATCGTCTCTGCTACACGTTCACATGCACTGGTGAGGGGTGCCTGTGATGAGGAGACCGGTGGTTTCTCAGACGAAGGAGTACCGGACGGCGCGCGAGGGCTGCGGCCACGCCGAACCGTCGTCCACCCGTCATTTGTTGGCGATCCAACTGGTGCCGAGGGGGCCGGCAGCACGGCGGCCACCGACTGCTCGGCTGGTGGGGAGGGAGCTTGGGGTGCTGGCTGTGAGTCCTGGGCGCGTGTTGAGGGTACAACTGATAGGCCAAACGATCTCAAAAGTTCCAGAAATTGAACAGCCGTCATGTTCTCGATCACGTTGGTGTGCGGCAACGAAGCTTTCACTTTCGATGCGTACGATGTTTTTGGGTGGGTCTCGTTATAAAGTTCTCGAGCCTCACGGAATGACACGTTTTTAGAAGTTTTGATTGATATGACTTCATCCCCCTTAGCGTAGGCTGGACATGCACGGTCGTAGGACATGTGCGGAACCTGGTCCTTGCCGCAGTTGACGCAGTGGGGTTTGTCAGAAATACATTTTTCGCTCATGTGCTTGAGGGACGCACATTTGTCACACGCAGCGCGGTTCCGACAGTTGGGTTTCGTGTGACCAAATCGCTAGCACTGATAGCACCGCATGGGGTTAGGCAAAAATGGACGAACTTTTACGCGGACGTATCCCACACGTATCTCGGATGGTATGTCGGGACGACTGAACGTGAGTATAAGGTTGTTCGTGGGCACTAACTCTCCTCCCCTTCTGACAAGAATCCGTCGAGCGGCGGTCACTCCAAACTCCGAGAGCTCCTCCACGATCTCTTCTTCGTCAACGTCACGCAGGTCAAAACAGTTCACCACGCCCCGGGACGAATTTTTCGTGTTATGTGGCGTCGCCGACATTGACACTGTTTTTTCGCGTTTGCCAGCTCCATCCCGAACACTGTACGAAAATTCAGTTGCTTCCATAGCCCGACTCGCCTCCAAGTCACCAGCAAATTCAACTTCTATTTTTCCATCTCGGAGCTTGTCACATCTTATAATTTTTCCAAATTTGTCGCAGCCATTTCTTCTCTGAAACGGTGACAGGGACGCCAGCCTAATCTCGTCACTTCCGCAGACGAGGATCCGTGGTCCGAGGATAGCAGATTCGCCTCTGCACCCTGGAGTTGTCGAGGTCCGCCCCCCTTTCGGAGGACGGGTGTTTTTAAAGGTAGAGGATGCCATGCAAAAAGGGGTTTACATTTCGGCACCGGGGCCCCCACCCACCACGGAGCCCAACTGGGGGACGGCCCAACACTCCCTAGGGAGGTGGTCACCGCCAGGGCTACCCCGGTGCTATACGGGGCGAACGACGCCTCCCACACAGCCAGGTGTAACCGGGGAGGCCCCTCCCCGTCCTGACCGTGGTTCAGCGCCGCCGCCCCTTGACCCCTTAAGCCGCTGCGCGCGGCCAGGCGCCCCAAGCGGAGACCCGCAAGGGGCACCCAACCGCAACGCGAGCGACAAACCGCTAGACCCGTGTGGGGCCCCACGGGCCCCCCACGCCCCCGGATATCCTGGCCAAAGTGGAGTGTTGGGGCGCACCGTGACTGACCCGCACGACGCGCCCCTCAGCCACCAGAATCCGATCAACCCGGGGACGTGGGCGAGGGGGCACGGCGACCCCGATAAAACGAGGATGAGGAGTGGTGATAGGGCCGGATGCGGGAGCGCGGGTAATGTGGAGGGAGCGGGCGGGACAAGGAGCAGGAGCTCACGTACCGGCAGGGTCGCTACGCCCTGAGAGGCACAGCTTGCGCTGCCCACCCGTTACCGGAGCTGGGGCCCGAGGGGGCGCTAGTCCCCTACACCGACCGAAGCCAGTGCCCCTGCGGGGGACGCACCGACAAACTGACCGTCTGATAGTCTATTACAGCAAGCGCGGATTACACCTCCCGGGTGACTGTGACAGATACGAGTCACGACACCCCGAAGAGGCTAACAGCCAGCTTTCTTTAGCTGACTCATACTATGGTGATCCTTAATATGTGAATCCAGTGGAATTTAAATGAGCTTAGTCTCTCAGACATACTGATACTTTTATGATGGCACAGATAAGGAGCTTGTCCGTGTCTTTTTGGCCGAGGGCAGTGACCACCAGAAGGATGAAGAGAAGCTGTTCAACTTTGTTGGCAAGCAGGTCATGATGTCAGATAACTTGTTACTGTGATTTGATAGCTGGACACAAAATAAACATGGTCAAAACTAACGCCAAAAACTTAATTATGCTAGCAATCCTCAAGACGGACAACCATTTTGCTTGAAGGCGTCCTTTGGAGGATCAAGGGTGGCGTAGGCAATAAGGGCGAAGACCTGTACGCCGGAGCTCAATCGATTTCGAGCGCCAACTACAATCCAGTGGGACAGTAACAACAGAGAGCACGCTGGTGTCATGGTTACGGGCGGCACGTACACCGTAATACCTAGCAAAAACACTCCCAGATAAGCACAATACACGACCATCTAAACGTTGCCATTCATGGGCAATAACCTTATGACATGTGTTCAACAGTATGACAAAATGCTCACCGAGTATTCTGTCAACAACCTCGCAGTTCTGCTGTATCTCATGCAGCCACCGTTTCACGTTGCCGAAGGAGTCTCCGTTGGTGACGTCATACACAACTATTACGCCGTGCGTACCTCTGTAGTACCTGTAAGAAAAAACTTTGGTAACACGCGTATGCCAAGCGATTAATCTCGAAATTGGCCTCGATGCGCTCCGTAGAAAAGCTCGAACCTGCAGCGGCGGGATACTGGCTCATCGATATCTCAGAACTAAAACACACAAGACGTCACAACCGAATACATCAAACACGTTTCTTCCTTGAATGCATGATGACTTTTGACATTAAAAATGCACCCGTAAGCGAACTTCCATGGAAGGGTGCGTGTCTTGCCTTTGCGCTGAAAGGAGTATGGCAAAACTGAAGACGCCATAGCTCGGCGTTATCACAGAACTACAGCCAGCAGCCAGGCTGTTGCGAGACTTAATATCAGCTGTTTTAATTTGTGTCACCTGAATTACATGCATCGTAAAGAAGACCAAGTCAAATTAAAAGTTGGACAGATCGAAACCAAGTGCTGCAGACGTTTTCTTACTATTAACAAAATACGTTCTGTCGCTACCACAGTACCCAGGACTGGGCTCTCGTCAGGAGAAGCCAGCATTTGCCGACTGCTCCGGTCAGTGCACGTACGTGGAAGTGATAGTTCTGAACCGCTCTTGGCCGGCCGTATCCCATATTTGAAGCTTGATCTTTTCACCATTGACATTCATCGTCCGGATCTTGAAATCCACTCCTATGGTCGTTATGTAGTTTCCTGAGAACGTGTTGTCGGCAAAACGCACCAGAAGAGAGCTCTTGCCAACACCTACCAGGCAGAGAACAGAATCAGCGTTATGAATCGGTAGGTGAACACTCTGGGGACTGAGACTCCACGTGATCCACTCTCGGGTGATATTTCCATCTGTGCAACCAGCAAACTAATCACTGTCACTATAGGTGAAAGGAAAGAAAGCTCATGACAGCCCTTGCGAATACCCCACACCAAGCTTGCTTTTCACCAGAGGCCAGCAAAACTGAGACTTCCTTCCATTGCACAGCACACAATATACCAAAGCACTCATAGCATACAAACCTCATCAATGGACTGTCTCAAAGCGAGGTGTAGCGATGACATGCAAAGCAGTTTGACTATAGTTGGTGACACTGCTGTTTGCATAGCCAATGCCAGCAGCCTCTTGTGCTTACCGCTGTCGCCTATGATGAGCAGTTTGAAGAGGTGATCGTATTCTCGTGCCATTGCGGATCGTTTATGTCAACTGTAATGACAGAAACTATGTAAATAGATGGACAGTGAGAGGGTTTCTACATATTGCCTTCCGCCACAGCTGAGGACATAATTGACATGGAAATATGAGAAGCAATACTGCGAGGTCATGTGAAGTGCCTGCCAGGTAAGGGCTGCGTCAGTACCATGCGCGCTTCATCAGTTTGTACAGCTTAATCAAATGTACACTACACATACCTTTAACTGAGCCTTTGTACGTACATTACACCATACAACTTATCATTCGCTGCAAAAAATGGTCACGCATCTTTCTAAGCACCCTGCCACACTAACGCAGTGTGCGATGGTTGACACACGTCGATGGTGGTTGAAACATTAGCGACTATACCGATTTCGGAAATGTGCGTTTGCGTATCTTTCGGGGGCGTCGTTTCGCAATATGAGTTGGAAGCTGAACAGGAAAAAAATGATGACACACGCGTCCAAAACATGCCACAGCGGGTTTCTCTCGGATGAGGCCCCCTTTGTTCTCAAAGTTTGGGGACTGGAGCGCGGCCAATGGAAAAGGGAACTACATCTCTGGAATTCTCGTCGCCTGGCGACCCGCCCCACGTACAGGATTGATCAAGTGTGGCCAGTTCCGCGAATTTCCACAGCTGGTGTTGCAAGATGTGAGCGGAATAGGCTCTTTGTAGGTGACAACCCAACACAATGCATGGTGAGCACATAGAATATGTAAACAGACTGATCCTGGGATTGCAGACACAAAAAGTAGTTAAGGAAGTAGACAAAACATGGCAAAAAAACAGCTTCTTCACAAACAAAACACCTTAATTTTCTTAATTTCTTCTAAGTTCCCAAGTGTGTCATCTGTTACCAATTTTGGCCATTGGGGGAGGGCGTGGTAAAAATTCAAATCCACCCCTCTCCCATAGATCCACCATTGACTGGAAACATGGCTTTTTAAAACAGAATTGCTGCCCTTGCTTCATTGTTTTGTAGCATAAACACATTCCACCATCTTATTGTAATAAAAAGACATTTAACACATCAGTGAACACAGTGGCAGTATAGCTCTTTAATATTTTAAGAAAGGTGTGTGCAAAAGTGCAGGTTGGTCGGAAGGGTCAGTGAAATTAAGTGGGTCATTTGACTAGCATGCTTCTGGCAAAGCACAAATGCCTGTTTTTAATTTCTTAAGTAACTTTTCTCACAACAAGCCATTCAGATAGCATCAACTGATTGCAGAGAAACTACAGCAATGCATGAGAATGTCAGATGTATTTCAACACATTCTGGATTCCTTACTACCTTGGCAGATCCAGGACAGTGCAGTTCCCAGTTTAATTTTTTGTTGATATTTTGACAAAATCCATTGCAAGGGTGACTTGGAGGTCCAGGTTATTGTGAAGTGTAGCTTATTGCGCAAACCATGATCATAAAATCCAGTGCAGCAATTCCAGTGCAAAGAAATTTTGATAATTTTAAGGACTGTGTTATTACAATGGTGTTGTTAAGGACTGTGCTGCTAGAACTGTGTTATACAGAACTGCAGAATACCCTATCCAGTGGCCAGCTGGCCAAAATGAACATGTTCATTTGCTAGGACTCACACCCACCTGTTTGCTGACTCAGTAGAATGATAAGTACTGAGTTCCCTCAGCTGCTGGGGCTGAGGAAAATCTCACTTCTTGGTTGAAATGACTTCCCACTCCTGACATGGTGGCACACTGTTATTTATTAGGTAATTAGTGCCTGCAGAGGAGCTACATGCACCATCTTATTCTAACACTTACTACACAATTGCCCCAGACTTACCAAATGCATCTGACATTCTGGGAGCTCAGACTTGTTAGATATTCTCAGAAAGAGACATCACTTACCAGATTCACTGGTTATCAGGTAGAAAAATGGGTTTTGGAAACTTCTGTAACTAAAAACAATCACAAAATGAATGTTCTAAATAATCCTTACAAATCAGGACAAATACCTACTTGTGGTATATACTTTCTCTAATGAGATAAGATTGTTACTAGCACCCACAAAATATTCACATCGTTTAGGCAGTCACTCATCACTGACCACTGGTACCTGATGCATGATTCCCAAACCTAAGACACAATGACTATGTCCAAAAACTGACATGAGGCTTACTCTCCCACTACTCTGCATTATGCTTATTCACTGTAACATTGTTCAAAACAGATCATTTGCTATATTTTTTCACAATATTGGAAATATTTGAAATAGGTAGAAAGAAATCAGCATACAGAGAAACACATACATAGTTTTGAAACTGGCTTCATTTATAGCAAGACATCTTGAACCACAAATTTTGTGACATCTTTCACTGAATAAAAGGGATCCAGAGGTAATCTTTCTGGCTTAATGTTTTAGCCATTTAGCCTTGAAACTGCCTAGCAGAATCAATTTGAGGACATTATCACACAATAGGCATGACACCTAACCTCCCAACAAATGTGTGGCTCATAACAGGTTTGGCCTTAATTTGTATGCAGAACAATTCTAAGCTTTGATGTCAAGTTTATTAGGCTATTTCATAAAGGAAGCCCTTTCAAGATAGGTAAATCATCTCAGTTTTTACAATATTCCAGCAAGAATATGTTGGCAGGGCCCACAATATATTGGGGACTCCACAAAAAACCAACAGACAGATCTGGCCATGCCATTATCATGCAGCAAAATCAGTCTGATGGAAAATGCATGTTTGCATGCCTATAATTTGGTAAGTGCTGGTGGTAGTTAAAATTTAAACTGTCTATCTGTCTACATAGTGCAATATCTGTTCAACAAATAATGCTAAATGATCAGAAAGCAGTACAATTATATAATCATACACCTAAAAATGAAATAACAATATCACACCAGTGCCAGCACTCACAGCACATGAGAGGTGAAACAGATAAAACTGATTGTTGATTGGTCAACAAGCCAGCTGAGCATGGGCAGAGTCTCCTAATATGCATGCTATCTCCTAGTTTGGCATCAGAAAAAGGCAAGACTAGGTAAGGGTTAGATTATGCTGAATTTCAATTAAGTCTCAGGCAATTATTCAAATTATTATGCCAGTAATAGTGTTTTGGGCTGGAACTTTAGAGCTGAGGTAGTCTACTCACTCATGCACTGTGATGCATCATTGTAGGCATTTAAAGCATTATGCATGGTATATGCACAGCAGCACCTGATTTTAAGATGTCTGATATGCATGAGTTTTGTTCTCCTATACAGCAATATACAATATTTTTCAAAAAATAACTTATAAACTGGACAGAACAATGTGGAGGTCACAAAAAGATCGGAGGTACTCACCCGCACAGTTTATGCCTGGAGGTTTAAATATTAACCATGACTGTAGCACCAGATTATTCCAAATATGTAACTATCAAGCAAAATTTTGTGAACATTACACCTTCCACCATGTCCAAGGGGCCCAGCAGCCATCTTACCATTTTTTTTCAACAAAATCATCCATAAAGATATGATCAATTCCATGTCTTTACCATTCCATTTAATGCCAAGTTTCCTCACATTCAATACAGTAGCTTCAATTCTGTACAAATTGACTTAACTCATGATGAAGCAGAACGAAATGTGTTCCCACTTTCACTATGCTTTGCTGAGTAACCTACAGGGCCAAAACTGGATTTTGTTATAACAGGCATGGGGCCATGACCACTGCATGGATGTGATCAATACAAGTACCATGAACAAAGGCCAAAAACCGTTGAGACAGCGTACATCAAATAAGATGTGTCCCGCAGTCCTGTGCCCAAATTCACATGAGCTGACCCTACATAACGCAATCCGTAACGCAACCCCTCCCAAACCCAGATATCCCCTTGCTTCACCTGGATGGCTGAGTGACGGGCTGGAACCGAAAACGGCCTCCAATATTCTGCTTTCGGATTACTCCCCCTCTTTAGCATGAATCTTTATGCGCGCTAGATATTTGGCAGTCGCACATAGCACATCCCAAACCACAGGAAACACTCATCACACATCCGTGATGAGACAACTATGGAAGGCGATGTCAAATCCGGCTAGTGACACCAAACATCTAAAGGGCTGCCTTGAAGTGTTTTGGGGCGGCGATGAGGAGATGCACGACCACCTTGTTTATGATATGAATCACAAGCATGTGCAGCAAATTATTTCGGATTAATATTTAGGCAGAACTTAAACGCACTAAGTTGTATATGTGCGGCCTCAGGGATCCCCCATCCTCAACTTCTCAATCCACATTGCCGCTGTGTAGCGCCAATGTGAGGATAGACTCCGAATTCCTGTTAAAACCCTTAAAATGGCCCGTGTGCTCAATAATATAGTGAGAATAACCTCCCATGTAAACCACATGCCATTCACGAGCGTGCAGTGCAATGTTTGACTCGACCTGACCGGTGCCGCATAAAAACTTGCGACCCTGTCATTCCTTCATGTTTTGCACCATGCATCATAAGAATCAAAAATAATTTATCGCAAAAAGGGAAGTTTTGTACGATGACTTGGCTGGCCATGACGTGACTGAACACTCCCAACGTAACCCGATCAGAGCTAAATCAGTTTCGAAATAAGATACTATGCAGTACTTTAGTATCATCGTCTTATCAAAGCCTTCTGCCCAACTTTAAGCAATAATGTTGGTCCAAACCTTCCACCACCAATCATAGCAGAGAATGAGCAATACAAGTGGTATTGTCAACCTTTGATTGGCTAGAAGTGCCAGTAAAATTTAATTAGTATCATATGGAACAGAATGTTTGATAAACGTCGACCTTCTTGCCTATACTGGCTAGTACACCGATTCTCCAGCGGGGGAGGGGTCGGCTTGTTGTTGCGTCGTGGATTGGGTAAGTGGGTAGTGAATAGTTTGCAGTGACATGTGGTGAATGATTTTGTCAGGTGCGGCTGCATGGTAGCTCTTTAACACTATCTTGGTCTAGGTAGGGTGCCACGGCTCGTGTGATATGGGAATAAGATGATGTTTAGATGCAATAGTTCTTCCACTATTGACAGCAGTTTTACGAACGCGAGTACCTACGTAGGTATCAAGCTGCCAGAAGTACTCGTGGCACCGAAAGTAACCGGCGTGTCAGTGCAGCAAACATTACAGTGCATGTGAACTGTAAATCTGAGCACTCAGTTTGGCGCATGGTCGCCACAAAGCTCAACAAGGGTGCCAATGTTTCAGGGATTTTGAAGTCACAAAGGTGATCACAGGCAATAATGAAAGGTCCTTTTTCCTTTTAAAAGCTTCAGAATTGGTGCAATTCAGCTTGAGTTTCATCAGCAAGAGATTCAGTGTGCCAGTCCTATGTATGCAGGCACCCAGAGCTGTTGATGATCTTTTTGCAGACAAGCCTGGGTAACTGTCTTGATGGCATGAGAAGCATGAGTGAATTTACCTGTTCTCTGGTGTGCCAACCCTTGCAGAGATATCTATAACATGCTTGGGGTAGCACCATTGTCCATGGGGGTCTTGCCACAGTTTGTGGACTGGACCATTTTGTTCAGCATGCATAAATGTATAGCTGTGCCAGTCTGCAATAAACACCAAGGAATATGCACTTTCATGATTTTGTGTGAGCTTTCATGTGAATTCAACTATGCTGGAAGCCAGCAATGAAAGTGGCTTCCAAAGCTTAGTTATCAGTTATTTTCCAGACTTAGGGTAAGCAACATGTAGCTTTATCTTTAGCTTCCTTGGTTTTCAATCCTGGGTTGAAAAAGGTTACAAATATACACCAGCATCGCACACAATATCCCAACACATTAAAAAGGTTGAGTAATAACAGTGACAACATTTCATTCATATCATGCGACTTGTTTAGAGAACAAATGGCATGTTTAGATGAAATCATTATTGAAGCATTTTTAAGAAGGTAAATGTCAAATATTCATGTTTAAAAAGTTCTAGCAAAGGATTGCTGATCTCCAGTTACCACACAACCAATAAACAGGGTAAAAAATGTATTCACAGGGAATGGCACTGGACATTCCCTTTGGGTGGCACTCAACATCCATGTAACATCAGTATGATGTACCTTGTGCTCACATGCAATAACCTGAGGTGAGACCAATCTATGCTCATTTTTCAAAAGATTTTTGCTCAAAAATGGTTTCAGGCTATTTTTGTCTGCAATTACCTTCACAATTTCATAATTCCCTGAATCATCAGTTCTCTATGCACCACTCACGATGGAAATTGGTGACAACCTTGCACTGAATTAAAACTTGAAATGCTCAGGACTTACAGGGTGCATGCCCTGAAATGCCTACCCAGGACACACTTACTGCTATTCTGGGTATGTTCAGGGAGGCATGTCATTATTTGCAGTCTGGGCTAGTGGTGGGTGTGGCCTACCATGACATTCAGCTATTGACATGCCATGCTGAATATTGGGTACTCATTGGCTGCACCTTATTTGAATATAACATTTCATGCTTAAGTGGCAAAGGAATTTGTATCTTGACATTTGATAGCTTGGAAGACTTGCATCTCCATTGCTTCAGCAGAGACAAGTATAAGGCATGTAGCTGGATCTAAGAAGATATGGCCCTAGATTTGTGCCTTAGATCCTCTCATGAAATCTTTGTATTAGATTCAAGATCTAGCATTCATCCATGTAGTAGAGTGTAGAGTTTTCAGCATGATGATAATGCTTGATGCAAGATACTGCTTGCATGGATGCTGGCTCCTGGCATAGGGAGCCACATGCACTGAATGTACACACATGCTAATGGGAGACAGAGTGAGATGAAGGCTCCTAGGGAAAAGCTTTAATGCGGGATATACTTCATGCCTGTAATGACACAATGTGTCACAGTTTCTGCATCTGCATCTAAGCTACCAGGAATAGAAGTCGTGTTTTAGTTAGTCAGTGTTGTCATAATTTTGTCCACACCTAATTGTTCATAAGTATTAATCCTGTGGGCAGGCACAAATGTTTGGGAAGACTTGTTACTCTGCTTGTTAACACAAAGCACATCTCAACCACACACCTCCTCCACTATGTTTGCACACACCCTCACTATCAGATATCAGGTGGGAAGGACTAACTTAGAGCTGGCCACTACATAATGAGGCTGATGAGTGTCATCTCTATGCTCTTGCCTAAGGATTAATCTGATTCATAATTTGGCATATGCAATAGGAATTTGATAACACCAAGATGGTTGTGCATCACTGATTCTAGTGTCTAGAATTTGGTTTTACCTGTGGGGGAGAGGGAACAAAAGCTGCTTATTTAAAGCTAATTATGGGAGCAAAATGATCCCATTCAGTTGGGTTAGTTGCCAAATACTTGCATTGCCAGACAATTCTTGAACAAGGAATTTGTCATGCACCTAAGGCTCCTAGAGTATGCTTGCTATAATGCTTCCAGAGTAGTGCCATTCTGCTGCTGATGTTATTTAAGCATGCTGTAATGCGGTTTGCTTGTAGTACACATATTTTCCATGGGAAATTTATGGCTGCCAAAAGATCTCAGGCCAAAAATACTACAAGACTCTAAATCACAGCCTCTAATCATGATAAGATTTGATGAATGATGCCACCCTGCATCCAAGAGGCACCCAATCAGTCTTGGTGATCACCACCATCTAGACATCTATAAAACAGTTGAAATAAGGAGATTTGATGCCCTGCCAAGATGCAGCATTTCCTCCTCTGATTGCTTCTGACACTGTAACAGACCAGTCTGAGATTCAGTGTGTTTGGTATCATCACTACCCAAAACAACAGATGTCCACAGGTGGTCCTGCTGTAACCCACACTGCCACTTGGCCTCCTATTGCCATCAGTGATACACATTATGCACTTCATCTGGTGGACACCCCAGAGTTCACCAATTTGGTGTTGAGTGTTCAGCTCCCTTGGTATGGATTGGCTGTATGATGTTACGCTGACAAGAACAGCATATGCTCACTGTTGAGCTCCCCAGCTATGGACTGGCCATGTGATGTCATCCTGACAAGGACAGCATATGCTCACTGTTGAGCTCCCCAGCCATGGGTTGGCTATGTGATGTTACGCTGACAAGAACAGCATATGCTCACTGTTGAGCTCCCCAGCTATGGACTGGCTATGTGATGTTACACTGACAAGAACAGCATATGCTCACTGTTCAGCTCCCCAGCTATGGACTGGCCATGTGATGTCATCCTGACAAGGACAATGTATGCTCACCATTGAGCTCCCCAGCTATGGACTGGCCATGTGATGTCATCCTGACAAGGGCAGTGTATGTTCACCATTGAGCTCCCCAGCCATGGACTGGCCATGTGGTGCTATCAGGACAAAGACAGCACATGCATAAGCTGCCCTCATGGCCAACAGCTTTGCACCAAACATTTTTCTGGTTGATTTGAGTGATTGAGTTGAGAGATGGATTCTTAGAGCTGCGATTACTGGCACAGGAACGCCCGTCGCGCCTGTAGTCAGTGATGAGCCAGCATCACAGTGCTAGTTGCTGATAGGCAAAATAATGCTTGTCTGGTGCAGGCCATCCTCACAGGCCTATTGTGTGTATTATATTAGTTATGCTATATGCACATACTTTACAAACAACATGTTGCTGGAGCAGTCAGCAAAATGGCTTGTATGGCATGTTATGGCGAAATGTACCACTTGTGTGTGCAATCCTATTTATTTGGTTAAAGCCGCCACTACATTCTGACCCCTGTAAGCTCACTCAACTTTCTTTAAATTAAGTCAAATAAAGTTAACTATTGTCACAGTAAGCAGGTTAAATCCGCGAATGTCTGTCCGTAAATCAGATCGATTACAATTAATCAGAAAATCAGAGTCTGGGTTTACCCCTTTTCACACATGCTGCTCATGAGGCACAAGCCATGAGGTGCGTTCGCATAGTTCGTATGTTGACTGCGAGGGCGCAGGTGCATGCCTGGCACATGAGACGTGCAACCAGTTTGTGACTTGCGCCGATCGTACGTCGTCGCGTTTCGCAGGCACTGTCCACCATGTCGCGGCCCAAACTGCACATCCAGCGGAATGAACTCTTCTGCAAGAACCTCTGCGGGATTTTTCGGTAACCCGCAGTGGGGCGGCTTCTGCTCCAAGTGCTACCGCGAGCTGACGCAGGGGGATGCGAGTGCGGCGGTGGCGACCAGCGGCAACCGGAAAGCGTATGTCTCAGCCAGCCTCGGGTGCCGTGCTCAGCAGTGTTGCGTGTCGATGCTTGTTCATGAACCATTGGGGTCAGTTCAGGTCATTCAAAATGAAAGTGTGTTGTTGAGTTCCTGTTCGGTTTGCACATTGTATGCTTCCGTGGGACGTGGGAGCCATCAAGTCCCAGTTATGCGTATGACCGTCGTGCTTACGTGATGCCAGACGTGGGGGATTAGTCTTGCGCAAGACACGAATTGGCTACACACACGCGATATTCGACTATCTGCTATACGGTGGGTAGCGACCTCACTGCTCCCGCTCTGATGCGTCACTTGCGGTTCGCCACGTTGTTTACCTTTGTCCGCATTGCAGCGAAGAACGGGTATTTTATTTCGGACGTGATGCTCCAAGTCTTACCTACGCGGGCGTTATTGGGGACGATTCTCGTGTGCTTGTCACGACTCAGCTGTTTTCATTTTGACAAAGGTGGATTTTTTGCCATTTACATACTGCTCTAGTCTGCTATGAGCGCAACTGCTAATAGCTGCTATGAGCGCAAAATGACCTTGGTTGCCAGCGCACGCTGAATGTAATCATCATCATCATCATCATCACATAATCATAACTTAGTCCTTATACCTTAACTTCGAAGCCGTCGTAGTTAAAGCCAAATGTAATAGTGCGAGACCACACATGGGTAGCAAACATGCTTGCCCCTAATCGCCACCATTGTATGCAGATTTTGCGTGATAAAAATGAGTATGCAATTGATGAATGACCTGCCATTGTGGTTATAGAGTTTCAGGACAGAATGGCTGCATTTCAGGTCCGGTAACGATGCAGCCAAACAAAAATCAGCGTTCACCCCGACACAGGAAGCGGCTTCCAATATGTCCGTCGGTACAGGATTCGGGGGCTTTGAAGAAAAGAAAAAGAAGTCGCTCAAGATTGGTTTCTTCAAGAGGTCAGCAAAACTCAAGACTAGTCCCGGTATGTATCACTGTGGCAATATAATATGATGATTCTAGAAGTTGATGCTTTAAGTAAGAAGGGATAACGTATTTTCTTAAATTGCTAATGTATGTGCCTGTGCGTGCGTGCGTGCGTGCGTACGTGCGTGCGTGCGTGCGTGCGTGCGTGCGTGCGTGCGTGCGTGAGTGCGTGCATGTGTGTGTGCACGTTTACGTACGTGCGCGCGTGCAGGTGCATGCGCGCGCGCCGTTTACGTACCCGCGCTCAGGCAGTAAGCAGGCATCCCCCTTAGTTTTTGGAAACATCTCCTGTACCACGTGACCAAGTTGTGGTTTATTGAGGGTTACCTAAGTGAAAAACAAAGCCTCTTTGCACCCTGTCTGAAAGCTGTTTTCTTCATAAAGAGAAGGAGAGGGAGCGAGAGAGGGAGAGGGAGAGGGATAGGGAGAGGGACAGGGAGAGGGAGGAGGTACAGGGAGGAGAGAGAGAGAGGGGGAGGAGGAGAGGGAGAGGGAAGGAGAGAGAGGGAGAGAGAGGGAGATGGAGAGGGAGAGAGAGGAGAATGGAGAGGGAGATGGAGAGGGAGAGAGAGAGGGAGAGAGGGAGGGAGAATGAGAGGGAGAGAGAAGGGAGAAATGGGGAGAGGAGAGGGAGGGGGAGAGAGGAGAGGGAGGAGAGAGAGAGGGAGAGAGAGAGAGAGGGAGAGAGAGAGAGAAGAGGAGAGAGAGGGAGAGGAAGAGAGAGAGAGAGGGAGAGAGAGAGAAGGGAGAGAGAGAGAGAGAGAGAGAGAGAGAGGGAGAGAGAGGGGAGAGAGAGAGAGGGAGAGAGGAGAGAGAGAGAGAGAGAGGATAGAGAGAGAGAGAGAGAGAGGAGAGAGGAGAGGAGAGAGAGAGAGGAGAGAGAGAGAGAGAGAGAGAGAGAGAGAGAGAGAGAGAGAGAGAGGAGAAGAGAGAGAGAGAGAGAGAGAGAGGAGAGAAGAGAGAGAGGAGAGAAGAGAGAGAGAGAGGAGAAGAGGGAGAGAGAGAGAGAGAGAGAGGAGAGAGAGAGAGGAGAGAGAGAGAGAGAGAGAGGAGAGAGAGAGAGAGAGAGAGAGAGAGAGAGAGAGAGAGAGAGAGAGAGAGAGAGAGAGAGAGGAGAGAGAGAGAGAGAGAGAGAGAGAGAGAGAGAGGAGAGAGAGAGAGAGAGAGAGAGAGAGAGAGAGAGAGAGAGAGAGAGAGAGAGAGAGAGGAGAGAGAGAGAGAGGAGAGAGAGAGAGAGAGAGAGAGAGAGAGAGAGAGGAGAGAGAGAGAAGAGAGAGAGAGAGAGAGAGAGAGAGAGAGAGAGAGAGAGAGAGAGAGAGGAGAGAGAGAGAGAGAGAGAGAGAGAGAGAGAGAGAGAGAGAGAGAGAGAGAGAGAGAGAGAGAGAGAGAGAGAGAACTGACAAATGACTTAAATGTCTAAGCTTTACGCAAAACAAATGTAAAGGAGACTTGACCGTCCGCTACCGTACAATGGGTTTCGCGGGTTTGTGCATTCCTCGCAACTTTTTTGGTTACTGTGTTTTTGGGGTGTCAAGCTGCTATAGATACACATTTGTATTCAATCTTGTGTTGAATCTAGGTCAGTGGCCTATTCTGACCTTTAAAGAAATCCGTGGACCATGTCTGCGGTTCCTGCCATAAATCAATTCGAAATAAGCATCAGAAACTACCTCCTAAATCAAGCTCTCGAGCAAAAAAAAAAAACAACTGTTAGGTTTGGTCTCGGTCTGTGGTTTATGCCTTAACATGAGTCAATGAAATTGGTTGTATGTTTAAATTCAATGGGTTTACCGCATACAAACCATCTCACATATATATTGCTTCGTGTAGCAGTCCCTTGTTGCGTCACATCAACTGGGTCCCTTGAAATGCCCTTCGCTGACAGCTATGGCCTGACTTTGGTGCGCCATCGGTCAGCAACCTCACGAATTAGATCGATTGTTTACGTCAAACGATCCGCTATTCGATTCCCTACAGCTACGCTAAGTTTGGTGCGGCTACGCCGCGTTGCTCGGAAATCAGTCTGAAAAACCTTCGGGAAAGGTCAATTTGATTCCCCGAGCGCGTGTTCATGTTGACAGGAACCATCGTTGGGAAACCAGACACATGGGACCAAGATGATTACGTCACCAATCACATGTTTATCACTATCACTTTGGGTCACCAATCACATAGGTCAACCGGGGTCCAGATAACGTGTAGTGGATACTTGAATATAGCCTAATGAAGGACCCATTTTCATCATATCATTATCATTTCGTTCACGACTATCTAACCTCTGGGTCATGATAAGCCATCCCATAATGCACGATGACCACAAACCTGCATGTGAAGTTACTTGCATGCTTTAAATTGAATGCTAACTCTGAGGGCAGGGAAACCCTCAGAATTTGGGAATATAACCATAATGTATTGCATACAGGAGTAGTTGTCAGTACTGGTGGCAACTCTTAGATATTAAATATAGCGTACTGTTTCGCTGCGACGGTTTCCTTGAAAACGCCAGGCATGAACCTGCAGGGTTTTTAATGTGCTCTTGTGCTGGCAAAGGCGGCGAATCTGCTGAAGTGTGATAATCCGCGTGTGTTCAGCGCTCCTCATGGCTTTGCTCCACTTCAGTGTGAATGTGCGATCATGTATCTGTCTGTCGCGTGCCTGTATGCGCATGACGTATGCTCCACCTGCCATCTTCGTCCCTTTTGGCTTGCAAGTGGTCGTTATTTAGTGTTCAAAAGCTTGGTATGGGTACTATAACGTATTTTGCGAGGGATGGCCCATGATCAGGTTGGTAAGGTCAGCCATTGCAAAATGGTAATCGCAACATGGCTGGGTGGGCTCTGGACTCCGTCCGCAGGGAGAGAAACGCCCAATTCCCACGCCTGCGAGGCGGCAGCCAGTCCTGCGCATGTGACGCCCGCCAGTGCGCTGGCGTCCTCTCCCGATCCTCTCCCGTCTGCCGTCTGCGGGGCGGTCGACGCCCGTCCGCCGCCCAGGTATGCCAGCCGTGCCGTGGCCGAGTCACTGGCTCAGCTGGGCCGTGCGTCAGCCGGGCGTGGCCGCGGGGTGGCCGCCAGCAGCAGCAGTGACCGGGCGCAGGTGTGCCCGCCGGTCACATTGCTCCGCGTCGACACAACCGACCGCCGGTCTGTGGCCGTGGCCGGCGACGAGGCGGGCAACAGACGAGAGGCGCAGACACACGGAGTGTAGGGCCCGTCCAACGCGCTGTAGAGGGTGACTGTGCGATCATTGCTCGTGAAACTGGGAGTGGGAGGCAGGCTCCGACGGGCGGAGACGCCGGCGCTGGCGGGAGCCGTCAGTCGCGCCCGCCGTCGCGGTGCGGCCGGCAGCCATGGGAGCTCGCTATCGGTGTGCGTGCTGATACTGTTCGTATGTCTGCGATTGCTGCCCGCTCCATTACGGGTCCCGATAATCTGCCGGTGCACCATAAACTCGGTTCCGCTCAGGGCCGCCGGTGACGCCGACGATACGCCTCCCCGAGATACGACCCCGACCGTCCGACCGCCCCGGCCCCGATGCCGTCGGTGACGCCGACAATACGCCTCCCCCGAGATACGACCCCGACCGTCCGGCCGTCCCGGCCCTGATGCTGCCGGGTGACGCCGACAGTACGCCTCCCCCGAGATACGACCCCGCCCGCCCGGCCGCCCGGGCTCCGATGCCGCCGGTGACGGCCGACAATACGCCTCCCCAGAGACACGACCCCGACCGCCCGGCTGCCCCGCCCCGATGCGCTGCTCCGTCCTGCGGCACGGTGTCGCCGGCCTTCGACCCCTGTGGGCAGCGGACTGGCTAGGGTCGAACGCTGTGGGCGGGGAGGGGGAGGGGGAGGAGCTGCCCTCGTATGTTGCGTGTTGTGGTTTTGGTTTGTCTGAAAGCCGTTGATAGACGCAGGCGGGGACTTCCCTTGGGCCCGCAGACATACGCACGACTTGCGTCCCGGGAAATCTCAAACGAAGGTAGTGCGAACTGTGCACACGCAAGGCACGTCCACTGTTGAGGTCGCTAAGAAAAGATGAAGCAGAAGGCGGACATCTGGTGCCGGATGCTGCTCACCCGCCATTCCCGCCACCGTCCGAAAGCTTTGAAGCTCGCCGTGTGGCGTGCCAATCGTTGCATTTGGTCCGGTGTTTCTTAGTATGTCATCACATGACAACAAACCCATGCCAGCCTTGCAACACGAGCCGTCATTGTCAGCAGCGAGGGGTAGGGGCGGGGGCTGAGATAGGCGTCAGCGGAGCACTACTCTGCTCGGCGCTCCCTCCGTCTAACCAGGTCACAGGTCTGAGTCGGTATCGGTGCACTCCGCTTTCGACAGCAAGTCGCCCACCGTGGCGCCAGACGCCGCTCCTGTCCTCGATCCAGCTCCAGCTCCAGCTCCAGATCCAGGTCCAGGTCCAGATCCAGATCCAGATCCAGATCCAGAGCCCGGTGCGCGCTCCGGCCCGGGCAGCCCCGAGTTGACACGCCTCCGAGACGTGGTGATCACCTGCCTCCGACCGCCCTACTGCCTCTACCTGAAGTGTGAGTGCGTGTTGACCCCGGCTGTGGATCCTGTGATTGTTCTACTGCCTCTGCCCCGAGTTGGAGTGCGTGTCGGTCCCTTTTGTGACTGCCACCTCGAATGCGACGTCCCGCCTTAATTCACGTCACGCGTCTCGTGCCACGCGCGTGCGGTGTTAGTCCCACACCTGGTGGGCATGTGCTTTGGGGTCGTACGCACCGTTCCTGTTGTTCTTGTTTCGTTTTTGCGTTCGTCCTGGTGACTCAGTTGGTTTGAGCGTCCGCATTACGAATCACCCACCCGTGGAGGGATGGGTTCGTGTCGCTTCAGGGGCCCGCTGCTCGCCCCTGACTGGGATGTCCCGTGGGTGATGGTAGGGGTCGCACTTAAAGTTACATGATGTCAGAGAGCTGGACGGACCGTGTCGAATATTGCGGTACGTTAAGCTTTTCCGTGAAATTATGCCGTTGACCCGGAAGTTCACGATTGGATGGTGGAACCGAGGGTCGCGCAACAAGCACTACTTGGCGTGGACGCTGCTCCCAGACATCCGTTCAATCCAAATATTTAAGTATCACACCGTTTCCGCTGTGGCGGACCTTTGGCTGGTTGCCACGTGGTGGTCTCCTGTTTCCAGTTCGGGTTGCAGGGCACCTAGCTCTTTAGGTTGATCCACATTTCTCTCAAGCATTCTAGAGGATGGACGTCCCATAATGCAATTTTTTGTCGATTTATGTGCAACGTAGCATCGTAAATGCATGCACTGCCATACACGCTAGCTACTCATTAAACGGGCTGCTTTTCAAGCTACTGCAGCGTACACTGCCAATTCGGGCTAACCCTTATTCTTGCCTCTTTGTGAGATGATGCCATGCACGTCTGTGAGAAAGGATCCACAACACCTTGATTCCCAAATGATTGCAGTCTTGCGGGGAGGGCACAGCCTCAGCGAGCACTGTCTCGGTGGCCATATTGTTGTTCAGTTGAATGGTACGATCCGACCCGAGGTAATATTCATTTTTTTGTTGAAGGTCATGTGTTTGCAGCCTCGTGTCGTAGCTTCGCGCGCTTTCCAGCAGCAAGCAGAGCAATCGTTTGTATGTCGTACAGTCTGCGTGTGTGCCTACAAGGTACTTAATCCGACGCAATTTTTCCTGCACTTTGGGAGTATCGAGGGCTCATATTTTACTGAAACCGGAGCAGGTATGCGAGCATTTTACATATACGAACATGCCGGGTGGTCGTCAGTTCGCCGCCGAGGGCGGCCAGGTCTCTGAGGCAGCTGGCCGCACCTGGCGGCCCCACAGACCGTCCCCGTCACCGACAGTGGGCAGCGCGCGGTTTTCCGAGGCTGATGGCGGTGACCGGATCCGTTAGCTCATCCGGTGGTAGTTGGAACACGCAGCTGTCTGTGACGCTTCCCGCTTGACCCAGTTCGATGGTAGCGCTGACGAGACATTGCTGCGCACAAGCGTCTACTCGATGCGAACTCTGCAGACACGCGAGTCCCTCGCTTTGGTCGAAGGGCTCCGCTTCTGACACGTGATATATTGATGCCATACGTGTTCCCTTTTTTATGTGGGTCTGTCAGGGACACACCTTATTTCTCCCATCAAGTGTGTTTGACATGGATCATGTGATAAGATTGTGGTCGCTGAAGAGGCGCTTCGTTGGTCGTCGTGTCATGCCGGGCATTTTCATCCACAGAACCATTTAAACCCATAGATACAGTGTATCACGCGCTTGATGTCACTGGTCTTGCATGCCGTCTTGAAGCACGATACTTCCGTTAATTCGATACTTCCGGAATGGTACTTAGTATTCTTCGATAGTAAGTATCGTTACCTGATGCTTCCGTCTTACTTCCTTTGACGTAAGAGCGTCAGAGCATCTTACCAGAATAGCATACACATTATTGTGACATTTAAGAATCAGTGCAGATGTGTTGTTAGTTTTAGGCGTGCCAGGGGTCACAACAAATAACGCTGTCCCGTCCCGGTGACCGGGTCATGGCATGGGGGGAGGGGATTCTACCACCAGTCGGGTGGGACTCTACCACCTCAGTCTGGGGACTCCACCTCTTCAGTCTGGAGGATTCTACCACCTCAGTCTGGGGTACTCTACCACCTCAGACGACCTCGCAACAGCCGTTTATTGAAAGGGGGGGGGGAGAGGGGTGTCAAAAGCCTTGTCCAGACTCGAGGCAAGTTGTATGTAAAGCCGCTGGAAGCCGGAGGGCCGGGACGGCCGTTGCGTATCAGCACCGCCTTCGTCACCGTCACCAAGCGGCCGCGCGGGGTGACCGAGTCGCACAAGTGTCTGCGGCCGCCGTCCGCGGCGGACTGAGGTCGCTGCGCCTGGCGCCGAGGTTAGTCACACAGCGAGACGCGGCCTGCCACAGCAGCAGCAGGCCCGGCCGGTGCGTCGCCGCTGAAGCAACACACGCTCGCCTGCCGCATCGGTCGTCGGCGCCGCGCCGCGCCGCGCCTGTTGCCGTGCCGGGTCGGCAGCCCGCCGGGCGCGGCCGCCGTCGCCGCCGGCGCATCGTCGGGGTCGTTGCGCCGCGTGTGGCGTTAGTCAGCGCGAGGTGCGTTGCACGCCGCCGCCGCCGCCGCCGCCGCCGCCGCCCTCCGACGCGCGGTGTCTGGCTGCCGCGCAGCCAGCTGTCGCCGGCTGACGGCCGGCCGTCACCTGGGCTGGCCGCTGGCCGCCACCGTGCGGACAGTTTGCGCGGCGTGCCGGTCGGGGTGACACGCCGTCCTCGATGCTCTGTCTGTTCCTGTGTCTTCTGTTCCCGCTGACGGCGCTGACCAGCTCCGGCAACGGTCGGCGGCGCCGCCAGCGGGACCGGCGTCGGCCGCGTGAGTACACGCGCCGCGGCAGATGCGAACGCCTCCACGGCTGGTGGCGTCTCGGAGACGGGCTGTCGGGGAGGAGAGCTGACATGACTGCGTGGAGGGAGGCGTCGCTTGTCTGGGAATGGGCGAAGTGCCACTCTGTTCTCAGCTGGGGAGGGGCATCGTAAGTCGGGTGAAGAAGGGTGTCTAGTTCCACTCTCGGATGAGGGCTGCCGCGACTGGCAAGAGGGAAGCACTGCTAATCTGGGTGAAGACACGTCTGTACTCCGGTGAAGAAGAGCGTTGCTACTCTGCTAGAGAGAGGTATCTCCGGGCTATGATCGAGTGGTGCACCGCCGCTCTGCGTAGGGGGTAATGCCTCAAACCTGGTGGGGATTATCAGCTTTCACAATCAGGAGAAAGAGAACCTTCAGCAGAAGGGAAGTATGTCTCCACACTGATCGAGAGGTGGTACACTCCGGAAGAAGGAACTTCCACTCCGATGGGGAGGAATGCTGCTTCCGTGACTGGGAGTAGCTGGTGGAGAACGGTGCTACAGTGGGGTTATAGAGGGGCACGGTCACTATAAGGTGGGCAAGGGCACCAGTTCCCTCGGATTTGTTCGGACAAATGGAAAACAGCGTCAACAGCAGAGGAAGGGCGGCTGACAGGAAATTACGCATTCTCTTCAAAGATGTGAGCGGGTATGTTTTGGATCAAGTTAGGACGAGATGCAGCCCGTTGATATTGTTTCAGGGTGGAATCCGCAAAGTAGACGGGAATATGGATTGTAGTGTGTGTAGAATAAATTATCAAATGCAGGCGGTACTGCAATGGTGCGTAACACTTTCGTGACTGGAAGCGGGCTGCTGTATGACATCGTCTCCATATGTGCGAGCGTAGTCTAACAGACGGTGATGCCGCATCAGGTGGACCATTCTGTTCGTGGCTATCTCCGCTCTCAACCATTAGCTGTACGCCTTATATCAACACCAGGAACTTGTGCGTCGTGTTTCAATGATTCGCTGAACCCCATCGTGGTAATCTTATCGTCCACTGAGCTGTGGGTTATCGGATGCGACCCCCACGTTGTAATGATGCCGGCGGCAGGCTTTCGGGGCCATCGCACTTCACCGAATCCATTTATCTGAAAGATTTGCAGAACAGAGAAGATTTCATTGCTGCACACACTCGGACGTTAAGGCGGGGTCGGAGGTTGTCATGAGTGTGATGGAGTCTCAACGAAACATTACCCATTGGTGCCCATCATATTCAACATAAGTGCGCCGTAGCCAAACTGATGTCAGTAGCTATGAAGCTGCGGATGACAAACCCTAAAAAGTTTTTCTCCCCCCCCCCCCCCGCCCATGTCATTGGGTGTTCTTTAGTGGACCAGATGCTGTGTCTGAGGGTGCAGTGGCTCGCGCGCGGCTCGGCTTGGCCGGTCACTGACGCCCAGCCCGGCCCCCACAGACGCCAAGCTACCTGACGCTGGCCAGGTGTCGCCTCGGCCGTCCCACCTCAGCCAGGAGTCGATCCAGATTCACAAGGTGCTCAACGAGTTCATGACCGGCCTGAGCAAGCCAGCGGCCGATGACGTGCGCCGTCAGATACAGGTACGGTGGGGCACCGCCTCGGCGCCGTGCGGCCGGCCGGTGCCACCAGGGATCGCGAACGGTGGTCGGTCGTGGCCGGTTGTGGCACGTTCCGGACAGTTGGACTTTGGCTGCTCGCTTCCCGGCGTCAGTGTGATGGCCGCACCTCCTGAGGAAGTTCAGTGGCGGTATCATATACATGGCTGACCCTGGAGATTAGTGTGCTCCACGGCAGTGAATTCGGCGGGCAATCATTAAGCTCCCAGCAGCCCCCAATGTTATACACGGGATGGCCTTGCTCGATAATGACGACGGTTCCTGGTGGTATTGTTTTTTGAAGCCGCTCTATTCTCCATATCAAGAGATGGAGAAATTTGCGTAGAGCCCACTGCCATTACTCGGTGTTATTCGCGTGGCGCGCTTGGTGTAACTGTGCCCTGGATTTATGGGGAGGGCACTGCCTCCTGCCCTCGGGCAAGCAGATGTTGGTGTGCTTGCTTGTCCATATCATACCCGCAGCAGATCATCCCGATCGCAGTTTCCAGCACAGCTGGTGTGTAATCCCATAATTCGGTGCCTCATAGCCGGGGCGCACAAAAAGCGTAAGAACGGCAGCATTGCGCGTCATATGCCCACACAGATGTGCCCACAAAGTCGTCATGCTTTGCGTCAGACTGAAGTCTAAACGCCATGCGCGCGTTCGTTCTGCGCGCCTAGCTATGTCGCTGGTGACGCGGTGTGGGGTCGGGAGATGACGTCACCTCAGGTGGCGAGCGGCAGTAGGGGCGGCGACACTAGCTGCGGGCTGTCAGTGACGCATGGCGGTCGTTCTCCCAGTGTGGTGATTGATGAGGCCCTGGGAAACACTGCTTACGCATCTGTGGATGCAAAGGGTGAACGGAATCAGAGTCATTTGTCTTATGATCGTTTACGTGGATTCCACTGAATGATTACGTTCATGCTGTTGTCGTAACTGGTTAGGCTTTTCGGGTGAATTGCGCAGCGCGAATCAGAAAGCATCTTCGTAACGTTCGTGTTAAAGACGCAAGAAGGTTTGGGAAATGTTTGATACTGTGTAACGTTTGCACACAACCTAAAAGGCACCCATCCAAGATGCCAATAATCTTAATGGCGTGAAGAATCGCAACAATACGGCTAGTGCGATCCATCTGCTGGCTTGGGCCAAGTGTACAAATACCGCCGAATTGCGAAAGGTTTGCCGCATTCCAGCTTCGGTTGCATATTTTTGTCGTTTGTTGGTTGCTCCAACAATGTAAGCTTTGTTAGATATGTGTTTTGAAGATCCGTGGGTGCGGGGATAATTTTCATCCAGTAATAGTGAAAAGAGGTAGGAGACGAAATACCTTATCTTATGGCGTTGAGGTGAGTGAGCCACCCAGTCGTTGGAACGGACGGATGACAGCAATAGTCATAAGAAGTGTTTCTGAAACGTTTTACCATTTGGGTTCCGTAAATTTTTATTAGATACGAGATCCATTCCACCCTCCTTTTTGTCGGCCCTCTGCATGGCGTGACATTGTGATACGTCACATCAGTCCATAGACCTGTACACGACGCGGCCTGTCAAGACCGGTGTCTGTGCGGGCAGGCGAACATGGAGAGCTGCACCAGCGCTGCCAACACGGCCACATCGGACGAGATGTCCGAAATCGTGCAGACGTTCTACAACAACTTCCATGACCGCATCCACGGCCAGTCGGCATACTACGGTACGCTGCGTGACCCCGTACTGCACGGGGTTGTGTTTGTCCCCTAGCGTCAAGGACCGTGGTCGGGCTGGCGCGGACCACCCGGGCTTGGAGCCCCGGCCGTGTTACGGTCCCCGGCGGTAATGTGGCCATCGCAGCCAGGCCTGCTCCCGGCACGGCTCACGGCAGCGGTCGTGGTGCTCCTCACTTCAGAAATGTCGCACCCAAGCGTACATTGCTTGCAAGCGTACATCCATGTACACATTGCTTTACTGCCAAGTGCGTCGTCTTACCGTTGCGTCACGTACAGCCCAGCTGCGCGATGTTGATCAGTTGCTGTGCGGCGGGGGCGGCGGCAGGCGTAGTCTTAGTGCACGTTGCTTTGTTCACAAGCATGGCGCGCCGTGTACCATTCAGCTGCGACGCCGCCGGGGTGCCGGCTTGTGTACTCAGGTGCGTCACGTGTCAAGCCTCCGGAACGGTGCGCTGCACGGCGTAGTTGGGTGATGCGTGCCGCCGCCTATTGGTGTCAAAGGCTTGTTGACGTTTGGTGCCCTTGATGACGTCACCTTTGTTGACGGCCCAGTGGGCCATGCGACGGCGTTTGGTGACCTGCGGTGGCCGGCCCTCAGGCATGACGTCGGAGCGGCGGGCAGAGCTGGAGGACCTGGCGGAGCGGTACCTGACCACGCGGCTGTACCGCCTGCTGTTTACGCCGCTCTCGCAGCAGCTGGAGGAGGCTGACCTGGCCATCCAGAAGCGCATCCGCTCCTTTTACTGGATCAGCGCCCAGCTACTGGAGCTTAACATCGACGAGGGGAACCCGGCCGTCACGGACCTGGTCGAGCAGGCCATCACAGGTGCGCCGGCCCGCCGCTCCCGTGGCGGCGGCGCTGCCATGGTGTTGGGGATGTGGCGTGTCCTCGGCGGTCTCCGAGGCGCTGACGACCGGCCACGGTTCTCGTCGGGGCGCACGGCGGCCATCTGTATCCGCCAGCATTCGGCCCATGCTGTTGCTGTGAGCAACACCCCAACATTTCGCTGCGTTCGCTATGTTTGCGCCCGATCGGCGGCTTCCCACGTGTGTCGCCGGCGGCAGGCCGGTCGTTCACTCACCTGCGTGTGTCCGCCCCCCGGCAGACATCATCGAGATGGACAGCAAGCGAACGCCTCAAGACAAGCTGACGTGCGTGTCGGCGTGCGTGAGCCACCTGCTGGAGATGCTGTGCGTCGGCCGCCAGGGCGAGCCGCCGTCGGCCGACGACCTGCTGCCGGCGCTGATCTTCGTCGTGCTGCGCGCCAACCCGCCGCGGCTGCAGAGCAACGTGCAGTACGTGACGCGCTTCAGCAGCCAGCAGCGCATCATGTCCGGCCAGCAGGGATACGACTTCACCAACCTGGTGCGTGGCGTCGGCCGGCCCCGCCGCCGCCCATGGCCGCGATCGCTCCGGCAAGCGACGTGGCAGGGGGGGGGGGGGGGGGGCGAGCTCTCCATGGCTGTTGTGGAGCGGGGCGTGTTTGCAGGTGGCTTAGCGCTGATACGGTTTGTGGGCGTGAACCTGACAGAGGTCACGCACTATCTTGGGCGCGTGCTCGTGTTTTAACGTCCCGGATGAGTCACATGGCCACATGTGCACTCGTGCCAAATGGTGCCGGTGTATTTTTGTGCCCGCAAACTGCACGTAAACGGCACTGAATGAATGCATCCCGTGATGGTGTAACCGATGGGGCGTGGTAAGCGCGCAGGGAGGTTTGGAGTGGTCCGTGCGCGCCGCCAAATCTCGTGCTCTGGTCCACCCGATCAACATCACGAACATGGCGTTTGTCAATGGACCCACTGTTTGTGACCTGTGTGCGAATCTGGACGGCTTTCTGTTTTTGATTAGCGCCAATGACGATGATGGTTTTTCTATACGTGCACAGTTTGAGAGCCGACAGAGAGAGAGAGAGAGAGCCCGTGTGGACGGCGCCCCAGGGCGTATGCCCCGGTGACCACTCCTCGTCTGTCTGCAGTGCTGCGCCGTGTCCTTCATCGAGTCGATGGGCGCCGACTCGCTGGGTCTGACGGTCGAGGAGTACGAGCGCTACATGTCGGGCGATGTGCTGCCACCGGCCGCCGAGTGGGAGAGCGGCCAGTACCGCTGTCAGGTCAGTAGCGCGGCTGGGGAGCGGCCAGTACCGCTATCAGATCAGTAGCGCGGCTGGGCAGCCGCCAGTACCGCTGTCAGGTCAGCGGTGCGGCTGGGGGGCGGCTAGTACCGCTGTCAGGTCAGTGGCGCGGCTGGGGGGCGGCCAGTACTGCTATCAGGCCAGTGGCGCGGCTGGGGGGCGGCTGGTACCGCTATCAGATCAGCGGCGCGGCTGGGGAGCGGTCAGTACCACTCTCAGGCCAGTGGCGCGGCTGAGAAGCGGTCAGTGCCGCTATCAGGTCCGCGGCGCGACTGGGCAGCAGCCAGTACCGCTCTCTGGTCAGCGGCGCGGCTGGGAAGCGGCCAGTACCGCTCTCAGGTCAGCGGCGCGACTGGGGAGCGGCCAGTACCGCTCTCTGGTCAGCGGCGCGACTAGGGAGCGGCCAGTACCGCTCTCAGGCCAGCGGCGCGGCCGGAGAACGGCCAGTACCGCTCTCAGGTCAGCGGCGCGGCTGGGCAGCAGCCAGTACCGCTGTCAGGCTAGTGGCGCCGACGCACCCCTCGCCCACTCACGCAGGCGTCTGACCTGTCACCCCGTGGCTGACGGGTATCGCGGGGTTACGCATTACACCTCAAGCGTCACTACGCATTTCCTGTGTTTCCGCGGGCCGTTGGTGCTACCCTAAAATTGCGTCATCGGCGCACGCCCGACATTCGCTAGCCTCGTGCGCGTGGCGCCGACAAGGGCTGTGTCCAGACGCCGTTGAGTGGCAGGAGAGCGTGGGCGCGGCTGACATGCCCACCGGCGGCGTGCGCACCGACCTGTCCGCGGCTGGGTCACCGTCGACGGTACCTGTCCCCCCCATCCCCCTTCAGCCGGCCAGTGCTCCCGCCGCGTGCCCGGTCGGAACGCTTCCGACCCGTAAACCCCACGTGACGCCGCTGCAACGTTAGCGGCGCGCGTGAGTCACTACTTTGCAGAGCTTGCGGCACTTAACGCGGCGTCCTGTTGTGATTGGGAGACCAGTTGTACGGGGTACACTGTGGCCACAAAGGCCTGCTTTGCGGCTGACTCAGAGCTCCCCCATTGTTCGACGCGTGAGTCGGTGACCCGTAGGTGAAGCGGGGGAATGCACCGCCCAGGCGCGCTAATAACAGATGTCTTGCGGACGTCACCTGCGTGTCAGGCAAGGTCAAGTTATCACTTGCGGTGGGGGTTCGTTCGCCTGTCGCTCGCGTCGCTTGTGCGAAGGCCTGTCGTCTCCCTGTGCCAGTGTGGCAGGATGCGGCGAGACGGCCGTGAACCAGCCGCTCCCCGCCTGTTTACTTCGCGCCTTCACCGGACGCGGTGCGCTTTCGTTCGCGGTAATCTCCCGGTCCCGGTTGTGGCACGGCGCTGACTGCCGCTGCGCACGTTGCTCCCTGAGTCAGCGGGGGTGCCGAGATGTGCTGTCGTAGACGCCGGGGCCGGCCCCCTGCTGGCCGACAGCGCCGGGGCATGGGCCGAGTTGCGGACACCCGCAGTCAGGGGGCCGCCAATCTGGGACGCGGGGCGCTGCTATTCGGAGGGGGCGGGGACGGGGCTAACGGAAACGGTCACGTTTGTTATTGCTGGCAGACGGCAGATCGCCGTTCTGACCCGACCTGGCTAGTTCAGCAACGGACTGCCGATTCCGAACGTTGACCATCACGTAACCTCAAGGGTGGCTCACCAATGAGCGGAATCCAGAGAGCGTCTCGAGTCCTAATGTTCGTTCAGCCCTACACACGGGTACCCCCGTCCATCTGGGATGGGACCTAGCCTAACTTCGCACGGTGCCTGCCACCCCGGCCTGGCCGGTGTTGCGTCCGGCGCGCTCTGACCGGGCGTTTGTCCCGCCGCAGGCCCTGAAGATGATGGAGGCGAACCGTGAGACGCTGACGGCGCTGCAGGAGCGCCAGAGCAAGCTGCTGGCCGAGGAGCAGACGCTCGGCGACGAGATGGACACGTTCTCCGTGAGTGAGCGGCGCTACCACGGACACTCGACAGGGAACGCTCCCGGGACACCTTTAGTCTGGGTCGACACGGTGCAATGTTCTCTCGTAATGTTGATGAAGGTTAAGCAGATGCATGTAACTCAAATGTGACCAAGATCCTCTTGTACGTTCAGAGAGCTTTCCGCCAGTGGAATTGAACTGAATGTCTGGCGGTCGTTTATTTTCCTTAGTAAAGTCGATTGTGTAAAGGTTATGTAAGTTAGAAATGAGTCAACAGGTAGCGAGGTGTGTATAGTAATACCAGCTTGGTGTAAGCATTAGAGATCAAATATGATTGTGTGGTGCGATCTTGGCGTGTTGACATTGTGCTTGTTGACACAAGTCTTGCGCTTGGGCCGAGGTCATTGAACTGGGGGTCTCGGGCACACAAGGATTAAGAGAAAACGGCCCGTAATCCGGCGATAAGCTGAGCGGCGCGTGACCTTGCGAGGCAGGTGTTGACAATGGGTAGGAGTGGCCGGTCCCCGGGGCGGTTCTGCCTCGGAGGCACTGATAACACGCACTGTTCACGTTTAGTGAGAAGAGCCATTGCGCTGCAACGACAGGCCGACCATAGCTTGCAGTGATCGAGGATCTTATCATGGTACGCTTTAGTTTTCTTTAGAAATGTGTCCCGCCACATCGCGCGGCTTGGCTTCAAGGATAGGTTTCGTACTCCGCCTTGCTTCGCAAAAGACACAGCAGTCAGACGTCTGGGCACGGCTGTGCTGGGGCTGAGCCGTGCGTCTGCGCTGCAGGAGAGCGTCTCGAGCAGCGTGGAGGCAACGCTGGCCGACGCGCCGCTGGCGCTGCGGCCTCCGAGGCGGCCCGCCCACCTCGACTCGCCGTCCAACAACGTGGACGGGCTGCCGACGCCGCTGGTGCCGCAGGTGTGTGGCGGCGCCGGACGACCGGCCGCACTGCCCGCGCTGCAGGGCCACGGCCTGGCACAGTAGATGGCCGCCACCCTAGGCAATCTCGTGGGACGGAGTGTTATACGTTGCGCTGGTGAAATCCAGGAATATAATGTGGCGTATTGTAAAGGCATTTGAACATCATGCCAGTCTTAGCTTATGATGGAGCTTATGTGCCGGTGTTACCTGTAAGCGTTGATAGATTAAGATAGCTGTGAGCATTGATTGCACTCGATCACACATCACGAGAAACTTGGGAACTCAATTGTCGGTGTCCGATAATGGCGGGTAGACAATGCCGTAGAACGTGCCGCAATTAACTCCCGACGATTTGTGTGCTGCTCCGTAGCCCGGCCACCCGCCCGAGTGGGCCGTGCCAGTGTTGTCACCACTGACCCGTGCGTGCCGTCTTCAGGTTGTGGACGCGGTGCCAGCCGACGCGGACGGCGTGGGCCAGCTGCCGTCGCCGCCGCCCGGCCTGCTGCCGGCCGCGCAGGATAGCCTCAGCTCGGTGCTTACGCTGTCGCAGATGTCGCTGGAGCCTGCCCGCAGTCCGACCGGCCGGCCCAGCCAGCCGCCGCCGCCCCCGCCGTCTAACGCCAGCCTACCGTCGCCACCGGCGGGCGTCAGCCCACCGGAGCCGGTGCCGGCGCCGGCGCCGGTGGTGCGCGCCGGCCGGGCGCCCGTGCGCAGCATCCCATCCATCCCTTGCAGCACGGGCGCGGCGGCCAGCGGACCGATGCCGGTGCCGCTGCCGCGCCACTCCGACTGGCAGCATCAGCAGCAGCTGGCGCGCTCGACCAGCCACACACCGGGCTCGGAGCCGCGCTCGCCCGACCCGGAGCCGGGCGAGATGCAGCGCCGCTTCTCGGAGCTGCCCCGCTCGCTCAGCCACCAGTTCGGCGCGTCCGAGTCGCCGCGCCGCATGTCCGAGTTCGGCCGGTCGCTGAGCCACAGCGCCACCGCCGAACCGGCGCGCCGGCAGTCGCTCAGCAGAAACGAGGCGCTGGCTCTGGAAGCGCGCAGGTGCGTCCGCACAGCGAAACACACGCCGACTGGGCCTGGTCCGCATGTGAAATGAGTCAGTGCCGCGGTGTTGTGAACGAAGTGCGTAGACGGGATCGCCCCCGACATTGCGTAACCAGACCGGTCCGTCGGCAGGTTTTCGCTGGCCCGCGCGGAGCTGGCTCGTGGCCGACTGCAGCTGGAGGACGAGCGGACAGACTCCATTCCGGACGAGGACGAGCAGCCGTTCTCTGCCCGGGACGAGGCCGAGCGGCGGTACTCGGTCCGGGACGAGGCCGAGCGGCGGTTTTCGGTTCGGGACGAGGAGCAGCGGCGGTACTCGGTGAACACGGAGGCTGAGCGGGCAGCCGCCGCCGCTGCCGCCCTCACGGCCGAGTGCGAGGCGGCGAAGCAGCGCAGCAAGACCAGCGAGAAGCAGGACAAGCTGGTCAAAGTCCTGAGCGGCATATTTTCGCTAACGGACAACTTCTGATTGGGCGGTGGCGGGGTCCGCGCCGACCTGTGCGCCATTCCACGAGATGAGCTTTAGCTGATACGTGGCCGACCTTGATGTACTGATCGGTCTTGATCCGGGAGCTTGTGATGTCGTCTCCGATGTGGACTGTTTTACCCTCCCCCCCCCCCCATGGTGGCAAATGCGGGTCTTCACGCTGTCTTGCACGTGAAGCGCCACTGGCCCTGTTCCTTCCGCCGTACTCCTTGCTATCTGATGGGCGAATGTGCAGCCCGTTCCGGCTGCCCCCGTGCCGTCACTGCCCGTGGCTGCCGCGGTCGTCGCGTCTCGCGGCCACGTTGCCAATGATAAACCATACACAAGTCGTGATTGGGATAGGCATTACCATTGGTGCGCGTCTTGAGGCTAACACCGATCGTCGTTGGCAGTTTCTTTCGTGTTGTGATCGGGGGTAGCCAGTAATGTTGTTAATTGTTTTGCAAATGAATGTAGCTGGAAACGGAACGCCTGGTGAACGCTTTCGTCGTTCTCGCGCTGTACTTACTAGTCGGCCAGGGTTCAATTGGAGGGACGGTGAGTGGCGATCGATTTTATTTTGCTGACATTTGTATGTATATATCGGAGGTAAAGCGAACAATACAATGTGATTCATCTTTTGAGCGAGGTCTGTTCGCGTGCAGTGAGCGCGTGACAGGTCAGTGCACTGTGTGTCGTCTTCTGACCACGAACCGCGTGCGCGTGCAGGCTAGCAGGCATGACCGGTGTGCAAGCGAGGCAGATCCTGTCCCACGAGACCACGCGATCCCAGTTGAGTTAGAAGTTGACACCAGGACACCTGCGCAGGATTCCACACTAGTCAAGATGCCAGTACATGTGATCTAAGGTCGGACGGAAGCAATACCGACCACAGGATCGGTTCGACTGGGGACAGCGGTGCCACGAGACGACGAAACAGCTGAAAGAACGTGACGCATAGCACATCAAGTGACAATTTCGCTGGCTCCTCGTGGGTCCAGGGAGGGGTGGTCACGCCCCCGTTGGCGCCGGGAGTCGGGCCGGCCGTGGCCAGGGCAGTGGTACGCGCTGGGATCAGTCGGCGCATGCTCCACAGCGAGGCGATCGGGCTCGCCGCCGCAGTAGTCGAGACTTTCAAGTCTGCCGGCGCTGTGGATGCACAGCACGTACGATGATTGCAGTAGCAGCTCGTACAGAATACGTGCTGCGGTCGCGACTCGGAGGAAGAATATTACTTTCGCCGTGCGCTTCGTTGGCCCGGCCATTTTCGCATTGCACTGAACACTGCCGACCAGAATGCACCCGGCGGTTGTTGACATCAATGGAATCGGAATAAGGGAACATGCTGAGGCCTTAAGGATACCATTAGGTAGTCGTATTTCAAAATCCGCCTGGCACTAGCGTGGGCAGTGACACGACACATACACCTAGGACGATGTAATACTCGCGAGGGAGTTGAAGCGGCGACATGGCACCGCATACAAAAGGCGGACGTCCAAAGACGCATGCCGTCCAGCATGCAATTTGGCGCCCGGGGACACTCACTGGGGCTTGCGCCGCCTAGAAGTGCGGTATGATGACCGACTGCCGGTGGACTTGACACTGGCCCTCGCAAATGTTGAGCGAGTTGGTCTTGACATCGATGTCCTCCTCCAGGATCAAACGCTCACGGTCTAGATTCCTGTTCGTATGGAGTTAAGAAATCAAGTAAGCGTGGCAACGCGAATGCCCCGCTACCCTCAGCTTTGAACAAATGACTCGATATGAGGGACCGATGAACACTGTACACATAAACATGCAAACATGCTCGCAATCCACAGCAGCAAAACACCCCCATACTGTCACAATGAGTCTGCCTATCAAGCGCTTGCGTTTCAGATTGCCCCGCTGAAGGTGGCTAGTCCAGTGATGGCCCAGACGCGGCCGCCGCCGGCCGGCGTCCGCTGTAGCCGGCTGGCCCAGCAGACCCGCAGTCCAGCCGCCCGGCTCACCTGAGCTGCGCCTGGGCCGAGGCCAGCTCACGGCGCAGCCGGTCGGCGTTGGTCTGGATCTCCTTGACCTCGTGCACCAGCTGGCGCTGAGCGCGGTCGTTGGTGAGCTCGGGGCAGGGCCGCTCGGTGCGGCCCTTGAGCCGCGTCTGCGCCTTGGCCAGCGGCGTGCGCAGGTTGCGGATGGCCAGGTCCAGCTCGCCAATGGTCCGCTCCACGGCCGCGATGTGCTCCCGCACCTGCCGCCGGCCAACGCAGTCGGCTGAGTGACGGGCACGTCGGATGGGGGGGGGGGGGGGCGGCTCCGCCGACAACCCAACACAGCCGCGGGACAGTCACACATCGCCCTCAGACGTGTTACTTGACACGATTTTCACGCTGAAGTGCAGAGTCCCCATAATTTCACCACCAGCAATAGGTCATTTACTGATTTTGCTCATGACGCTTTCGCAAATATGTGGCAAAATCGAAACCACCCGTATGCAGCTCACCTCATGCATACCAGTACCTCCCCAAATCCTACAGCCTGACCGCTGGGAACCGGCCAGTGGGGCGGTCTCCCATCCCCAGGGCGCTTTCCCGGCGTGAGCCGCCGTCGTCGGATGCCGCGTAGGGACGGCGTCTCACCATGGACAGCTTGTCCTCGAGGGTCGTCTTGGCGGTGCGCGTCTCGTGCACGCGGTGATCCAGCGCCCGGTTGGTGCGCTCCACCTGCAGCCGCGTGTCGCACTCGGACTGCTTCAGCATCGCCTCCAAGCTGGCCTCCAGCACGCGCGCGATGTCCACCTCGCGCGTGGCGAACGCCAGCAGGTCGGCCGCGTTCTCCAGCCACGAGTCCACCGTCAGACCCCTGCCAGCGGCGAGATAGCGTGTAATGTCGGTGGTCTGCGGGCAGCACAGCGGCTTCGCCATGCAGCACAGCAGAACAGCACGCCGCGCTGGTGATCGTGGACTTTCGGCCGGCAGTTGTAAGGCCCGGGCAGTTATGGGCCGCCCCACTGGCCGGTTCCCAGCGGTCAGGCTGTAGGATTTGTGAAGGTACTGATATGCATGAGGTGAACTGCATACGGGTGGTTTCAATTTTGCCACACATTTGCGAAAGCGTCATGAGCAAAATCAGTAAATGACCTATGACACCACGACAGTTTGAGTGTGACCATTTAGAAGGAGTTAGCTTGGGCTAGAGCAAGGGAGCTACAAGGAATCGACGCGGAGGGAGGACGATGACCTGAAAGGGCAGAGGGGTACTCGTGGGCCTTGTTGACTGGGGTGGTCAGACTTCAACATCAATACATCAAGCAGGAGTGGGAGGGGGAGACGTGGGCAGAATGCAAAGCCCGAAGGATTCCCTACTACAGTGGCGCATCCAGGGGGGTGCCACGGGGCCATGGCTCCCCTTGGGCTCCAAAGAGCCCCAAAATGAGTTCCGAAGGGCCCATAGTCGGCCAAATAGACGCAGTTTTTTAAACACAAAACGCAACAAATTTGGACGTCTTTGGGCTTCTAGGCGCCCAAGAACAGTCGTAAGCAGAAGTGAAGCAACCGCCAGCCATAAATAACTATTCGCTGATTGTAAGCGGTGATAGGGGAGATTTTAAGCCTCGTTACGCTGTTCTGAGACCCTGCACTGCTGTTGGGTGCCCAAGCTGTTAGCCTGCTCGGGCACACGTGATCGCTCGGGGGCCATCCACATTAGGTCCTGGGTGCTTCCTATTTGCTTGGAGAGCCTTGAGCTTGGGAGGGGAGCTTGGGAGGAGAGTTTGTAAGGAGAGTTTGGGAGCAGAGCCTGGAGAAGAGAGCTTGGGAGGGGAGCTTGGACGGGGAGCTTGGGAAGAAAGCTTGAAGAGAAGCTAGTTCTTGTCGGGCCCATTTGTAAAGCTGCTTAGGCCAGTGACGGATCCAGAGTGACAGGCCATATCCCTTTGAGTTCCGAGGGGGCCGATGGGCTCCGAAGGGGCCCATAACCGGCTGAACTGACGCAGTTTTCTAACGCAAACACAACAAAATTGGGCGTCTCTTGGGCCTCCAGGCGTCCAAGAACAGGCGCAAGCGAGGGCGAAGGGCCCGTGAGCAGACAAAAATAGTTAATCGCTGATTAAAAGTGGTGATTGAGGACGATTTGAGACATGCCAGGGGCCTGCACATCCACTTGTCGGGTTCATCCGATCGCGTCTACGTTGCCCTTGATCTCTTTACATTGTCTCGGAGGGACCTATGCTGCTATCAGGACCTTGTCTGCCAGCATGCATGGACACTCTTGTCGATCAGGGACTCTCCACGGATTTTTCGCATTTGCCGAAAGGTTCTTTACACTACAAGCCCATCTGTCACCCTGCCGGGGCACTTGCTCATTCCTGGGCCCTCCATACTGGTCGTGAGGTTTTCCAATGACGCCAGAAGGATCTTACTCTACTACCAAATGTCCTACTTGTGCCTGCAAGTGCCAGGGCGTTTCGCCCGCCTAGCCTGTTCGCCTGCTTAGCGTTTTGCCTGCCCTAGCCTTGGAGCGGCAGTCGAACACTCAATTTTTACACGCAATTGCCGAAGATGCTTTTACGGGCCGCCGAGGTTGTCCATGGCATTTCCTTTGCGTGCTCAATTCGTGACGCTTGCTATCCTTGCACACAAAGGTGCAGCCAGAGCCTTGCCAATGGAGGGCACAGGGTTGACAAAGGCCGTCCCCCCAAAAATAGTCGGATATAGCCCATTTGTAATTGAGAACATGTTTTTCTTTCATGTATATATATATATATATATATATATATATATATGCATATCTGTATGTGTGTGTGTGTGTGTGCGTGCGTGCGTGCGTGCGTGCGTGCGTGCGTGCGTGCGTGCGTGCGTGCGTGCGTGCGTGCGTGCGTGCGTGCGTGCGTGCGTGCATGCGTGCGTGTGTGTGTTACACATTTTTTTTACCTTGTATAATTGGAATATAAGCAAAACGTCAGCTCGAGATCATTTCTGCCTTAAGTTTAGAGTAAATAAACTGACAAAATAATGCGTCAAACAACTGCATGAAATAAATCGCCGGCGCTCTTCATTTTACAGTGGTTCAGCGGCTCTTTTACACGGATAGAGCTCAGACATTCTGTCGGAATGTTTTATCTGGGTCGTACAGAGCTACCAAGGATTCTGCGAATGTAGCCTGAAAATAAAAATGGGACAACTTGTATTAACATGGCCAAGTCATATTTGTCTGGATATGTTCAACATTCAGTCAAAATTAATAAGTGGTGCAACTTATGTAACGTTGTTTTGAGCGTGCGCGCACGCATATCTTCGTAACGAATATTTGACGCCAGGCGTTGCAGTCTCCCTGGGCCGCGCAGCGTGGGCCTTTAATATAAGGCCGTGGCTAACAAGTGGACGAAAATGGTGACGCATCTGAAAAAGTATCCTTGAACGCTTTACGACACCAAATCGTACATCAAGAGATATGTCCTGACGTATATTTTACTCGTGCGGTCTTTACATTTGTGACAATAACGTACTGGTCTTTACAGCATGGCGAAGTGGTGCTGGAATCGGCTGGCGGATCTCGCTCCCCGGGATTACGGGCATGTCAGTGGCGCCCCATGACGCACTCGCTGCTAGGGTTATGTCGCGCCGCCAGCCTCTCAACCTGGTGGGAAGCGGAATCTCACCGTGGGAAATCGAACCCCGTGCCTGTAGCTTTCCAGACGTGCACTGGTTAATGCAGCCGCATTAATCACTACACCAGCGGCAACCGGTGCGCAGGCTCAAACCTTCTGATGTCATTTGTTTCACTAGTCGATTCTGCAAAATAATGAACGTTTTCAGGACACATGGGATTGCCTTGTGCGTTTTGAACTCATTTTGACCGACACCATTCAACACTAATGAGGTCCCTTATTTCCGGTAAAGGGGTCCCTCGGGCACAGCAATAAGGGGCACATCGTGGTTCCCAGGTCAAGTGCTGCAGGGCAATTCTGTCCCACCGCGGTGCGTTTTCCAGACGTCATTCCGGCGACACTTCCTGACGCGGGAGACTTTCTGACCCGCGCAGTTGACCCCGGATCGACGCATGAGCCGCCATTAACGCAACAACATTCCTGCTCGCCGCAGGTGATCAAATAATTGGCACATAGAGTCTAGTTGGGCTTAACTGGCCCGTACTGGAAAAGGGCTGGACGGCTATCCGTTCGGTACTGGAAGCCCTGACTGGCAAGGGCTCTTCTGTTATCTCAATGTGAGCACTCACAAATTCTTATGTTTCCTTCGACTGTCAGAGAGCCCCGGCCAACGCATGAGACCCTCTGCCGTTCGGGCTCCTGTCCCCGCCCCTGTTGAGCAAATCTTCCCCTAACCGAATCGAGGCCCCTTGCTGACACAGTTCTCACCGACTTAGATACCCGCATTGTCTTAGGGGTTCCCCAAACGGCGTAGGAGGACCTCTGACTGATATTCCAGGCCACTGCCCTGTAAGACACTGTGGGCCCCTGAACGACCCAGCAGCCCGACCAATGTAAATCACGAGCCCGGTCTTGTCCCTGCTTGGGAAATGGGCCACCATAGCTTGGATTAACACGGAGCCGACCGTTCGTTGTTCGCGATCTCCGGTCGAAATGAAGGAACGCTCTGTCTCAGTGCTCCCTATCGGTGCAAGAGATCATCTTACTGACACTTGAGATCACGGCCCTATGGACAGGGGTCTTTAATTAGCCAACAGCCAGCCCTTCGGACTCTTCAGTCATCCCATCGGGCCCTTGAACTTTGGTGGCGAGAGACCTTTCGGCCCCTCTTCTGGCCCCTTCAAACAACGATTTGACCCGGGGCACTTGCCCCTACAGGACCCCTTTTCGGCACTGTGGCCCCTTTCCGACACAGGAGCCCCTCATTGTGTCAGGGACCCCTAACAATGCAAATCACGGACCCCGGCCTCGTTTCTGCTTGGGTAATGGGTCTCAAGGGCTCAGACGAACACGGAGCCGACTGTTCGGTGTTCGTGGCTTCTCACCGACTTCGATACCTGCATTGTCTCAGGGGCTCCTCACATGGTACAACAGGACCTCTGACTGATATTCTAGGTCACTGCCCTACGGCCGCGATTCTTTATATGACCTACAGCCAGTCTTTCGGGTCGTTATGCCCTCCAACCGGACTTTTGACCGTCGCTTTCGTTGGGTCGCCCAGGCCCCTTTTTGGGTCTCAGCAAACACTTCCATTGGTCGGTGCGGGGACCCTTGCGAGCGTAGAACCCACTGTTAGACACTATGGGCCCCTAACAGATACAGAGGCCTCGAGCAGTGTATACCACTGGGCCCAGCTTTGTAGCTGATTGGGAAGTGGGTCCTCAGGCCCATGTCGACATGGAGTCGACTGTGCGGTACTGATAGTGCCTGGCCAACAGGTAGGCCCATATCGACTCAGGAGGTCCCCGATCGACGCAAAGGGCCCTCCGACAGTTATCTGAGGTTTCGTCTTCGCAGGTCGGGATCCTTGGATAAGACTCCAACCAGTCCTCTGTGCCCTTAGACCCTCCAATCGGGCCCTTGATCGCCGGACCCGTGGGCCCCTAGAATCTTCGGGCGTCCTCGAACACTGCCTCTGGCCGACTTGGGGCCCCTTGACAACACCGGGCCCCTGTTAGGCACTGTGAGGCCCCGAGCATGTGAATCGCTGGCTCCGGCTTTGTCCCTGCTTGGGAAATGGGCCCTCAGGCCCATGCCGCCACGGAGCCGACTGTGCATTACTGGTGGAGTCTGACCGAAATATAGGCCCTTATCGACTCAGTGGGCTCAGATCAGCGCACATGGCCCTCTGCGTGGCATTGGAGTGCCCGGCTCCGCGGACCGGGCCCCCTGAATAAGACCTCCGGCTGGCTTTTGGGCTCCTCGGGCCCTCAAATCGGGCTCTCAATCGCAGCTTCCGAAGGGCCTTTCGGGCTTCTCTGAACTTAACAGGGGGGTGGGGGGGGGGCGCACGTGACCCCTGTGCCCCCTCCCCTGCCTGCGCTACTGCTCGCGCATCACGTTCTTAGCATACATTGAATGCTAGGATATCTCGAATTCATCTATAAACGTCAAAGTAAAAGCTCTGCATCGGGCCATCAGGCATCAACTGATCACATCGACTAGCCTGCTGGCCGTCAGTAGCCTTGGATTCAAGTGTCGTGCTTGATTTTGGTGATACTTGGCAGCCAGCTTGAGTTCATGTTGCCATATATTTTCAGAAATACTTAGCCTCGAAATGACGGGATCCACCAAGATATGGAGAAAATTAACTTGCTTCATGCGTGTGTTTGCGTAGCATGCCTGGTTTTCTAGAGCTGCCTACGGTGAGATGGGTTTCCGTTTATCAAATGGGAGAAAAATCCTGAAACTCAATGACTGAAATACGATGATTTTTTGGAGGAACTCTTAACCTCAGAGGCCCACAATTTTGCGTGCCCCCCCCCCCCCTTGCCGAGATCCTGGATCCGCCACTGCCCCACTGGCAGCGCCCTGGGTGGCAACAGTCCACAAGGCGCACGCAGTTTGCGGGACACAGGGTGTACTGTCTGGCTCCGACTGACTCTGTGTCGATCTTGACGTCGCCGGCGATCAGCTCCATGCCAGCCGACTCCAGGCTGAGGTCGCGCATGCTGCGGTCGATGTCCAGCGCCGCCTGCTTCCGCTCGATGTCCCGCTCCAGCTGGTACTTGGCCTTCCGCAAGCGACGCAGCTGCCCGGCGCAGAGGACGCAGTCACTGCACATGACGGCCAGCGGCGGACGCGCGCACAGGCAGCATCACCACCAGCCATCGGCCCCTCTATACCACGCCTCCCCTTCTCCCTCCCCCCCCCCCCCCCCCGGAGGACAGCGCGGTGCGTGAAGAATGACATGGACGGCCGCCGCGGCACGAAGGCATTATTTGTATTTCGCAAAAATGCCACCGTATCATAAGACGGGAGGAGCCAAGACCGATAACCCGGCAGGCATGCCGTCCGCTACCCCATCATCAAGCGCGCAAATCGGGACAAGTTTTCATATGAATGCCAAGGCGGCTTATGTACCGCCCAGATGGGAAAAGAGCGCTGGCCACCGCTTCACTGTTCCACGGCAGTGGGCAATAACATAATGCCAGTAACAGTAATTTGATGAGTTTGGTTTATCTGGAGCACAACGGAATGAATGATATGGACGACCAAAAAACGTCCAAGTCTCAGGCGCTAACGGAAGGTCTAGCTTGCTGTGCAGTGGAGTAATGCGATACACCACGAGAGAGCCTGTCGACCACACCAAACAGTGGTATGACAACAAAATCGTGCTGAGAAAGTGAAATGAATCCACAACAAAACAGATAACGACATGTAACAAGCGCACATATGATAAACTACATGCCAGTAATTATATCTGAAATACCCGAAACACAGCAGAATGAATACCGAGCTTTCGGCCTGCGAAGCCATCTGAGGGTTTCGCGCTCAAGCGCTCTCTACACCTTCATGTTAAACAACCAGTAGGAAGCTTGAGGCCCAAAGCCCGTTGGTCATTTTGGCTTGCTCCAGATGTTCATAATATAATAACTGACATGCAATTGATCTGTGTTCTCATTGCAATGTTTTCAACCACGCCAGTGACCCTCCACATACTAAATGTCAATACAGGCATTTTAAAAACCCGATGCCACACAGCGTTCAAGGTGCTCTAAAAAAACAAAAACACGTGCTCTTTTTCACTTCAACGTTCATTTGCAGCTGTTGAAGACTATGCGGGGATGAAAACTGGCACCAGGGCCCCAATTACAGGCCTTACAAGTGGGCGTTGATCCCGGCATAAAGCGGGCATCGGTTGACACACGTTACTCGGGCGGTCATCAGTCACGCAGTTGAACTGCGTGTCGCCGGGAGACTCGCGCTATTTTGCGGTGGGCGACATCGATAACAGTGGGCGTTTCACGTCCGAGCTGGCCACACCGAAGTCAGCCGCAAATGTCACCGCGTGCGCGCAGGCACCGGGGAGCAGAGGTGCCGCCGCCGACCGCCGGCCGCCGGCCGACCGAGTCCGCACTGACCTGCTCCTTGGCCTGCTCTCGGCACCGGCAGAGCATCTCCAGCACGCCCTCAATCACTTCTACCTCCTTGATCAGCTCGCGCTCCGGTTCGTCGTGCACTCGGTCGATGCCGAGGCGGCACTCCCTGCGATGGACGTCCGGTCCTGGTGACGGGGGAAATCACGCCGCCCTTGCGTGTCTCCCACGCCCTGGGCACGCCCGTGTCCACCCACGCCCGTCACTGACCAACCAGCGTCCGGCCGGGGCCATTTATGTGACGTGGGCTAAGACAACATTTAAATGTCGACACAATGGAAAAACTACAAATGATTTCACCACCTGGATGCACTTGCATTGACAGTCGGCGACAGTGACAAAGACCAGATGTTAGTCCGACATGTTGTCCGTGTATCTTAGCAAACATTGGTGCCTGCCTCCGTACACAAACGTTGCGGTGTTTCGTGTGTCCGCAGCATCCCAAACAGAGCTGACACTGCCGGGCGGTCGGATAAGCGCCAACAGGCCCTCATGTGGCCTCCGCAATGCGGCGATATTCACCTCATCTCTAAGCAGTCTTTGGCGCGTTGCAGCGGGTCTTGGAGATCGCATTCGGCCTTGGCGACGCGCGTCATCATCACGTCCATCTTGTCGATGTGCTGCTTCACGTCGGCCAGCTTGGCATCCAGCTCGGACTTCCAGTACTCCAACTGGTCCAGCCGCTGGTCCAGACGCTTGTCCGCTTCATCCTGCGCGTCATAGGGTCCGCATTGTTGCCAACACATCAAACCTATTTCATATCGGCGTGATTGATCGCAGCTGCTGATCGTGCTAAGCGACAAGGGTTTTTAATGTAACACGAAATATTGAGAAAGCGCTCAATGCAAGTCAAGTTCATGCAAAGCGGTATCGGCGAAAATAATTAACTTCGGCCGTACAGGAGGAGCGGCAAGCCATTTGAACGACAGCGCATCCATTGTTTAGACGAGATCTTCAGAGAGTTTGACAAGGTACTTTTGTTATTGACACGGACGTAATCGACATGGCGTACCTGTGATTGCTTAGTGCGCACCACTATCTCGTCTCGCAGCCGATTGCACTCGGCCATAAGTGACTCCGCCGTGTTTGAGTTTGCTTCGGCATTGTGGAACTTGATGTTGTTGGCTAGGTTCCATTCCTGGGGCGTAAAACGCGGCGGGCGAGCCACCGTCCGAGGCATGACTCTGTCAACAAACGTTAAACGAAGTGCGCGCAGCGTGCTCATTACCCTGCCATAATTTTGACATTGGGAGCAAACCATCGAACGTATGATTTGGCAAATGAGAAACACAGGTATTGTCACAATTACGACGGAGGTCAGATGCCGCCACATGCCCTAGTGTTATAAGAATGACATGCCAGCGTAACGAGAAAAGCGGCAGATAATTATCGCCAGGCAGACGGGCTTCTTCGAGTTACAACGCTCCACGTGTTTATTTTAAGACCAGCATATGGGAATGACGTTTAGCATATCGTTGAAAGAGGCCACTTGTGAAGTTTAGCTGCAATAGCTGTTCTGTGGCGTGCAGTCGTCAGATTATTTCTTACTCATTGCGTAATCCATATTTTCGTTGCCCGTGCGACTACGCGGAACTTAACACATTATGTCTATGGATGCTACACGGAAAGAAATGCTTCTCAAAAAGCGGATACCCGTTCAAACCAGTCCCACTTTAACGGATTGCGAGAATTTTGTACGAATGTGATAAGCTAGGATTATTGCAACCACGCGGAACAATAACCCTAACACAAGACCTGCCGTAACTCGTGCGTGAGGTCCCGCAGGTGGATGCTGAGCTGGAAGCCCCACCGGTGTGGACACATCTAACTCGCTGTCTCGGGTGAGTTGCTTTTGGATGCGATACAGCAGTGGTGTTGGTGAAGCATATACAAATGAAGGAAGTTGTCCGAAAATACCATGGGAGAACGGATGGGTGGGCGAGATAGACAAGGTGAAGAGAGGCAAGCGGTAGCGGTACCAGGACTGTCACCTAGGGGTTTGACCAATGCTCTTGGGGTTTGACATTGTTCTAAAGGGAGAGGGATCAGGCATGCGGGATAAAAGCCAATGGCAAAAAATGGATCCCAGGATGAATCGACCGACCAACTTTTTGGCGATTCTATGACCCAGCCGCCGGGGATCGATCGCTGCCAAACTGTAGCAATTGTATCTGCCATAGCTGATAACACATCCTTTCCAGTGCATGGTGATCTAGGTCAGGGCAAGTCACCCAAAACGCCCACAACCGCCAAAGTCACCCGCACACGATCTCATACTCGATCCAACTTTGGCAGTTGGGCTGCTTTTTGTGATCTTTAAAAAAACATTCAAAAAAGTCTTTAGATATTTAATGATGAAATACATAGATGTTTACAATGTTCTCGAGAAGATCGGTCATCGCGCCATTGGCGTGTCTAGTGGCAGCTTGTTGGCGACCGGTACCATAGGCTCGGAAAACGTCAGCGTCGTTAGGTTTGGTCGATCGTTCAGGCCTAGCTCCTGTCCCATCCGGTCCCGGCACATGCCACGCCCAACGAACACGAACCTTGAATGGTCTGTGCACGCGACCAAGCGTATGTAAGCATGTTCATTGAGGAATGGATGGTGCTTGAATTCGTAGCACGGAAATTCGAAGTCAGATGGATCATTGCACCGTACCGAATAACTCGGCATCGAAGATGGAACCCAAACCCTATGGCATCCGACATCCACATCAGTGAATACATGGATGCCCGCATTTCTGGCATCTTCATTTACTTATCAAAAATCTTGGGTGATTCATGATGTCTGTCAGAAGCTAAGTTTTCCACAATTATTTGGGGGGCGGGCCGGACAGTGAAAAGTGGCAAAACCACCTTCCCCAAAATGTGCCAGCGGACGGGGTTCTCTCCGGATTTGGTCCACTAATGCCTAAAATTTGGTGTCTGGAGTTATGATGTATGGCCGACGGGTGGGCCCCAAGCCCTCCCCAAATAGGGGGAGGGGCTCAAGCTCTTCCCCAACTGAAAAGGAAACCACACCCCCGGCGTATGTCTTATACCAAGCCGGCCGGTTGCCACCTACCACGCTTAATCTCGTTATAGCAGTCGCGACGACGACGGTGAGGCGCAACACTTGGGCATCAAACGAAGAACCACTTAAAACCACTTGTTTACATGATAACCCTAATTTTGAGCGCCAGCTTCCGCTGACAAATTATACTCGGTATAGCACAACCCCCACAGAGGGGCTTAAGTGCAATCCGAGCTGTAGCCACGGCACCAACTCGCCACAAATAAAAATTGGTAAACCACTTTGTTTCCATGGCTACCAAATCCCATCTATCAATAATTTTATTAAAGTTACGTGTTTCTGTATTCGTAGATAAGCTTTTTATCAAGGTGAATAAAGAAAATGCTTTTTACTTTAAATTCAAATTTAAAAATATGGTGAAAAACATTATTTATTAACCCATATATACTTCTTATTCAAGTGTAGTATCTTACACTGCGTCAGTCTGGTCTCTGTGCGCATGATTTGTGTCTGAATTGGAAACACGTGTGACGGGTGGTAAGACGGTACTTATAGTGAAAGAAAATCATAATGCCAGTATGGATAGTATGCTGGAAAGTTGTGCATTGTACTTATGAGTTTGAAAGGCATGGATTGCTGTAGCAGATGAATACCGGATCAATGTGAGCGGATAATGCCGTGAACGAACCAGGCTGCAACGAGCTGTCTAAGTCGGTTTCAACGGAAAATCTTCCATTCAATTTCACCTGTGTCGCTACTTTGCTTTGCTGAAATTTTGCTACTTCTGCTTTCAAAGTAAATATATCTGTGTGCCAGGTGGTCCTAACTACAGTGTGTTTATGTACATCTTTTGAAATTGGCATGACATTTGACTGCCCATGTGTAGGACTGCAATGCCTCATACTGGGTGTTGTGGGAATTGAACAATTGCAGGAGTCACAGTCACTTTGTAGCATTTACAGTGTTCTGCTATCAATGCTGTTGACCAGTCTGGAAACTGAGGCACAAATGTTTTTGGGTGTTTGGGCAGGCTGAGTGTCCCTGTTTCGGCCAGAAAATAAGCCTATTTGGGATATGGCTGCTTCCAGCCCAGACTACCCCAAACCACAACTTCTTATCATATTTAGGCCAATTATGGTGGAATGTAGCATAAGGTCTTATAAATATCTGTTCCCAAATTTAAAATACCACCCTGAATTCCAATTCCTACCTCAGCCACACTTCAATTAGGTATCATGATTAGATATGCTGCATTTTGCAGACTGAGCTGCTGGTGTTTTCTCATAACAGTGACACATTGTATAGAAGCCTGCTTTGGAACTGCTCTTAAAAACCAGTTGTAAAGATAGGATAAAAACAGCTTATGATGTTGGTTTCATTATGTCTGTGTCATTGCTTTGTTGACACCATTACTACCCTTGCCTAACCAAAACAGGCAAAATCTATACTGACTGCCCAACTCTGTACACTTTTTGGCCAGTTGTGGTGATGTTTCTGTTGAGGGCTGGGGAGACAATCATCAAACCATGCAAAAGTGATCGGACAGTTATGACCTTGAATGATGACCATGGCGAACATGTTTCCTCAAACTGTGATGTAAATTTTAAAAGCCTCTATCAAAAATGTTTGCATTTGGTTGCCTTTCTTTAATACCTACTTTTGAGAAGTTTCTGTTTGTCTTGATTCCTTTCTTTCATGTATGCTTCAGAGTTTCTTCAGAGAAAAGTTTCTGTTTGGTCCATCATACACATTCTGAAGGCTAGGGTGTGAAAGTTCTGAATGGGCTGCACCCAGGTCATCTTTAAGTACCATCTCTCATTTTTATCCTCAACTTAGCATTAAGTTATTGCAATTGAGTGATAAAGCACACAACATAACATTGATAAAGAGCTGCAGATCTCTGTTGAATAATTCTATTGCTGTTCCTAATAGGAGGTAACTAAAAGTCCTTGTATTTAGCTAATGCGCATCATGTGTAAACATCAAAAGCAAGTAGATGGTAGAATGTATAAAATATTAACTTATTTTGACATGATTAAGCCCTAGCAAATGCAGTTATTTCACTTCATTTGCCATGTAAGTATGATATCTAAGGCATGTATTAGCAGATGAAATATTTGGGAGTGATTTTGGAAGAGCAATAATATCTGTTAAAAATATGTTGCACCCTTATCCAAATATATTTTTATATTCTGTGTTGAATTTCAGACCATTTGTGGAGCCTGGCAATTGCAAGTAATCCTGCCAATCAGCATTGAACAAGAGATGGCTCATTAGACAGCCCTCCAAAGGACTTCCTGCATTCTAGTAGTCATTGTGCTACTCAAGAACATCACAAACTGAATAAAGGTGAGGTGGCTGAGGCAAATCCAGCATCTAATCATTAATGCATCTTTTGCTGTATATATATATATATATATATATATATATATATATATATATATATGTATGTATATTGCACCATAGCAAAACCATGTGCTCTGTGGTTCTATGATATTTGAAAGTGGAGAATAGTGGTAGCATCTGTTGCTTTTTGCTAAAGAGACTGATTGGTATTTTGTAACTGCAGTTCACTAGTGAGTTAGGGTTAGAATTTGTCAATACTGTGATTGGCTATTGGATATTTGTCTCATGTCCTGTCATGACATTGGCTGTAGGCTTTTTTGTAGCCCATGGTGGCATGACAATAGTTTCCTGTGATGCTGGCTGTATTATGTTGCTAATTTGATGACACATTCAAACTAATTGCATTGGGAATAAGCCAAATCTCACATAATTGTTAGCAGCACAGCCAAAAACCTAACCAAGAAAATATGCCTGGCAGCCATATAAAATGTCATGAGGAAAAATGTATGTTTTTTTGCTTTTTGGCAGTGGCACATCCTTTTTATGTGCTGTAGTCTTTAAATAACAGCCAAAATATGATGACTTCTGTTTTTTTTTCATTCTTGCTGTACTATATTCTGCAGTCAGTTTGCAATTTGAGCCATGCAAATAAAGTGCTTGGTATTTCAAAATGGATGTGTGTCCTTGCTGATGTTTTAAACAGATATTGTTTGGTCATTCAGTTTAATGTGACAACCAAACTCAAATTGCACTGGTGATCAGTCACACATGCCACAATATTTCTTTGACATGGACCCTCCACTGGGTGCCCCTCCATTTGGCTGCACCAGGCCGGGCATGATCTGCGGCATGTTGGACATGAACTGGCTCGGCCCGCCGTCGCCGTTGAAGTAGAAGAGAATGGAGCAGTTGACGGCGCCGCCGCCGCTGTCGCACGAGTCGGTGCAGTCACAGTCACGCTCGCAGTCGCAGCCCCGTCCCGTCCCGGCCTGTCGCCCGGGCCCGGCGCCGAAGCCTCGGCGCTGCGTGCCGGGGCCGCCGACCCGTCCTCCAGTCGTGCCCCTGCCCCGACCGACGCCCTGCCCCGCACCCGACCCCACTCCACGCCCGCGCCCACGCCCGCGTCCGCGTCCACGTCCGCCAGACAGCCGGTGGAACAGGTTGGCGCCGCGCTGCCTGAGCGAGCTCAGGCCGCGCACCACGCGCTGGCCGAGGCTGACGGCCGGGCGGCGGCCGAGCGTTGGCTGGCCGGCCGAGCGCGTCAGCCCGGTGGCCGGCGTGGCGGTACGGTCGGCGGTGCCCAGAGGCCGGCTCAGGTACGGCGAGTCGTCCCGGCGCGCCACGTACCGCTGCTCATACAGCGCCGAGCCCAGCGCGTCGTCATCCTCGAAGCGCGCGCGGCCGGCGCGGCCCGCGGGCGCCGTGTCCAGGTACGGTGACGTGCGGCCGCCGCTGTTCGGCGAGGGGTACCGCTGGTAGAGCACCATGTCGTCCTGGCGTGGCGAGCGGCCGTACGGACTCGCGTCGCCTCGCGGGTACTGCGAGCTGGCCAGGTACGGGGAGGGAGCGACCGAGTCGTACGGACGCCGCTGCGGGTACGGAGAGCCATAGCCCGGCTTCAGGGGGTCGTCCACGTACGGGTCGTCGGGCTTTTGGTATATGGGCACCACGCCTCCATCGCCGCGCGACCCCGGTGACTGGTACGTCGGGTCGGTGGCGGGCAGCAGGTTTTGGGCGTGAAATATGGTGACGTCACCTTGGTTGTCGGCGTCGGCGGGGCCGTCCGGCGGCCCCTTCGGCGTGGCTTGTTGGGCAGGGTGAGCGTGAGAGACCGTCACGACGGTCTCGCGCTGTCGCTCGTCGCAGCCGGCGGCCAGCTGGCTCTGGCTGCGGCGTCGCAGGCGGGTCAGTGCGCCCCGCGTCCTCAGCTTCTTGACGCGGCTGCCTGGCGGTGCCGGCTGGTAGTCGAGGCTGCGGGTGGCTCTGGTAGGCGGCGCTGGCGGCGTGGGCAGCGCCGGCTCCGAGGTGATCTGGCGGCGCGGCAGCGGCGACGGCGGGTCGGCGGTCCGCATCCGCTCGGCCGGCCGCGGCGCCGTCGACGGCGCGCCGTACCGGAAGCCGGCGCTCTCGGACGAGCTGCCGTGCGACGGCGACAGCCCCAGCTCCAGCCCCAGTTGCAGCACCGTGTCTGGCTCCGAGAGTTGTGTCTGCCCCGTGTTGGAGTCATCCGTGCTACTGAGCGAGGCGTCGTCGGCGCCGTACTGCGTGCTCAGACGGTAGATGAACTGGTCGCGGTGTGTGCCGTCGTCCAGCTCCACCTGATTGGCAATCCGTTGGACGAGCAGCCGGCCGGCGAGCAGCTCGCTGCGCGTGCGTCGCACCGGACTGCCCCGGTCGCTCGGCCCGGCTGCAGTCGACCCCTGGACGGAGCCGGCGGCCCAGCCGCGCTGGGGCTCGGGCCTCGCGGCCGCGGGCAGAAGCGGGTCACGGGGCCGCGCTCGCTGGCGGCTGGCCGGGAGCGTCCCCGCCGTCGCCGGTGCCGCCTGCCCCGGACGGGGCGTGTCGGCCCGCCGGCTGGTGGGCGTACTGTCGGGTGGCGGGCCGGCACGCCTCAGGCGCTCGTCACCCGGGGTCGGGCCGGCGCGCCGCGTTCGTTCGTCGTCAGCCGGAGTCGGACCGGCGCGCTCGGAGCCTGACCGTATGGCGGAAGGCGCCGCGCGACGGCCGCCGTTTCTGTCGCCCCTGAGCCGGAGGGTGCAACGACGGGATGTGCCAGCGGTGCTCTCGCGTGTGGATTACTTCCTCTGTGATACAGTTGGCGTCCTCGCCATCAGCCGGCACCGTCCGCTGGCAGCCGGTGCCGTGTCCTCTCGTGCCGGCCGTCAGATCACCTGATCCGGCCGCGGGGCCGCCGCCTCCACCGTCGCTCTTCTTCTCGCCTGCCGGCACCGTCTGCTGCTGCTGTATCAGCGCCGTATAGACGCTGTACTGGACTCCGGCGCCGTGCGCGCGCCGACCGGCGCGGCCTCGCCGTAGGTCCGACGCGCTGTGGTACGGCTGCGGCTGACCCGGTCGCCGGCAGCCGCCGCACGTTTCCTCGGCCGATTTGAACCTCTCGCACGGCGTGGAGGGCCGCCGCCCGCCCAGCTCGCCGTACTCGTCTTCGTCGTACCCGCGCTGGTACCCCCGGTGGCCACCACGGCGGCCGTACCCGTCCTCGTAGTGCTCGTCGCCGTCGTACCCGCCGCGGCCGCCGCACCCCCGGCGGGTGCCAGCGCCGTCGTACTCCGCACCGTACGCGCTGCCTCCGCGGCTGCCGCGGGAACCCCGGCTGCCGCCAGCGCCTTCATAGCGAACCCCGCCGTGCGCGCCACCGCCGCCGTCGTACCTGGCTTCTATCATATACGCCGCCGCCGCCGTCGTACTGGCTTCTATCATATACGCCGCCGCCGTCGTACTGGATTCTATCATATACGCCGCCGCCGCCTCGGCCGTGCGGGTATCTCACGTCCGCGCCGCCGCAGCCGCGGCACACCTCCTCAGCCGAGTGGAAGCGCTCGGTGCAGCGCTGCTTCAGCGGCCCGGCGGCGGCCGGCGAGAGGGCCACCGGCCGGCACGGATCGCTGTCCGACGGCCACTGATCGTCTCTATCCGCCCGGCCCTGACGGAGAGGGCAACGGCATCACGCTCAGGGCTGGCTGCTTCACATGACATGCGCGAGACTGTCTGTCCGGAAAGTGGAAATTGAATAATTGTACGAAAATATATCGGTGCTGTGTCTGTTGCGTGAGCTGTTCAGAACGTCTGCACACTGGGACGTAGAGAAACTTTTGTGTGGTGTTGTTATTCGTGAACGTTTTGTGGCAGGGTTGGTTATTCGACATATCATGTTAACGTCTTCGATATGTATGGTTTAATGCTCACACAAGATGCGTGACGTACGCACTGGACTGGAAGCGTCAGGTGGTACGTACCGTTCTGTTTCTGCAGCGCTTCTTGCAGCATTTGTTGGCGGGCGCGGGTCGCACGTACCGGTTATGGACGTGCACTCTGACCCGGTGTCGCCGGTGAGGCATCGGCCCCGGCAGCCAGATTTACTCATTCGAAAGGCTGAAATGTTTTGGTAATGTTACGGATGGTGCCACGTCAGCCAGATGGATTGTGATCTCGACGGCCGGTGATTTACTGTGAATCGTGAGGCGGCTCCTGACAGATGTGTGCGGCGGGCTCGTTTATTCGTCTGGTGCCAGGGAATAAGCAACAGCCGAGATGGCTTGGCCGTGTATTTATCGGCGCTTACGAATGTTCGAATTCAGCTGGCATGATGTGACTTGGGTTAAAGAGCGTCGTGGGCAAAGCTATTGGCGCTTATCTTGGATGGATGCTAACGTAACTTAGCAAGCTGGGCGCGGTTGCATTGTCAGGCGTTTACATTCCCTACGCCTGCACGTCAAACCTGGGTAGTCTGTTGCAGATCGTTTGCATTCACCGTCGTCAGTCGTTTGCCTTCACTAGCCTGCGCGTCAAACTCGGCAATTTGTTGAGCATGTCTGAATGTCTTTGAGCCCTGGAAGAATATTTATTTGTCTTTACAATGTTCCATGCGATGATGGGTAGGTTACAAGATGGAATGGGACAAATTAGTGCTGGAATGGAAGAGGCCTGCTTGGCCAGGTTGTTTTGATCTCAAATTTGCATTCGGTTACCTAGTTTCAGGCATTGACCAACAACATGTATGAAAACCATATTGGTGCGTACCGCGTCAGATGAATGTCGCACGTCAGGCCTTCCTGGCTAAGATAAGTCCTGTGACACTCACGTTTTGCGATCCGAAGGGAACTTACTTCCATTCGTGCTGTTCCATTGTGCAATTTGTCTTGGAGACTAAGAAGTCGGCTATCTAAAGTTGCCTACCTAACAAGCTCCATCCCTCTCGCGGATATAAAAAAAATACGATGTGAGGCGGTTGGCACAAATCACGTTGCTCCTTGAGCAGTTGCGAAGAAATTGCTTGCCACATGTGGCAGTTGTAGGCATGGTCCTCCGCTATAAATATGCTCCGCTAATTTTAGTTTATAGTCACTCGTGGTCTCGCGAGCTGTGAACCGCAATTGCGAGGAATATTATTCACATAGATAAGACGAAAGTAATATGAATAGCAGAAGTGCTAAGTGCGCTTCTTCTTAAGCAGTGGTAAGAAGGGCTTATTCTTGAGAAGTCCTAGGCGCACTTCTGCAGTTCATTTCGATAAATTTGTTGCCAAAATATCAATACATCGTTATCTCCATTTCCTCTGTTTTTTCTCCGAGGAATAAAGTTAATACTTCTGTTTTACTCACAGTTTTGAATAACGGAACTGTATGATAGATGCTCAATGCCTTAATTTACAGAACAAGTCAGAATTTTGGACCTTTTAGAGTAACTCGATGAATAACTGTGAAGGACAGTTTTGCTATTACATTCAATGCTATGATGAACTGATTCACCTAGCCGCTTGTAGGTAATCCAGCCGTAACTTAAATGAATCATCATGGTGTGATCCATCCACCTGTGTCTTGTACAGCTGCAAAATTATCATCAATGCTAGAGTTTGGGAAAGCCGCAGGCGCTAGGTTTCAAAGTTATTAATGAAAAGCGGTACATGTATACTGAGTAGATTATAACTACACAATGCGTTGCTTAGGTTGGGGCGGGGCCGTATCTTATCAATTGATCATTTGTTCCACCAGAAGACGTAGCGTGAGGTGCCGGCGTGTTTTTCTTGCACTTTCGATGACTCAGGGTGGAGACCTGCTGCCACCTTTGTTTCGGCGTCCCCCGCTGCCAGGGGCGTGAGAGATCGCCAGTTCTGTGACCACGGCACTAACGTGCGCTGTAGCATAGCCCAAGGCGTTCTTAGTCACCTTTGTGGTCAAATGGCAATTCATCACAAGGCGCGTAAATGTTCTCTCGAAGATTTCCGTCGGAAACGAATCAGGAGAATATGAGAAGCTCCTACAGCAGGCAGGGTATTCGCAGTGGCGGTTGTCGGCGCTGTACTCCCTCTTATGTGTGTCGTCCGGCTGTAACCCGGCTGCTGCCCACGCAGCCGGCGCCACGTCGGCGGGATCTGAGCCTGCTGCCAGTCGACATCGACGCGCCGTGTCGCGGCCGGGCGCCCGCGGCCGGTTGTCGGCTGCTGCCCATGCAGCCGGCGCCACGTCGGCGCGATCCGAGCCTGCTGCCAGTCGACATTGACGCGCCGTGTCGCGGCCGAGCGCCCGCGGCCGGTTGTCAGTTGCGAGTGGGCTCGAGCAGCGCCGGAGTCGTCCAAAGCAATCGTCGACACAACTGAGTGCGTGTCGCGGCTGTTGAGACTCGAACGCGGATCAACAGCATGCAAGCAGCCTGTTGGTTACTCTCGCTTCCGAACTCCCGCTTCCGAACAGTGCAAACATTTCCATTAGATTCTGAGTGGTAAGAGCTTTATTGGCGACATTGTCATGGCCTGCATCCATCGTCGGTGCTCTTCGAGACCTGGAATGCAACGACAAACCTTACGACAAAGACGTCGTTTGGAGGATATGGCACGTGCCGGATTGATCGTGTTATCGCGCTAGAAGGTTGCATGCTTAGTGACGTGAGCAGATAAGGTTTACTTAAGCGAAATGGATGTGCGCTTGCGCTTAGTATTTTGAGCACGCTCCACGAACAAGCTCGACGTAATGTCTGTCACTTTATTCTTGTCAGAATGTCATCATGCGCGACAGGCCTGTACCAGCCCCACATGACGTTCTGTTTGTAAGGAACGTTGAAGTCTGCTGCGTATTCGGCTGCTGTCAAACTCGTCGTTCCCATCAGCGCGGAACGGGGAAGTTTCGTGGGATGCGCAGTGACAGGATCTAAGTCATTAAACCGCGCAGTGCGCTGCACGCGGCAACCAAACAACCTGCCCTGGTTTCATTCACGCGCCGCTCACGCCTGTCTGTATCGGAGAGTCGGCGGCTCTATGAAGGCGTGCCAGCTTCGGTTCGCTGGCGTGCCGCAGCAGTCTGCCTCGGCTGGCAGTGGTGGTGTGGCAGTAGTCGACCAGCACTAGAGAAGCCGACGACACGCGGTGGTGTTGCGAAGAGGCTTCATGGGGGAGGAGGAATAGGAGCAGGCAGTGAAACCGTGTGGAGACGACAAGGGGACCGACCAGGCGGACGGCGCCGTTTTAGGTGACCGAGTGCAGGCCGATCAGATGGGTGGCGGCGCCCTAGACGGCCAGGAGTCGGCTTATCAGGCCGGTCTAGGCGGCCCGCCAGCCTCAGTCTCGCTCTGTCCGGCCGAAGGGCCCGTCTAGGCGGCCGGGAGCGGGCTGATGAGACTGAGCGCGCCCGCCTCGTGCCGCGCCGCCCGCTCCATCTCGTCTTGCTGCACGTGCTCGGCGTCCGGGAAGACGACGTCGTCGTCGCGCGGCAGCTGGCGCGCCGCCTGCGGCCGCCGGCACTTGCCGAGCGCGTTGAACTCGGCGTACGGCTCGCGGTGGTGCGGCCTCTTCTTGCAGTACAGGTGGTGGCCACAGCGGCCGGCCGAGTCCCACGGCCCGCCGCACAGCTGTCCGGGACCCTGCAACACAGCACACAGGGGGCGCTGTGTCGGGCGCCGCGCCATGCAGCCGGCCGGCCTGACGTGCTGGCCAAGGTCGGCTCAGCAGCGATCAGAGGGCGGATTTTGATTGATTGTCTCTGATGTCACGTGATGAAGTGCCATGGCCGTTGGCGTTAGGAATGGCGCCACGGCATGGTCTGGGCGAGGCATTTTGTATGGCGCGCGCTGCCTGCGTCATCTTAACATACCACATAGGCAACGGGCACTGAATTCGGACAAATGTTGTTGTTACTTTCGCAATAGCGTAAGCTACGAGCAGGCGTCACTCTTCGGATGCTCAGCATTGCATCGCGGCCGGCCTCTGCGCTCGTCCTCGGGCGGCGGAGCGTCTGGTTACCAGGGCACATCCGCCGCGGCCCGACGGCCATCAGGCGAGATAACTGACGAGCGCTGGTTCGGGTCGTGCAGGGCTCAGCTCACCTTGCCGCAAGTGACGCAGCAGGAGCACGTGTCCCTAACCACGCCGTACTTGCATCTGGGGCTGCGCAGCTTGCATTGCTCCGGGCGACAGGGGGCGCAGCTGAGCGGGGCCGCCCTGGAACCGATGTCGCCGGTGTTAACTGAGCTGCCGCGGAACGAGCGGCACGGCAGTCAGCTGAGTGGGTTCACCCTGCACGGGGTGTTACCCAATTCAGCCGAGCGCACTCGCTTCGGAAAAATTGTCACCGAAGTCAACCGCATGGGACCGCCCTGGAAAGGTTGCCACCTGGATGGGCTGGACTTGGTTACCTTGAAACAGACGTCACCGGGGGCCATTACGGCTGAGGCGGGGGACACGGCCGACAGGTGCTTAAGCCAAGAGGTCATCGTGATACAGGGTGATCAATGCTAGTGCCGTGCACACCGCTATCAGAGGGCTTAGCTGACGGCTCGTCCTCGCATGGGTTATCACTGCTGTGACGAGGACACAGGGAGCGAGACATGGCTGAGGGTGCATGAGGAGGGTGGAGGGCACCTCCTGTGAGGGGTGCACTGCGACGCCGGTGCAGCTGATACGGCCGGTCGCGGTGTCATTTTCGCACGGGAGCGCCAGGGTCACCTCTGCTCGAGTGCAACTTTGGGCAGGGCGTTGCTACAGTGGGCGCAGCCGACAGTCGGTCCAATGTGCTGTCGCGGCTTAACCGCAGGTCGGGCCGCGCCGCGGTCGCTGGTGAGCCGCAGCACACGTGTCCGCCGCCCGTAGGAGGCTGCGTCCATCGCGCGGCCGGGGCGGCGCCACATGCCGGCCGCTGCAGGTCGGGCGTGCCGCCGCAGCCGGACAGCTCGTCACCGCCGCCGGCCGGCCAACGAGATCTCGATCAGTGACAGACGGACGGCGCGGCCGGCGGTGGAGCGGAACAGCCGGTCACAGGCGGGCACGCTGGGGATGCCGGCCCGTGTCGGCCGGTGACGGCAGGATGGGACGAACGGCGCGGCCGGCGGTGGAGCGGAACAGCCGGTCACAGGCGGACACGCTGGGGATGCCGGCCCGTGTCGGCCGATGACGGCGGGATGGGACGGCCGGCGCGGCCGGCGGTGGAGCGGAACAGCCGGTCACAGGCGGACACGCTGGGGATGCCGGCCTGTGTCGGCTGGTGACCGTTGGAAGGGACGGACGGCGCGGCCGGCGGTGGAGCAGAATAGCCGGTCGCAGGCGGACACGCTGGGGATGCCGGCCCGTGTCGGCCGGTGACTGCGGGAAGGGACGGGCGGCGCGGCCGGCGGTGGAGCAGAGCAGCCGGTCACAGGGGGGATGTCGGCCCGTGTCGGCTGGTGACCGCTGGAAGGAACGGTTGCTCGCCGGGAGGACGAGCACGGCTGGCTCATGCAGCGGCTTACCTTTGGAATGTGACGAGGGCGACCGCGAACGCCAGCCAGACGGAGAGCCGCATGCCGTGCCGTCTGGAACGGACGGCGCGCCGTTACTGGGAGCGCAGGGGCGCCAGTGGCGCTGGCGGGCGGCTGTCACCCAGTTTTGGGGTTTCACGTTCATTCGGCAGAGCGGTGGGTTAGCAAAACAACCGCATAAAACCGCGCCCATCAATCGTATTACGTATGTTCCGATCATTTGTCATCTGGACGGTTCTTGTCGTGGCCAGATGCGAGAGAGCAGGCAGCGCCGCGATCTGCATCCGCCCGACTGCATCGTGGCTCGCGTTTGGGCAGGTGTATTAATGACACTTCAAAGCTGTGCACGTGGTGCCAGCAGATACGGCCTTTAATGACTGCGGTCAAAACCTAGCCTTTATCATATACTTATCCTCGACAAAAGTGTGTCTCCTAGGCTGGTGGACTGTTGCGCGGTATGTAGCGAGTGCGCCTTATAACAAAGCAGTCGGCCTGCCTGAAACCCAAATCGTCCCGGTGAACGGCGTGTTGTGCGTGTTTGGCGCTGTCGCCGCTTGTCATCTGACGTCACGCTCGCCCACGCCCTGGTCCCGTCGTCGCTGGCTCGGGCGGCCGGCCGCGATCAGCGCACTGCCGTCGGATTATCGCCGCCCGCGGCTGCTGAGGTCATCGGCAGCCGCGCTGACGGCTGACGCACGACGTCCGGAACGGCGCGATGACGGCGCCCGCCCCCGTGCCCCGTGTTGACCCGAGCACCGGCCGGGCCGCGGAGAGACGCGTCACCGGGGTGCGCCACCGGGGCACGCCGGCGCTCGTGGCTGGTGCGCTGTCGGTCGGAGCCCGCACCCGCTGGTATCCTGTGTCTGCCGCGGTGGCCGCTGCTGTGTGTGTGCGCGGCTGCGTGTCGCGCCGCCGCTGACCGCCCGCCCCGTATGTCCACAGAGCGATGGCCGGTCTTAACGTGCTGTTCGAGCACGCCGCTGGCTACGGCCTGTTCGCCGTCAAGGAGTTCGAGGAGACAGGCATGCTGCTGCCCGAGGTGGAGGCGTCCGTCACCGACCTCAGCAAGTTCAACTCGATCGTGCATCTGGTGGGCTTCGCGCCGTTCAAGACGGGCGCCAATGCGCTGGAGAACATGAACGCCGTTTCGGAGGGCATCGTGACGGAGGACTTGCAACTGTTCCTCGACACCAACCTGCCGAGCAAGCGCAAGAAGGTGACGGTGGGCGTGTCGGAGCCCAAGCTGGGCGCCGCCATCTCCGAAGCCCTGGGTGTCAAGTGCCAGCACTCGGGCGCCGTGCCCGAGATCATTCGCGGCCTGCGCCTGCACTTCCCCAACATGGTGAAGGGTTTCACGCCGGTGGCGTCGGGCAAGGCGCAGCTCGGCTTGGGCCACAGCTACTCACGCTGCAAGGTCAAGTTCAACGTCAACAAGTCGGACAACATGATCATCCAGAGCATCGCGCTGCTGGACCAGCTGGATAAGGATATCAACACGTTCTCGATGCGTATCCGCGAGTGGTACTCCTACCACTTCCCGGAACTCGTCAAGATCTGCCCCAATAACTACATGTACGCCCGCTGCACGCAGGTGGTGCGCAACCGCAAGGAGATGACGGAGGAGGTGGTGCCCCAGCTGGAGGAGATCCTCATGGACTCGGCCAAGGCGCAGGCCGTTTACGACGCGTCCAAGTCTTCGATGGGCATGGACATCTCGCCGCTAGACCTCATCAACATCGACATGTTCGCCAAGCGCGTGGTGGCGCTGTCTGAGTACCGCACCAGCCTGCAGAACTACCTGAAGGACAAGATGGGCGCAGTGGCCCCCAACCTGGGCGAGCTGGTGGGCGACACGGTGGCGGCGCGGCTGATCTCGCACGCCGGCTCACTCACGAACCTGGCCAAGTATCCGGCATCGACCGTGCAGATCCTGGGCGCTGAGAAGGCGCTGTTCCGCGCGCTCAAGACGCGCGGCAACACGCCCAAGTACGGCCTGCTCTTCCACTCGACGTTCATCGGCCGCGCCGGCGCTAAGAACAAGGGTCGCATCTCGCGCTACCTGGCCAACAAGTGCAGCATCGCCAGCCGCATAGACTGCTTCTCCGAAACGGCGAACACCGTGTTCGGCGAGAAGCTGCGTCAGCAGGTGGAGGAGCGGCTCAAGTTCTACGAGACGGGCGAGATTCCGCGCAAGAATGCCGACGTCATGAAGGAGGCCATGGAGGAGAGCGTCGAGGTCCAGGCCAAGCTGGACAAGAAAAAGAAAAAGAAGAAGAAGCGCAAGGCGGAGAGTGAAGAGAACGGCGACACGACGCTGGATACGTCTCAACTGGATGTCGACGAACCGCCGAAGAAGAAGAAGAAGCGCAAGCACCAGGACGAGATGAATGGAAATGGCGACTCCACGCTGGACCTGAACGATACTGAGGACAGCAAGAGCGCCAAGAAAAAGAAGAAGAAGAAGAACAAGGAGATGGAGATGGAGATCGCCGCGTAAGGGGAGGACGCGGGGCGCGCGTCCTCCTCTGCTGACCGGCAGCGCCTAACGGGTGAACCACCCTCTGGCCCGGTGGCGGGCGGCGTGCACGGCGCGAGCTGAGAGCCCGGGAGCGGACTCCGCAAGCGGAGGGACCAGGCGACCTGCAGCGCCGGCCCCGGCGACACGCACTAAGGTCACTTCGACTACCGGACGGCAGGAAGAAGGCAGTTTCGAGCAGATTCTCCAACCGCCAACGAGTGCGAACGGAAGCCGTGTCGCGTCTGTGATGTTTGCTCCTTGGGTGTGACAGATTCCGGGCTCCTGTCGGTACCAATAAATTTACAAAAGATCACGTCGTCTGCGGCTGTGATGGAACATTTGTAGCCTGCCCGGCAGCCGACGTGAGCATGATGCGATCGTGCTCTTGCCGCGGATTCAAGGACAGTGTAAGGGTACCTCTTGAGTCACCTTGGCTCGGGCCCTCGGCGTGCCGACACATTACGCCTCATCTCGAGCTGCGGAACCGGTCCTGAGGTGTGTCGCCGCAGGCGTATATTGATCACTGCAGTGGGACGGCATCAGAGGCTGTCTGCCCCTACCCCGGGAGGAAAGGAGACGCTATGCCGCATGCCCCTGCAGTTGATGCGCCAGAAAACCCAAACACTGTCCGCCCATCTCTCCGAGCAACCCCGTCTCTCCGCCATCCCCGGTGACGTGGACCAAGCGCTCGTGCCGCTCCTGTGACGCTGCCGTCTCCTGGCCGTGAACAGTGCCCTCTGCGCCTGCGCGCTCCCCACCTGTCCCCGCCGGGCGCCGGGAGACACGGGTGGCCGCGGTCGGCTGGCGAGCCGCGGTCGGCACCTGGCGGGCCGGCCGATCGGATCGGGAACGGCAATGCCGGCCGACGCCAAATGGCGCGCGTTGCTCTGCCGGCCGACGCCAAATGAGCTCGGGCGGGGTACCGCTCGATGTCACGTGATCGCCGATGGCGTGCCGTCCGGCGACGGCGGAAGACGCCGTTGTGAGCGAGCTCAAAGTCCGATAACACGTCACTGGGAGCTCGGTCGAGAACTCTTATCAGAGACAACTCCCAGAAAGTAAGGCGTCGCGTGAAGCGTGATGTGGTCCGGGACTGGGACTGATTTGCGAGCAGCAAGTATTCCTGAGACTCACAATTTGTTCCTTTTTCTTTTGACATCCCACAAAATTAACAGAGTTGCGGGATTAATGGATGAGGATGCTCATCATACACCTCAAGAACCAGAGTATGCTTCTTGCGACAGGACGTCGGTGACGTGTGTGCGGGTGGCGGCGGATCTGTCGGAGCAGCTTGAGTGTTTGTTCTACACAGTTCTAACCCGATGCGCGATAGGCGTCAAGTGGCGACCGACTGAGAGACCCGCTCTTCACAAGCAAAAGCACGCCATTCGTTACTTGAGGCGCCTATGTAGTGGTCCCGAGACCAACCAGAGCTGCCTGGGCCCCTTCGGAGCTCGGACTATTTGTGTACATAGCGGCGTGGTTCAGACGCTTTGTCGAATCAATAGAGAAATATCGGTCTGCTTCTTAACGCGAGTGCGACTGGCGTTCCAGGAACGCTATGTTGCTCAAAAATAGCCGCAAGGTTTGGACTTAGTTCAACCGCTCTTCACTGACATGTGATGTATATAGAGCAGTTTGCCGGGAACTGGGCGCTGTTGGCCAGTGAAGAACGGGCTTGAGGTTCTCAAGCGCCGCAGCACGTTCCGGAGCGGGTCGCAGACACGTGACTGGGCTATTCGCCTGGGCTGGTGTTCGATTGGCCCTGTCGCGGGGCGAAACCTGCTGATCTCATTCGTCCTAGCGCCATGTTTTGGCTCAGTGAAGCTATCGTTTCGCTGCCTCGCATGGGGACATCTGCACTTTCCGCACCACGCATTATCGTTTGATACGGTGTGGGATTGGTGCAGATGGTGCAGATAAACCATTTTCAACTGATTTGCATGGGCTTTGGGCTCGCGTGCTTCCTTACCGGAGTTACCGCGCATGGCCTGTGTCCATTACGCAGGTTGGGCTGATTTCGTGAGATGGCCTTGCCTTCGACATTCTTAGCCAGGCGTGCGCGACCGCGGGAATCTTGTTTGTGCGGTAGGTATACAACTCGCGCGAAACGGTTCGCTGGTGCCAGGTTGGCCGTTCTTGAGGGGTTGTCGACCCAAATTTCCGTGTCGACCGTGCCATGTGAACGTTCTGTGATTGTGAGCCATGGACGCTGCATGATCAGCCCCGCAGTATTCCCCTATAGCACGAAATGGTTGTTCATTAAAAGCCTCACCTCACGCGGACTAGAGGATCCAAAATAAGCGAAGAGCTGTCGGTGCCAACTCTTAGTTTTCTTTCTATTCAGTTTGTTTTCGCTTGTCCCAATGCTGAAAGCGTCGTGATATCAGTTTCTCTTGGTAGCGATTCACGTTATTTGCGCGCGCTGTTACGAACGCCTTAGAGCTGGGTTGGGATTGCACCGGAAGTCCATTGTCCACGTCGGATATGATTTGGTTTCGTTTACCCACGGCGTCGACCGGCCGCTGGCGCAGATAATCCAGGCTGTCGATACCTGTGAAGGAGTGCCGCGACCTTCGCCCGGCGCCTTCCGCAGCAGCCGCCACGAACACAGATCCCGCCCTTGATGGCCTGATTGATACCGCCGGACGGCACGCGATCGCGCGCTCTGGCGCGCCGACCTGCGGACGTGACGGCAGCACCGAGCCGGCCAGCTGCGCCCAGCCCGCGCTGCCCGCTTCCCCGCTGCGGAGGTCTGTCGACTTTGAGACCCGGGGGGGGGGGGGGGGGGCGAACCGTTTCCTTCCATGCACCGCCAAAGGGCTTGTAGGACATTTTCACGTTACCGAGGGAGCTAACGATTCCCCGAGCATCACGTCGAGGGAAACGCTGTCATGTATATTCCGCACTGCTCTAGGTGCTGTCTCTCGTAACCTTTGTTCCATACGACAGTGCTGCCCCATGCGGGTGGTGGAAGCCCCGTCAAGCGCAGCATTAACACCTGCCGGCACGAACTTCGTCGCTTGATGTACGTGTCGTCTACAAAGTCTTCCTCAACAACTATACCATTCCGCCCTCTCCGCTCATCCGTCGTCCGCATGTTGACCACCATCGCATACGTATATCGGCGGCTAGAGCTTGAGTAAACTTACTGAGTATCCCTTGGGACCAATGTCCGTTACTCCGTCAAGTGCGCGACTTCTCGCGGCATCGCACTCTTTGTCTCCCGTGCGGCAGCCGCCACAGAGTTGAGACTGTATGCGGAGAACCATTGTTGCTTCGCAGCTTAACATATTAAATCATTAGACAGAGGCAATCAGAAGTATAATTTCACACAACCATGCTGAGCGGGGGTCTACAAAGCCTAGTTGGCATCATTTTAATTAGGATAACCCGATGTGCCGATTTTTTCAGGGTTCCTGACCACTTTATCCCATCGTTTGAAAACAATTTGAGGGATAACTCAGATGTACTGTCTTTGACGTGTTCAGAGATTTTACTAGTATTTTTCTCATCACTTTTGAAGTTTTGCTGAGAGTGGTTACAGTTTGTTGAAACCTTGTGTGAGAGAGGAAGAAAAAGTTATGTAAAAGTCCGTTCACGTAATATTGATTTTTGCCTGTCCAGCTCTGGCATTTTTTAGAATTTCCTCATGGATATGCCGTAGGTTGGGAGAGCTTACTGAGTGAAAGAACTCAGCTGCAAGTTGGGGTCTCGATGATAACTTGGTTAAGCCTACCCGCAGATTATTGCAAATCGCCTGGAGCCCCGAACTGAATGTGATTTCACACACTTGGTTAATGTCACAGTACTTCGAAATTCGCTAGCAATCTGCACATCCGGCGCTAACTGATAACTTTCCTTAGCGACTACCACATCAGCTATCGGGAGGCCGGCGTTTCAAACGTTCCAAGGTTATTCGTCGGTTGGGCTGTTAGTAGCTGTTTGACTCCCTGCCAGTCCGGGTGCTTGATCTCGCTACATAACGCTCATAGGGCCTGTCAGGCGCTCACGAGATGTTCGGAAGACGCGCTCTGTTCACCTGAAGAGGCAGGACGAGACTTTCAACCACCTTCGAGTTACAGCGGGCCCGATTTGTCGCCTTGTTTACATCCGCTTCGGCCGGAGGAGCCGTTGTCTCTAGGCCGACGGCCGTTTTGCTACCGGGCCGGCTGGCAGGCTTGGCTCGGCTGATGGGCCGGGACCAGCCGGTACGTCTGATGGGCCGGCTGGCAGGCTTGGCTCGGCTGATGGGCCGGGCCCAGCCGATACGGCGCCCGTCCCGAGTTGGTCGGCCCGGCCGTCTGACCGGCTGTTACGGCGAGCGGACACAGCTGCCAGCGGGCCGCCGCTGACCGGCGGCGCGCTGGGTCAGTCCGAGCTGACGGACACATGGACGGAGCTGGCACAGCCACATGGCGGCTGTCTGGTGCCTGGTGAGAACTGACACATATACCCGGGGGGGGGGGGGGAGCTGACAGTCACCTGGCGAGGACCTGCACGGGCACCTAGTGGGAGCTGACACAGTCACGTGATGGAAGCTGGCAGCAATCCAATCTCAGTCAGCTCTTGGTCGGTAGGTCACCGGTCTGTATTATTGTGCGGTCTCGGGAGGGAAAAGCAACACCCACTAGAATTATAATTGGGTGTTTAGGAAGGACTACATCTGCAGGCAAGCTCAACAGACGTGGCTGCTGGCGAGGTCAAGCGAGCCCGCCGACTGCCAAAGTGGTGAAAGCCAGATGCCGTCACGCGAGGCTGGCGTGAAGTAATGGGCTACAATGAAGACGACAATAGCGGCTCGTTGAGATTCGGCGTGGTGGCGTGTGCATCCCTGGCTTGTCAGCACTCGGACCAGAAGACCGTGCAGCTCTCCTCGGCTCGCGAGCTCCGCCGCGCCAGAGCTGGGCGCATGGATTCTTCCGTTTACTTTACCAGCTGCCAATCGGGAAGATATATGCGAGATTCGACTGCGTGACTGTGACGAAGGACCCTTTCCCTTGAAACGAGTGCCCCACTTCCACCCCGAGTCAGTCACTGTCGCCACAGCACTTTACCAAGAGAGCTTTGCAAGCGCGGCAGGTTTACTGGGAGACGGGGCTGGCCGCTGTCGGCCACGGATACAAGATGTATCGTACAACAACCATAGCGACATAGCGAACGTTGTCAGTAATTCGTATTGACACAGTCTTGCTCTTAGGTATCCGAAGCATACCATGC